AAAATGGCCGCTTCCCGCACGGAGGGGAGAAAAATAGTATTCTCACCACGGGCAGGAAATAAGAAAGCCTCAGATCACATGTTTGTCGACCTCGGCTTCGCCTCGGTCAACAATTACCTGTAATCTGAGACATTTCTTATTTTCCTGCCCCAGGTAAGAAAAATACTATTTTATACGCCCTTTTGGCATGGAACCCTATCAAACTGCTGTAATACGCCCTTTTGGCATTAGGCACGCGATATCTACACAGAGAAAAAATTTGTTTTGAAAAAAATGAACCATGTAATAAAAAATAAAATTGTTAACAATTTTCAACAAATTAGTTTATTGTCTCAACAATCTCAATTTTTTTTTTTTTAATTTTTTCTCTCAGTATTTATACTATGTCTTGCATTTACCTTTATGTTTTATGTACAGAACCCCGTTAATGACTACAGTTGGGTTCATTGCTCATATTAAATTAATAAATAAATGAGTCGAATTGGTCGATAACTTCAGAAATAACAATTCAAAATTTTTAAAAAATATATTCACACTTTTACTGATTTTTTTTATAATAAATTCTGAACAAAATGATAATTTATAAAAATGTTTACAAATTACATCTAAAATCTCATTAAATAAGCTTCAATCTTTCTTAATTTTTTTTTTTAAACAAAAATTGTAAATCTTTCTATTCATTTGATAAAATTTTACTACAAAGATCTTATAAACTTTTGTTAACATATGGTAAAATTTTAATTATTTAGCAACATATTTTTTTATAAAAAAATCTAACAATGAATTATATTTAATTTTAACATATTAATTTATATAATTGAAACCTTTATCCTCTTTATTGCATGAAATATTTCGATTATTTATAATAATTCTATTTGGCAATTTATATTTAAACTATTAAAAAAATATAAAGCAAGTGATGTGTACTAAAACATTAACAGTCACATTGTTTTAAAATACCTCTGCTTATATTAACAATGAACACTATTATCATATTAGAGTACATGTGGCTGCACATAAGAGCCGTAGGCGAATGGACTAATAGTTTGTACGCGTACTTTGAAAAGGAGCAGCATAAACTAGAGCGCGGAGATGCGATAGCCATCGAGGGATTTGGTTCATCCTCAACTAGGTAGGAATCTGTAGCTTACAATAAACTCATTATTACTACAATTATTAAATTATTATTATGATTTTTAATTACCTAGTGGAACAATGGATTTAATTTATAACTCTTTCATTATTCAAATATTATTAGACTTCCACAATCGACATCGACAACAATAGAAGAAGAAGAAGACAAAGTTAAAGTTATAAACGAATCCCAGGGCGATCCTAGGGGCTTCGACAATCCTCTTTTTGTTAGTGACAGTGATACGTTGGTGTCCAGCTCAAATATTACTGGTATGATCAACACCACCGCCAACACAGCTACTGTCAACCCAGATGGTAACTAACTAAAATTTAAATAACTTTTCGCATCATTTATACCACTTATCATTTATTTTTATAAAACTTTTGGTTTTTCATATTACTCTTCATTTATTTTACTTCTAGATACTTTTTTTTAGATATATAATGTGCATTTTACATCAAATGAGATGGCTTTTCAAGTTTTATTTTCTTTTATCGAATTTTTATCTTTTTATTAAAAATTATTTTTAAAGGTAATTATATAAAAGTGGGGCTATATCTATTCTCAATTATAAAAAAATCGAAAAATAGACTAATTCATGGTCTTCTTTTTAACATGTTCTATTCCTTTGCTGATTAAGGACGTTCATAGACAAGAAAAAGACACCAATAGGTTACGGCTATTGGTTTTTTTCTCACACACTAGTGCTGCCTCTCTTTACAGACTATCGCTCACTTACTTCCACTCACGTAAAATATCGAAAGTCACTAACTTCAAACATTTTTTATAAAAAAATAAATACCGCTCGTTTATGTTATTTTTGATAAAAAAAATACTTGTTATATCTTCAATTAATGATTCTCAGTTTTTTAAAACAATCGTAAGAAAAGTGCGATTGATATTTAATAAAACGTTCGTTTAAACGTCGATCAGCATAGGGTTTGTTTGTAAAATATACAAATTTTAAATGCTAATATTTCAAAATTTAGTGCCGCAAAGACTATTTAAAAAAAATTTCTGCGTATACACAGAAAGAAAGATTTCTTGATTGGAGAACAAAATTCTTGGCTCAAGTAAATTTTCGGTCGCCCCAAGGAAAACCGAAGTTGTCTTGGCCGAAGTAAAAATTTTTCTTGAAATTCTATTCTTGATGAAAGTAATTTTTTCTTAATTCAAATTATCATAAATAACTTGATACAATAAATTTTTATATTTGATCAAGATTTTTAGATACTTTAGGGAAGCAGCGCCACCTACTTCAGCTGAGGAAAGAAATTTTCTCGTGAATATTTGATACCCATTTTAGATTATTTTAGCGCGCAATTATACATATTGAATGAAAAAAAAATGATTCTACAATTTTTGATCTTTCCATTTGACATGTAAGTCAATAGAAATATTAATGAAAATTTACTTCTATCTTTACATTTAATTTTCTGGAGCAAGAGAGAAATTTTCTCAAGACAAGAAAATTTACTTGACTTAAATAAATTGACTTTGATCAAGATACGTATTTCTTGAAGCAAGGGAATTGATTTTTTGGAATAAGTGAAATTTCTTGTGTGAAAAAAAATTTTTTTTTCGCCCAAGTAAATAATGAGGAAGAAAAATATTTTTTTTGGCTCAAGTGAACCTTTCTTTCTGTGTAGAGGATACTTATGAGTATAAGTACTCAAAATTTCAAAAAAATCTTAAGAAAACGGTTTTTCTCGGAACGAAAAACCGGTTTGATTCTAAAAAAATCGAATTAGATGAAAATTTTTGGATTTTAAAACTCCTCCAATTGAAATTTTGACCTTTACAGTCGTGAAATTTTACTTTTGCAGTCGTTTTGTCCACCAAAATAAATTAAAATGAAATCTACTTCCATTACGGTAGCCGAATGGCCTTTTTTCTTGTCATCTATCTAAAGTAGTACAATTATAAAAATAAATAATTGCTACGTCAATTTTTCAATTTTCCAGAATTTTGTGACATTAGTGAAATTTTGATAATCCCCTGTTAGTCAATTTATTTACCGACAATGGTGAAAAATTGACATTGACAAATTTCTTTTTTAAATTCTTCTACTTTAAATGCACAGTATCAAAAAAATATATCAATGTTGAAAAATGAATGCATCACACTTACATTATCGATCAAAATAAAATGAAATTCAATTTTTTGAAAATCAAACCAGTCTTATCTTTAATTCGTCAAGAAGTAGAATGAGAAAAAAAAACAAATAAATCAATTTTTTTATCACTGAAAATAGAAGCCCTACTTCTCTATATAACTTACCTTATATTAGTGAAATGTTCATTTGACGTTTCTTACCATTAATTCTTATATTTTTTTTTTCTGAAAATAAGCAGACTCGTCAAGTTAGCTAATATTTGATTTTAATGAAATTTATTTTTTAATCTTTCCTTTTTTATTGGCAACAATAAGATTATTTCTAAAAGGATTTTCTTTCTTTTAAAGAATAAATTCTCTTTTTAATCTTTGCTTTTTGATGCTTTATTTTCATACTTCCTTTATACTCTGACCCCGACTTAAATCGCCTTTTCCTCATCGAATTTCATCACTATTATCTGACATCCTTAATTTTAACTCTGACATTAAAACTTTCTCGAGTCAGTTTTAAAAAATTTACAATCACTCTATCTATATCTCAAAAAATTAACAATAGTATTTCAGAATATTCTAATTAAAAAAAAAATTAAAACGAAAAGAGTATATAAAAATTACAAAACTGTCTACTTGAACACACAATACTCTATATCGATATTTTGTAAGCATAAATAAATAATATTATTTTATATTGTAAAATCTATATCAATAGTAGATTTAAATGGACACAAGGATGCAGTGGTATCGCCGCAAGACAGAAAGCTGAGACAGCTATTTCTTACAAGTAAAATGCCTCTTGAAAAGTCGTTTTCCATGCCAGATATGCAGACTAAGCGGAAAAAACGTGAGCGACTGATAGCGTAAGTTTTTAAATAAATATACAAACCGCTGATTAAATCAAGTAACCTGACCAAACCTCATTAAAATTTAAACTTCAATTAACTTAACGTTTGGACAACTCCTACTCTAGGCTGGCAGAGTACCCGGGTTGTTATATGGATAATATACTCGCCTACCAGTTACCAGTATAGTAGATGTATAAACATATTAATCAATTTCGAGAGCTCTAATTGAAATAGTGTGTAAACTTTAAATTTTAAATAACTACCTGTACTATTACTATATCTACTGCCTATTTACTTCATTTTGCTGGGTACATAAAAAAACCACTATAATTTATAATTATAATTATAATAAAAATTATCACAATCAAAAGTATAATGACACTTTATACGGGTTTTTTATTTAATGGAATAACTCTTTTATTATTGTTACTTTTATAGACTACGTGACTACATGAGATCGGAATCAGAGAGAAACTTTGATGAAATAAAAATACGTCGTGCACGGTTGAAATCACTGGGTCTGGCTTACCTCAGCCCGCAAAATAAATCATTGGCGCAAAGTTTCAGATATATGAGAACAAAACCCACAATCATTGCATTTAAAACGCCTAGTATGGAAAATTGTGAACATGATAATCTGTCTGACTCAGGTAACGTGTCAAACTCCATACAAACATTCATATATGTTTACATATGTTGATGAATATATATAAAATATATATATATATATATATATATTGTACAGATATAGATATATGTAATGACGAAGCTTTATCATTGTTAGTGTATTCTGTTTCCAAAATTAACAAACCCATTAGCAGTTTCCGTGTTGATAATCCGGTTACCCAAAATAATTATACCTATTTATTTATACAAATTTATTATATATAGGTATTTAATAGGTAGATAATTAGTGTATTAGTGTGAGACTAAATATAATGTGTATTAAAATATTTCATTAAAACACGTGTTTAAATTAATCAAGTTGGATTAAGTGTTTAATTATATTGATATTAACTCATGATTTTGTAATTAATTAATTTATAAATTTTTTTTTTAATAGTTTTTAATTATTTTGAACTAAATTATAATTTAAAAAAAAAAAAATTATTTAGGGTTTGCTCAAAATTTTAAACTGTTCAATTTTATTTTTCTTGTCTTAATAATTTTTTTATAACTTTAATTAATATCAAAGTGGTTTATGTCTACTTTTCGGTATGTAAATTACCTAAAAACTTTTAAAGTGCTTTACTTGAATGGTTTTTAAAATGTTGAGCGACCCTTGAAAAATTTTTAATCGAGATGATTACATTGAAAATTTTTCTAAAAGTGGTTAATTTAAAATGAATGAATTATTTTTATAAAGTTTTTTTGATAACACAATAATTAATAAGATAAATAAAATGTTGTTGTGAGCATAATAATGGATTAGTGATATATTTTTCAAGGCTCTGCAGATAAAGATAAACGGAAAGCGAGCATTACAATGACATTAGCGAGTAGTGCAGCTGCTGAAGAGGGTCGGATGCAGAGTAAAATTGTGGAATTTTCACAAAAAAATAATGGCATAGATACCAAGAATTTAAGTGAACATCATGCGATAAATTATCTCGTTGGTAAACCGCTCGAAGTGAGTTATCTTTTTATACCTTTTTTAGTTATCTATTTATAGTAAAGTTTTTTAACTTTCCGCTGGGAAATTGAAAACTTTTTAGGGGAAAGGGAAATAGAGTTATTGGTTTGAATTCAATTGACAAAAATAATATTTCATAACAAGTATCAGGTTACTCTGCGATTGAAGCATTATTTTTTATTGTTTTCGAGATTATCTCTTTAATACATGCGCGGATTTACCGAGAGGTAATTTTTTTTGAATAAATTAACTAATTGGAATTATTTTTACCTAATCTGAATGAGAGCTTTTAGACTAATATTTTATTTTGTTTTAAGATCAAAGTATCATTTTTAATTATAATGAAGACATAGAGACTTACATTTTTTGTTGAAGTTATTTTATAAAATATTTTTAAAACTCATTTTTTTTTATAATAATTATTTCAATCCTTTTTATTTATTTTCAAAATATGCAATAGTTGAAAATAAATATCGGTTGAATATTAATAAAAATTAAACTATTTTTAATAGTAATTTAAAAAGATTTTTAGATTTATATCTAATTATATGTTAAAGTCATTCGATTAAATTAATTTCTACTAATTAAAACAGGTTTACTTAAAAGAAAAATTTTTATCGTTATTTCGCTTGATATTTGAAAGAATAATCTCGTAATTAATTTTATCTCTCTTAATTTATTCTTACTATATAGAATAGTAAAAAAAAAAACGTTTAAATGTATAAGCGTAAAGATAAATGTAATAGTGATATTTTATTGATAACTTCACGGATTAAAATCATTTTAATGAATTCTGCAGAATTTTAGTGACCCAATTTACATCAATTAATTTTAAGTCAAACCCAATTTCAAATTAATTTTTGTTTAAATATTTAAAAACTACTAAATAGTAAATATTGTTAGAATTAATTTCCTGAGTAATGTTCCGTTAAGTCAGTAATTCAATATCCATCCATAAATATCGTGTATGTATCCATTTAAAAGAAAAAAGCTAATTAATTAATTAACTAGAAATTATATCTCTACGAGAAATCAGAAGGCTGTGACTTAATAAACTTTTTATTTCAATTAAATCATAAATAATTTATTTGACTTTAATTACTTTAAACAACAGCAGTGAAATATCCAATTTTTTAAGAGTTGTTTTCCTCAAATACTTTTATAAGTATTTGCTTTAACTCAATTATGTCTCAATATGATAAATCCATTTTTTTCATATAATCTTCCATCGTGTTATTGATACTGAAATTAACAAACGTTTGACAATTTTTATGATTTGTTTATCAAATAAATAATTATAAGGAAATAAAAATAAAATAATTCTTTTGTAAAAGTTCAAAAAACTTATGAAGGTATTCTTTTTTAATATTTCCTTGGTGCTAATTTAATTTTTAAAACAAAAAATTATCAGAAGTCTTTAATTAATTAATACTTAAAAATAATAAATTATTGGATTTATTTACTCACGGATGAACATAGCGTTGACTTTTTGCTTCTTATTGCTTCAAAATTTCCAATGCAATTATTGATCTTGCTTGAAATAATTCATGTGCTCATTTTAGGTCATAAATACTAATGTTTATCACCGCAAAAAAAAAAATTTATTGATGAACTCTACTATAATTTTGAAATAACTAATAAAAATAAGTAAATAAATTTTTGAAAAATTTTTATCCCGAAACTTTGTAATGTTAATTGTCCCGTATGAATCTTCATAAGTGCGACAATTTTTCAACATCAGAAGTTGGTACAATTTACTGTCTATCTTAGTCATATTTTTTGTATAGTAAAAAATTTTTTTGTCTCTGTTCATTTTACTCTCTATCTAACGGCTGAAAAAAATTCCAAAAAATACTTATGATTATCATTAAAATTAATTTTAAAAAATAATGCAAAGTGTTTTATATTTTATGAAAAAAATTTTTTTTTTTATTTAAAAATTAATAATTCATGAAATTTTGTTTTAAAACTTTTTAATCACTTATTAAAAATAATAGTATATGATTTTAATTTGGTAAATTTTTAGTAAATTAATAAAAATGATAAAAAAATATTTCATAAATTGAAAATAATTTAAATAAAAACTTTTTGAAATTAATCTTAATAAAAATGAAAAAAAAAAAAAAAATGATTTCATTCAATTAAAAATTTTAATATCTGTAATTTCAAAAAAAAAAAATCTGTTATGATAATTTATCTACTAAAAACTGCCAGACGTCTTTTAATTTCAAAATCATTCTTTAACGTGGTGAATAAAATTTTTTATGCTTTTATTATGATATGACACTTAGCATAATTCAACTTGAATAGTCAAAAATAATATAAAAATCCAAAATGGATAGATTTTTCTAGATGGTCCTTACGGAGCGCCATCGAGTCATATCTTTCAATCGCAACATGCCGTGTTAATCGCCACGGGAATTGGAGTTACGCCTTTCGCGTCAATCTTGCAGTCGATAATGCATAGATATTGGAAAGCGCGACACACCTGTCCGCAGTGTAAATTTTCTTGGGCAAGTGAGATCCCCGTCACCGTGATGAAGCTGAGAAAAGTTGATTTCTTCTGGATAAATCGCGATCAACGCTCGTTCGAATGGTTTGTCAATTTACTGTCTCAGTTGGAAATAGAACAAGCTGAACTCGGTTCTTCTCTTGAACGATTTCTTGAAATGCATATGTATATTACCAGCGCGCTGCAAAAAAATGATATGAAAGCCGTCGGACTTCAGCTCGCAATGGATTTGCTTCATGAAAAGGTAAAAAATCTCTTATACTTACTACTTTCTGTATGTTTTATTAGAAAAAATATTCTATACTCTCTCCCGAATTTAACTCCACAGACGTTTTTTCAATACCAAAGCGCCTTACGCTACTCAAAGAAGTTATTTGCCAAAAAAAAAATCTTATCTTTAATACTCATAATATTCAGAATTCATAATACTTGAATATATAATGAGAATTTTTATTTCGATATCAAAAAAATATTATTTTTCTCTACAGTAAAAATTTTATGCATACTTATAAAAAAATTCATTTTTTCAAAATGAATTTTTAAAGTACTTGATAAATGAAATGTGAATGAGTAATTTTTGATCGATAAAATTTAATTTAAACGTTTGTGATCAAATTGTTGAGGTATAAAGTGTAATTTATATATTTAAAAAATATCAATAAAATTTGAAATTCTTTTTCAAGTAAATAAAGGAATTCAATTGATGCATTTTTAATGAATCATAAAATTAGTTCATTCAATTAATTTATTGAATAAAAAATAATTTATTATTGGGTGTTTTTTTTTCTATGTGTGATTGAAATATTTTAAATTATTAATTCAATAGAATACTAATAAATCAAATCATTTAAATAATAAAATAAAACTTGAAAGTTAAAAAATTTGAGAATTTTTTTGTTTATTTATTCTATCAGACAGGAATTTACTAAAAATTTAAAAACAATATTAAATATTTGTAATAAATTTATATGGATTCAATAGAATACTAATAAATCAAATCATTTAAATAATAAAATAAAAATTGAAAGTTAAAAAATTTGCAAATTTTTTTGTTTATTTATTCTATCAGTCAGGAATTTACTAAAAATGTAAAAACAATATTAAATATTTGTAATAAATTTATATGGAATTTAGAAGATGAAATTGGTCTCGTTGAGTAGTACAAACTTGTTTAGTTTCATGCTATCTCTTAGTTTCAGTGTGTAAATATTGAATATTTGTCTTTTGTAGGAAAAAAGAGATTTAATAACAGGACTAAAGACACGTACAAACGCCGGAAGGCCGAATTGGGACAAAGTCTTCAAACAGCTTCAAGACCAGAAAAAAGGAAAGATTACCGTATTTTACTGTGGTCCGCCGGAGTTGGGACGAATTTTGCGCTTCAAATGTGACATGTTCGATTTCAATTTTCGGAAGGAGACTTTTTAGTTTTATAAATTCCCATACTATCTCGATTCATCAATGTGTCTAGATAGTGATTAATTGTCATTCTGTTGGCTGGAAAGTAAATTTAAAAATCTTTATAAATATATGTGTATAAAAATATAAAAAGAAGAAAAACAATTTAACGGCGTATGCTAACGGTCAATCAATGAAGAGAGATGCCTTGCATTGATAATCCGTCGATTAATAATCGCTGGTGTACACGACAGTAAACGTGAGGGTCGCGGAGACCATCAGACCAGACTAGAGCCAACAGCCAGTGCTATATCGTGTGGAGATAGGTGAGCAGTGTGTGGGTGATTTTTGGGGTGGAAATCGCTAACCGCTATACCAACACTACCAGTAGGACACCACCAGCACTACCACTAGCACTGCCATTAATCGATTGGGCAAATGGAGCAAGAGCAAACAACAAGACATTCCCATGTGACACATCATATGTATTAACGCGTCAAAGGATATCCTCAGGACATATCTGTGTATAGAGATGTATACGCCGATTTGTGCTTGAGAGTTAAATTATATGAGACAAATAAATCATTCGTTGTGCAAGGTAAAAGTTGTCAAACATCATCAAACAAATCTTCATCATTCTGTCTCTCACTCCCTCGAGATTTAATCACCGTTTGATTTATTTTTTATTCAACATTTTTTGTTTTATTATTTGTTATAAATTTATCTCCACTCTTTCATTCTCCGCTTGACTGTTCTCTCTAGAGTACATTGTTTTTATTTTTTTTTTTTTTTTTTTTTTGAGTAATATAATTATTTGAGCTTTTTCATAACTTTCGTGACTTCATGCATGAGCCAAATTGTTAATAGTGCAATCAGCATTCGTGCTTGACATTCCGTCATTACAATCTATATTTTATTTTATTACTGTTTACAACCTTTTTTTTTTTTTTAATTTATTAAAAAATGAAAAAATATTCCTGGTTGATATGTTTTGTCTGATGGTGGAACTGTGTATGATAAACTGAATATTAAAATTTTTAATTTACTATCAGAAAACAACATCCTTCATTCTTTTTTTTTTTATGTTTATTTTTTGTTTTTACTTTTTAATACATACACCTTTTTAGTAAAAAATAGGAATGAGTGTACAAATCTGACAGATCATAATATTTGAGATACTTTTTGTGGGATATAACGATAAATAAACGTTGAATATACGTATATATATTTTATATAATTATAATAATTTCAGTTTAACTTAAAATAATGTTCATTTATCGCATTATCCATGTAAATATTAATACGACTAGATAAATTTTTCTTTCTGTTAACTCTTGTTTTAAATACTTAAAAAATATGGAATAGTTAATAAATAATTAGTAATGCTTTACCTTATAGTAAGATTACGAGTAAGTAAATTACCGATAAGTTGACATTAGCATTGAAGCTTGGTTGCAGTGTGTTATGCTGAACTCACACGGATTCTGAGACCACGGTTCGCCGTCGATTTGTACCGCACAAGAATCCAATAATTTAATCTACAAGTATTAATAATTTATCGAATCAATCAACTGTTAAACATTGTTATAATCCATCAATAATTCATGATATTCATATTATATTAATATTTATAAACCTATATATGTATATGTACATATTATTATTAGTATTACTACCGTGACTGTTTTAGCCTGACCCAATCTATGTGGTTGTGACATACCAACTTGTAACTGAGCAATATGGAATGATGAATAAAGTGCGCATACCTCAAGTTTACCATCATTAATACTTTGCATACCGACGCCTTCATTACCTGACAAATTCAATAATTAAATGAAAACCATTCTCATTTGTAAAATAGTAATTTTATTATTATTGTAGTTGATGACTTTTTTTTATTTAAAATTTTAGGTAATTATTTACAAGTGGGGTCAACCCCAAAAAAACACTCCTCTTTTAAACTACCTCACTTTACTTCTACCTACCTAGAAATAACCTGTAATAAGACTTTGAGAAGAATTACCTGCTGAAATTGTTACTTCTTCTAGCTTACAAATTTTTAAAAATCAAGTGTATTATTATCTATTGAATCTTGATAAAAAAAAATTCAATTCTTAGATTTATGAATCTGAGATGGTGATTAAAGTCATTGAAACAAATTGTACTATTAGCTTCAAACTAATCATTATCTGATGAATTGGTATATTTTAATATTGTTAATCAAATGTTCATTGTTCTATGTACTTACGATTGTATTTATCTGCTCTTCTTAATCTTATTCAATATGTATTGAAATTGCCATTTGGCTTGAGCCTTGGCATTAATAAACCAAATTCTAAATTTTGGGCCAATAACAAGGTGAAAAAATTTTTTTTGTTCTGCTTGTTTTTACGGCACATTTATGATAAAAATGTCGTAAAAAAAAAAAAATAAAGATTTCGATAGCTTTTTTGCCCTTAAAAATTGAAAAAAATTTTTGGCTCTCATGTTTTAGGATGAAATTTTTATTTTATTTTTTTTTGTTTTTTTTTTTTAATCCATAAAAAACGAACATTTTAAGAAAAAAAATTGATCAAAAAAAAAAAAAAATATGACATGAACTAGCATAAGATTCCACTTGTAAATAACTACCAAATTTTATGTATTCGAATTCATACATGATATAAAAATTTAAAAATATACTGCATGTTTTTTTCCAACACTTGAAAAATAAAAAAAAAAATTTTTTTTTTTAATTAAAAAAAAGCCATTCTCAAATATCAGTAAAAAATTAATAAATAAATTTTACCCTGGAGTCCTAAGTCCCAAAGTTTAACTCCGGCACCCCAATATGGAATATTAAGTACAACAATACTTTCTGTCGATGGTAAATCAACTTGTTTACCATCTAAATATACTTCAATACGTTTATCCAAGTCTTTACATTCTCTTTCTACAACTTGCTGCGTTCCAAAACACAAGTACAACAACTAAAAACAAAAAATATAAATATAACTCTGTACAGTAGTTTAAACTTATTGACCTCGTAGTACAACATGAGTAATTTTACGATAGACTTTCTATTTAGTACAAATGATAAACCGCGGTTTGTAAATCATCGTACAACAGAGCAATTAGATGTATTTGTATCAGATGGTACGATCTTGTAATAAATTTTAAAGTAAAATCCAAAAATAATAGTACTGTTTTACGATTATCTACAAACCACTAGTATATCATTCCACTAATCGCAGTAGCCGTATATGTCCGTCCCTACACTGTGTAAATACATACATTCGGTAAAATAGCTGTACATGTAATAAAATTCAGCTAGTGTAATTAATATTTAAAATATTTACCTTGTTGAAAATTCTATGGCTAAATAAATAAAATCTACTTTCTCTGGCTCGATGAAAATTCAAAGCGACTTGTGCATCAACTCCCACACTCATGTAATTGTACATGAATTTACGTTGTTGTGAGCCTCTGAAACCGAGACTCCGTCCATCATACTGCAATGTAACTGTCCATCTATAATTTTAAAAAATTAATTTTTTAATTTTTCATGAGAAAATTTTTTAAATAAAATTATATTTAGTGTCATGAATATAAATTGATGAGATGACTCATTACTGAGTAATTGACATTTCATAGGAAGCTTCAGTAATTTCAACTTGAGGTATAAATTTGTAATTAAATTTCAACAAAGAAACGGTTTAATGAATTTATAATTAACATTGAACGGTTTTGTTATTTTATGGAAATTATTTATAGAAATGAATAGAAGCCAATACAATGTAGTATAAGTATCTTTAAAGAAACAGAAGCTATTGTACATACATAATTAGAATATGAGTTTCAAAGTATAAAAACAGAAATAATATAAAACTTGCACTATGTGACTGCCGTGACTTGTGAATTATAAATAATTAAAATTTTGCTTTATTAAATAATGACTTTTGTTAAATTGCACTGTACTTTCTTAACTATTGACGTTTTTAAAGATATAAGCTCATCCCGATGTTACGCTCACCAAGAGCTTTCATTTGAGTACCCACATCAATTTTTCATATATTTTATATATTTATATATTTCACAAATACCATATATATAAAATATATGAAAAATGTCATGTGGGTACTCAAATGAAAGGTCTTGATGAGTGTAACATGGAGATGAGCTTATATCTTTAAAAACATCAATATTTAAGAAAGTACAATGCAATTTAACGTAACTAACAAATGACCTTGCATCTTGTGAACTATTGACATTTTTTAAAATATAAGCTCATCCCATTGTTACACTCATCAAGACCTTTCATTTGAGTACCCACATGCATTTTGATATATTTTTCATATATACATATATATAATATATATATAAATATATGAAAAAGTGATGTGGGTACTCAAATGAAAGGTCTCGATGACTATAATGTCGGGGTGAACTTATATCGCTAAAAATGTCAATAGTTCTCAAGATACAAGGTCATTTCTTAATTATGTATCTAGAAATAGAGAATTTTCCAATGCAGCCCAAATACGTATCATCATAAATTGACTATCAGTGAGAATGATATGAAATCTTAAAAAGGCACAAATTAAAATCAAGACTTTTCAATGACACTAAATATAATTAGAAAAAAACCGATTTTATCATATGACTATTTTAAACACAAAATTTTTCTTATTCTCTTAATAATATAGATAATGTATACCTATCAAGTTTAACCGGGCGTGCATCTTGAATACTTTGTAAAATTTTCGTAGCTTCAACACTTGAGTCATACTCGCTGCCCCAGCCCAGTACACGAGATAAATCATTCCCAGTACCTAGAGGTAAAATTGCAACGGCGGGCACCTGCTGTAATAATTAAATAAATTTCTGGTCAAAATATTGAATCTATAGTACTAAATTCTCCCGAAATCTATAAATAATAACTAAGAATATTGAATATTGTTTGTATAATCTTAGAGAACGACTATGTACCATTCTACCCTCAGTAGTACCTTTAAACGGAGTTTATGAATAGAATTTAATAGCCATGCGACAGTTCCATCGCCTCCAGCGACCAGAACATTGCACGATTTGTCGCCTAACAAACGACACCACTCCAATGCTGCCACCGGGTCACGTTCCGAGAGGTCTACGACCTGTGATGGATTTAATAATCGCCGAAACATTGACAGAACCATTGCTCCATCATTGTTACCGGACTTTTTATTCGCTGTAATCGATAGAATTACCAATATATAAATATGCTTATAATAGATTACGACGTTATAATATTAATAAATAATGATAATTGATTAATTAATTAATTAATTAATGCAGTCGGCAATGTCAATGCTATTAATAAATTTACGGCCTGTACCACCAGACAATTAAATTTAATGTGTAGTTGTTTTAATAATTATAAAGGTAACGGAAATATATACCAACGACTATCAGTGGTTTCCAATCACTCCATACAGGTGGTATAATCGATCGTAACTGCAGACGTCGACGTACTGTACGTCGCCTGTTTACAACTTCCAAACTTCCTGGTGGTATTATCATTAATTTAAACTTCCCAAAGTCACATATCTGTTGTAATAGAATGATAAATTAATCTCCATTAAAATTCATATTCCAAGTTTTACAATGTATAAACACTCTTGCCAGTTAAGAAGGTTTTTTTCCCAAACCTGAAACTTATTTCAACAGACAAGAAACGCCTTACCTCGTTGATCTTCAGCTTGCAAGCTTCGTGAACACACTTTTGACACCAGCAGCAGAACCAATCAACCAGTCCCGGCTCTATGTCACACTCTTCATCACATACTTCGCACATCGCAACAGTCGGCAAATTTCCTATTGTTAAAAAAAAAAAAAAAAAAAAATGAAAATAAATTTATTGCGTTTGTAATTTCTGAAAAGGAAACTGTGGAAATTTGATTTGTTTTTTAACAGAGTTTTTCTGTTTTTTTATAGGCTTACAAATAAAAATAGACTGGTACCATGAATCCAGTGATGCTTCATAATCTCGGTAGATTGAGTTATTGCTTTGCAGACCAATTGTTTGTCTGCAGCTTTTATACATCCTGTATCAGCGCATACACCACATGAATCACAAAGAACGCTTTTTGTGTTAAGTAATAGAGACTCGCAGATACTGCAGTAATATGCCTGCAAATAAAAATTTTTCCATTTGTTAACTATTTATTTATCAAAATTTTAGACCCTGAAGCCTTAGCTCCCTAAGGGCCTTACATATAAATCAATACATACACGGAGAAAATTTTATAGTAGAGTTTATCATCTAGTTATGTTAAAATCTATTAACTGAATTCGAAAGTAGTAAATATTATTTAAATAATTAAGTAAACCATCTGAATTGTTGTATTTACCATCCTGATGGTAACTACTACTATTATGATGGTAATCAGTAATAATAACTGTTATTATTTTAATTAGTTATTACTATTATCAAAATCGTTATTTCTAATATAACCTGATGGTTATAGTTACCATCAGTAATAATAATAACTACTATCTAAGCTAGTAAAAAATTTTAATAAATTTAAGAATCTGCGTTACCGCGGATGCATTTCTGAATAAACTAAAAGCAGCTGTAGTGCACAAAAAATCGGGATTAAATTCGGATTGAAATTATATTTAAATTTTTATTTGTTTAAAATAAGTTTCAACGTCGAATTTTTGAAAAAAAATTTGAAATTTCCAAAAAAATAAAAATTTTCAATAAAATTCAAATTAAAAAAAAATTAAAATTTCAAAAAACAAATTTTAAATCTTCAAAAATATCAAATTTTCAAAAAAAAATTTTGAAGGGAATTTAAAATATTTTAATATATTTCAAAGAAAAAAATTTACATTAGCTAAAATATGGATGTAAATAAAGAATTTAATTAAGTAAATTTATATTATTTTTTCTTTCAGAATTTTTACAATCTGAGATGGTTACAGTTACCATCTTCGATTGTAACAGTTATAATTTATAATAATTACAATTAGTATTTTTGATAGTAATCGTTACCATTATTACTAGTAACTATTACAATTGTCAATGATACAACCTATTATTTTGTTACTAATTAATTTTATTACCATTTTAGATAGTAGGAGTTACTATTTTAGTATAGTAGGTAGTATAATTAATTTTTCTCCGTGTAGTAATAATAAAATTTGTTATCAGTAATGAAAATAATAATAATACAGTAAGAATAAGTAACGTTGTCTCAAAGTAAAGTCCATCTAAGTAAGTGTAGTAATAATAAAATTTGTTATCAGTAATGAAAATAATAATAATACAGTAAGAATAAGTAACGTTGTCTCAAAGTAAAGTCCATCTAAGTAAGTAAGTTTACCATCTAATGACTCTAGTTCATGAAACAAAAGAAAAGAAGAAAAGAAAAAATATAAATTTGAATAATTAGTAATTTGAACAGTTATGTAATGACAATGACAATTATTTATCATCATCTTTATCTACAAAAAACTTGTAACACTTTGATCGAAATTCATTGTAATCAGTAATCGTCACAATCTCCTCCGGTAACTATGTATTTATTAAATACACAGTATTAATTAATATTAAAGTATTTGATAGTTTGACCTTTAACACAACAAATTTATAAAATGCCATATCAAAAGTTCAACTGAGTGTCCTACTTTTTAATTAATATAAAAACTGTTTTAAAAATAATTCTTGAGATTAAATCAATACTATTAAAAAAAATTTGTTTACAATATATTTTTAATTACTAAACATTTAATAAATTCCAATCAAAACTTTTAATTAAAATATTTTATCAATTTAGTAATTTATGATCATTTTTCAGCCATGTGAGAATAATTCTTTTCAATTATTTAGATGTCGATAGGTTGTTGATTGGCTATTAAAATTATTTATTAAATAATAATGAGAGCAATGGAGAATACTTAATTTTTAAATGTGAAATTTTCTTGTAATAATTTTCTACCTCTGCTTAACATTATTTTAGGAATTCCGATAAAATACATGGAATACCTCTCATGACTTGTTAATTTAATCAAGTATATATTTATATATATATATTCAAAGAAACCTACCTGAGTAACAAGATGGAAAAAACCAATTAACATTTTTTATACTTTAATATTGAAATTAATTTTTATTTAAACTACTAATGAATTAATATAAAATTAATCCTTAATTAATTAATATTACCTTATTACTACTACTGATAATAGGGGTCCAGCTATGATTCTTGGAGACATCTCTTATTGACAAACAGTTGTCTCTCATCAAATATCTTACGAGATTTACTGTCAGTACGTAAATAATCATTGTTGACACTGTTGGAATAATTACGTTGCAGAACCCAGAGTCCCACATGATGATTTTATTATTTAAACCTCCTGTAATTAATATTAAACATTGATAACTGAGTTCATTGAGTATTAAAAATTAATATGAATGAAAATTTTCAACTTTTTCATTGATTGGGAGTATGAAAGTTATTTCGTGAAACTCGAGTCTAAATTGAACCAAATATTTATCAATTTAATAAATGAACTATAAAATAATTGATAAGTTGAAATAATAATTCTCGATTTGATTGTCAAATTCAATCATTTATTTTTAACTCTTATATAAAATCAGTAATTGAATTATTTGAAATCGATATTATTTTATTTAATACTCAACTTTACAGATTTTATTTTCGTAAAATTTTGTAAGTTATTCCAATTAACGATATAACAATTAAATAAAATTGAATTTTAATTTAATTAGAACGTTTATAAAAAAAAATGAAAAAAATTTCATAATTAAATTATATGACATTAAAATTAGCAGTCACATAACCATTTTTTAATTTTTTTTTTTAACAAATAGAATTTTTCCAAAAATTTATTTTTAAAAAATTGCATTTTTTATTTTTTAAAATTTCTACATGACAATTTTTTTTTCTACTTTTTTTTGCCATAATTTATTTATTAAAAAATTATCAAATATCTGCTAAATTAATTTTCATTTAAATTATAAGTAATTATTAATTGTTCAACACTTTTGATAAATTTTTATATAATTGTTATAAAGTTTAAAAATTAAAAATGAATAAAAATAACCTGATTTCTAATTAATTGCATGAATAAAACTTTTATTAACGCTCTATTGATCACGTCATATTAATAATCAATAAATATTTATTCATTTGGTCAATTGTTTGTAGTGTTGGACCATAACAAAAATATCAACCATAAAACAGCTGATCGCACTGACAACTGAACTGACAAGTGACTGTTTACTCCGGTCTGCAGTTTATCCAAAACAACGATAGCGAATCTAGCAAATACTGGAAAGGAGCGGGAAGAAATAAACTATTTAAACTTGTGTTGCATTACAAAAAATTTATTTTCTTTTTATTTTTTATTATTTATAATATAAATTTTTGTGATAATGGAAATTACAGACCCGACAACTTTTTTTATTTTTAATTTAAATAAATAAATATATAAAGAAAAATGTATGCGAGGAATTATAAAAAATCTGTAAACAAGTGGGGGTTTTAAAATGTAATAGTATCCTGTTATATGTTATTTGTTTATAAAAGCAAAAAAATTGTTGTGTCTGCAGTTTTCAGAATCGTATATTTTTTTTTTTTTTGCAAATAATGTGACTGTACAAATATTATTTAGCATACATAAAATTGCAGCATGAGATTCCCATCGATATTAATCTCTTAAAATTATATAAAAATTATTTATTAATATCTATTTGTGCGAATTAATCTCATGGTTAAAAATAATTTAGGATCAGAAAAAAGTAAATTAATTTTTAGTAAAAGTCTAGTCAGATTTCAATTACTGTTTTGTTTAATTTTAAATTTTAATTGTGCGTTTGGTACAGTTACTCCTGTATAGTATCTGATTAATTTAATAATCTACATTTCAATTTTAAAATAAAAAAAATTATAAACGTACATTTCATATGATAAAATAACAGTAATTCTTAGTCAATAATTATTATTAATCATAAATTGCAATTTACAATCATATTTAATTAATAAATTTAATTGAATTTTGTCCGATAAAATTCACAAATTGAAAATACTTCAAAAGCCGATTTTCCTAATTATAAATATAATTTTACTCACTGGAATGATAAATGAAATTTAAACTACAAACTTTTTTTGATCCTAAATTTTTGTAAAAAAAATAAAATAATTGAGCTTGTCACATAAAATTACAAAATCACGTCACACGCACACATAAATAAAATACAAAAGTATAAAAATTCTTATCAATAAAACTTAATAACAAAAATTACTTAAAATCTACATGAGTATTATGAGAAAAGAAAATTCGACCGAAGACTTTAATTTTTTATAAAAATAAGTCTAGATCGTCTAAATGGAAGATTAAAAATTATAAAAATATAATGCACCGTCTTTGACAATAAAACAGATAAAATTCTAATGATAAAAGTAAAAAGAAATTTTTACAATTAGTTTGATATGTTATTAATTTAAAAGTACTATTTGAACGTAAATATAATTTTACTGTGTACTGTTAGCAATAGCAAGTTTATGATTATTCAACCAAATGTATTGACAAAGCCTACTACTCTGATATTATAATAAATTCAGTACAATTGATCAATACATACTATTAAATATTATTAATAATAAAAAAATTCATCCAAATGTCCACACTTTGGCAAGTAATAAATAAGCGTAGTACTCTATAAAATGCATATTAAAACATACTTTTTTGTTCTTCATATAAAATACTAAGTACTAAATTCCGTTGGGAATGTCATGTGTTTGCAGCAAAATTGTCTATCGTACAATCAAAATTAATAATTATTATTATCATAATTTCATAATTTTTTACGAATTTTAAAATATTTTTTTTTTTTTAGCAAAATTTAAAGCTACTTTTGATTGTACGTAGAAAAGGCAAAGTACGGTATTTTTGGCTGATGCATAACACCATATAATAATGATATTTTATCTTGCATTAAGAATCTTCGTTACTCATGAAAGTAAATCTATCAACGACGACCATTGATTAATTTTCAATAATTATCAAACTTATGGGATGACGTTAATCTCACAGTGATGATCGAAATGTATATTATAATACTGCCAAAGTTTTGTTAACTTTTTATTAACGTTTAAGTTTTGTTAACGTTTTATCTTATAATTTTAATATCATGTAAACTGTCAAATTTTCCGATACATTAGCATCACGTCAGTCAACGTTAAAAAGTTCATAAACATGTAATCCATAAGTTATAATAATAAATAAAATAAACTTTAATCTGTAAAAAATAAATAAAATAAAACAAAATATAATAACGTTGCTTTTATGTTAGTGATAGATTAGTTTCCTGTTAACTTAGATTCATCAATGCATATCAATTTAACATTTTACTTATACGCTTTTGATCATCTATCTATCTAGAGACTGTACTCGACAGTAGTCTTTCTTTTTTCCAAATTTTTCATATCATAATCTCCATTTAAAAATTTATTATTATTTAAATATTTTTTAACGTGACTGAACACGAGATATTGATAGTTTAATAGTAATAGTGTAATAATAATAAAATAAAATAACTGACGGCCGTTAAACAGACGTCTCAGAGTTGAGTCTCAGTAAAAATTTGTTTGATTTTGGATGTGCTAGTTGTTCGGTGAGTGTAAAATGCGGCAATCTGTATGCCGTACAGAGCAGAGCAACTTCACCTTGCCGCAATTGAAATTCACAGCCAGAAGCAAGTGGTCTTGATGGTAATTCTCCCTCGCAAACTAATGCCCAATTGTGTGAACTTCTCTGACGTTCTTTTTCATTCGACAGTACGGGACTCGCAGAGAAGAAAGGTTCCAGGAAAGCTTTCGGCGCGGCGTCCTGCGCTAAGCAGCGCGCTAGCCGTCCCAGAATCGACTCCACTGAATGTCTCGGCTGCTGTCTGGTGACCCTCAGGTATTTCTGCAGCGCGCGGGCCATCGAGGGAAAAACGGCTTGTGCAGCCTCCATGGGATCCATCGGACCGGGGTTTGGTGCCAGCTCAGATTCCGAGTGCAGTCTTTTAATGTGCGCAAAAGCTTCTTCGGCAGCGGTGATTAATCTTGCACGACGTTTTCTCACTCGCCTGTCATAGTCGTGTTCCTCGTAGAACCTCTCGTTGTGACTTGAGTCTCTTCTTCGAGCTTGAGCGGCCAGCATTGCCCTGTCGCCACCACCTCCACGTTGCTGCTGTCCTGGCGTCATATTAACTCCACCATCAACGTCGTAAAATTTAAAACTTGATGGTTTCCGTCCTGATTTTGATACTGGTAATCGATCCAAGTAAGGGTTATAAATAGGAAACTCTGAATAATATCTCTCAAGCACCCAGACCGCAGCCCGTTGAATTGATAATTGCCCGATGGCGTAAGAACGCGACTCACCATCTGGTGATCTTACAACTTTCAAGTAGTAGGTCGGTTGAAGATGACGAATTTCAATCAAAAGTACTGCTATATAATGAATAAATAAAAGAGTATCTGCAAAAGTTCCTGCATAATTAACTAGACTTTTGTACTCTGTTTTTTCTCCATTAGCAGCTGTCTTGGCACTTTCTGTAACCTGAAAATAATCAAATTAATTATTACAATTTCCGGGCATTAAATTATTATTATTAATTGAAGAAATGAGGGAATGAGAATGTTGTGAATTAATGTGAGAATGAATTACATTTTCCAAGATAAAATTACATTAAACTTTAATCCTTTCACTTAATTATATAAATACTTTCAATAGAAAAAAAAATATTTTAAAATTGAAGCATAGGGTAAATGTTCCAGTAGTTGACTGCTTTCATAAGAAAGTCCAAAAAAATTGTGAGGCATGTTAAAGTATGCATTTGGTTTTTTCTATTTATTTTTTTTATTTTTTCCAAAGCAATATCGATGATCTAATTAGCAATTTGTCCAACTCCTAATTTTTTTCAAGGGTGATTTTTGAACATTTTGATGTAGCAATAGTCCAACTATAAATTATTTGAATGATTTAAACCAAAATATTAAACCTGTATTAGATATTAATGATATTGAATGGTTTTTAAAGTGATAATAAATTTTGAACTAATTGTTTTTTTCGTATAAATGGAAGATTCTCTAAAATGGAGTTAGACAATTTGCTAATTAGAACGTCGATATATAATATTTAGTAATAGTTCAAAGAAAAGATATTAATTATGCTAAATGATATTAAATAATATAATAAAACTATAATATAGTTATTTAAGTATTTTTGATAAGAGCATCATGTGATGACAGTTCAAAACAAAATTATATTAATGTTTAAGTTGTTTATAAGGATATTGTTACTTATCTATGTATAAAGAAAAAGTTAAAAATCAAATCCTTTTTCAAAACCAAAAAAAGTCCAAAAATTGTTATTAACTGCATTTTTTATAACCTTGAAATTTATTTTTAACTATTGTTGAACTTATAATCATTATAATGAATAGGTATTCCAAATATTATTTAATTTTTAGAACATCGAAAATAATTCATGAAAATTTCTCACAGTATGATCTGACTAAAATCGGTCAGTTACAATAGTAGAGTATCCGAGAGGTGACTGCATGCTTTAGTTAACAAAAATGTTCCTATTAGGTTAATCTTGTCAAATTAAATTCTGAAGTAGTCTTTAATAGTTTCTTAACAAATCTTTTAATAAGTTTTTACAAAAATAATCAAATAAATACCAATTCAATCACCGGTCAGACACCGGTACAATATGATTAAAATTTTTATGAAAATTATAAATTTAAAATGTAAAATCTCCCTATTATGTAATAGCACTTTTATCGACTTATTTCTCATTCCCAGCAAAAAAAAAATAATAAATCAATGCTCACCTGAACGACATAGAATAACCAGTAAGTACAGATACAAAGTAGTGTCAAAACTAATACTCCAGCCCTGAAGAGAAATACCCGAGGCATAGTGGCGTTTTGTGGTCGTAAGAATACAGCCCAGCTTCCGATAGCCAGGAAAATTAATTTAAAAGCTAAGCCTAGTAATTGGCCTTTACACTCAGCGTTGCATGACAGTAATTCAAGCCTCTGTTGCATTGTTAGTACCGTTGTGGAGTCGGGGAAAAAACCTAATTTAGGCAGCACGACCATTGCTATCGGACTCAAAAAGGCACCAATGCCCAGAGTCATAGCAATCACCGGTCCGAGATATCGATTACACGTAAAATTAAAGGCTCCGTCTGTTTCACTAGGCCAATTGCTAACATCTTCTGTTGATTCAGAACGGTCGGAGGTATTCCCCGTGATAGCTGTCGTATTTTCACCCCAATTTTCATCTTGAGGAAGGATTTGTACTTCTATCACTTCTTGACCGACATTCTCGACACTATTCCCTCTGACATTGACTGTCGTTTGAAAGGGTGCCATCTCGCAGACATCCAGGTTGGATCGCTCTTTTCTCTGACTTCTATTATTCCTATCATTAAAATCAACCATCACATTTAAATTAATAACAAACTTTCTGGTGAATTTCAATGGTATAGTCTCTATGATTAGGATTTATGATTAGCAATATGATTGAAAAAATTACCTAGAGCTTCTGTGGGAATGTTGTCGATGATGAGGTGATTTATTCGCGTGCGACCGATGGTGTTTCGAGGAGCTCCGACTATGGTGGCTATGGCTATGCTCACTAGCCCCAGACTTTATACTCTCTGTCTCCATACCACAGAGAAGGCTATCGCCCTTTTACTACCCCATATAATCATTCCCTCAATTATCTCGTTCTCTCTTTCTCACTTATTATTGTTGTTATTTATAAAACATCCACAACTGTACAGGGGGTTGACTCACACGTATGACATGTAAAATAAGTTACGTGTACTGGCAGTATCGAGAGTGACAATCCAGTTCAGTCAGCTCAGCTGCACTCGTCAACTCAAGCGTCTTCTTGACATTCCCTCCTCTCACTCCGGTTACTTTGACGTTAAAGACGCTCCGCAACTTTTTGCCGATTAAACTCACTCACTAAACTGCGCTACAAACAATAATTAACTCAAGTTCAAGTGGTGATCAATAAAAATAACAGCTAATTATTAAATAAAATTATTAAAACAGACGCCGACACGCCTTACGTTTATGACCCTCACCCTCTTGTCAGTTCACGTTCACGGGATCGGGATTCTTCTCATAATTTAACAGGGAGAAAATAATAACAACAGTATCAACAGTTAAAAAAAAACACTTACACATCAAGCTCTAGGGGATTCTTAGGACTCTTGGCCTAATTTTCATTCAGCTATAGTCTTTTACTTGCCGCTCATTTAAAACTGCCTCAGGATGTATAGGCAGGTTCGCCTAAATTCAACTAGACGTCACTATTAATTCTTTTTGAATTTTCCGCCTTCTATTTTTTTTTTTTTAAGTAGATTTTTTTTGCCATTCAAGTTAGATGAAAAAATTAAGTTAGCCGACGTTTTTAATTTAAAAATTTTTTTTTTAATTATTAAATTAGAACAAAAAAATTTTTTTTTAAAAATTGCACTTACAGTTTTTAAAGTTTTTTGCAAGTGAAATTTTTTTTTTACAAAAATGTCTAGCAATTAATTTATTTTAATTTTTAATTATAAAAAATTACTAAATTAAAGGTGTCTAGGTCTTTTACGTTTTAATACAGACATAATTTGACTTTTGAACATAAAAACTTAGACTATATTTGGATTTCACTTACTCATATATTTTTAATTGAATTATTAATTTAATACTAAATACAAATTATGATAGATACAGCAGACAGCGACAATCTGAAAATTATAAATAAGTATATTAATTATTATTACTAATAACTTTCCAACACATGAATCTTTTTTTTTAATACTAATTTTTATTAAAAAAAGAAATTTAACAAAATATTTAACTACCAGATGAATAATTTTTATTTTTTATTTATTATAATTTATCTTATCCTGTCGATAAAATGTCATTCTTCTTTATCAATCAATTTCTTTTTACGTATTTTATTATTTTTTATGTTCAACAAATAATCTCTAATTATTGATTATGTAAAAACTAAAATAATCAACAAACCACAATATTCTATCTTGATAACAGACAATGATAATAACCAACAATCAAAATATATCATATGCATATTATATTATTATAAATAAATAAATATAAAAAAATATGTTATAGGTGGCGCTCAGATTGGGCGCGGATGCGCACGCACTCTAAAAATCCGTTACATACACACTGAAGAATTACACCAGAGGGTCATACATGTATAACACACAAATATAGATTTAAAAGTGTGTTAGTGACCGTACAAGGTGATGTCGTCACAATCCCAGGTCACAGTGACGCCAGCATTGCCTAGTCTACTTGGAATTAAGTCTTTACGATTTAGGAATGGCGTAAATGGCGTTGGTACCTCGTTTTCAAGCCAAAGTTTAACAACTAGCTCATCATTATCAACATCCACACCATACCCACCATTACTGCTTGCTGCCAATCGTTCTGAAAAGCAAAAGGAAATTTTCAAGTCAGTGCTGACAACTCTTTATTAATTAATTTTATTTTCCGCTTCTTTTTATTTGCAAAACATCAATATGATTAACTTTTATTATTTATTTATTATTTCCGCCTGTTTATTAATTATTAAACTTTGATAATTCGGGTCCAAGATGTAACCACATTTTGGCTCCAACACTTGTCGTTTATTTGCATGTTTATACAATATTTACAATCGTTATTATTCTATGATTCACTTCGAATATTTAAACAAATAATGTGTGGTTTCTTACAGGTATTTTTGTTCTAATTTATTTTATTTTCTTATTTTTTCAAATCAAGTGTTAGAATTTTTAGGTTAAGTTTCGCTGGATTTTAAATTTGTTTACTAATTTTAAATTTTTTATTTCTCTAGGTGTAAAATGACAGAATCCGTCAAGGAAATGCTGTACTGTTTGATATGTAACATCAAATTTAGCACGTCCACGAGGAATAGCATTAAAATATTTGATAAAAATTCACTATGTGATTCGCAAAAAACTATTTTATCAGCACTAAATCTCGTATTGGAGACCGAAGTTACTGAAGACAATGTGCACTCAGATGTCATCTGTAAAAAATGTTATAAATTATTTAATGAGGTATTTATAATTCACTATATATCATTTTTTATGTGAAAAGTTTGAGATTAAAGGTAAAATTTGGACAAATTTAAAAAATACATGACAGTATGATTTTCCATCAATCAAGAATTAATTGACATTCATTTTTATTTTAAGCTTTTTATTTATTTTATAGATATTTTCTGACGTAAGTCATTAAATTTTCAGTTAATTGACTACCCAGTCTAATACAACAATTTTTTTTCTCTAATTTTTCGTAATATTGTTAGCCTGTATTTTCCTCCAGGCAAAAACAATTTTTCCTAAATTTATATCTAAATTTGTCATTAAAGATAAATTTGACTGAAAAAATAATTCGGACGGCCCAGACCAGGACTCGAACCTGGATCTTTTGGTTACTTTTTATTTATTATTAAATTTTTATTATCTTCAATAATTTTCCTGATTTTATTTACAGTACGACGAATTAACCAATAGATTAGCCGAAATCAAGCACGATATTTTTGAAAACTACCGAAAGACAGTCAAAAAGCTGACTGATATTGTTGAAGAGGAATATAATGATCACGATTATGTAGATCAGGAAAACCACGTCTTAGAAGAATTTTCCCCACATGCTATCGATGAAGACTCAAACAAAACCAAGGACCTTTTGCCAGCAAAAGAAGAGCATGTTGACATCGAATATCTACAAGAAGACGACTCGGAGAATATAATTAACGAAGAGTACATCGACAATCCAAGTCCTGCAAAAATTATATTGGTAAAAACAGAACAGACTAAAAATAAGGAAGTTTCTAGGAGAGTAAGGAGTTCTCGAGACGAAAATGAACCTCTATTACATCGTGATAAAAATACTAATACCTACACATGCTTACTTTGCCCGGACGATGATCAAATTGCGGGAGACACTCGTGAGATAGTTGCGCATTTAAAAGCTTCTCATGATATCCGGCTTTACGTTTGCGATATGTGTGGTGCAGAGTTTAAAAAGCGAAATGAACTGTCTTCGCACATGGACGAGCATATCGCCAAAGAGGACGGAGACTTCCAGTGTGAGTACTGCAATAGAATTTTCTCAAATTTAAGATTGTTTAGAATTCACAAGCGTGTTCATTACCCTCAAGCTAAATCGTGGACATGTGATCAATGTGGAAAGAAATACAGCTCTAAAAACTTGTTGGAAGAGCATCGTAACACTCACACTGGAAACAGGCCTTACGTTTGTCAAATTTGTAAAAAAGATTTCGCTTCTAAGTACACGTTCAAAGCTCATGAAAAAACTCACGAGGTTCGACCGCGGCCATTCGAATGCAAAGAGTGTAATAAAACTTTTTTGAGCCAGCAAAATCTTACTCAACATGAACGGACCCACTTGGGCATCAAAGAATTTGTCTGCCAACACTGTGGTAAAGCCTTTGGCTCTCAACACAACCTAGAAGTCCACAATATTGTGCACACTGGTCACAAACCCTACGTTTGCGACCAGTGTGGTAAAGCATTTGCCAGGAAAGCCGAGATAAGAGACCACGAAAGAACACACACTGGAGAAAAACCTTATCAGTGTGAGTTTTGCGGTGCGACTTTTAGTCAACGCTCCAACTTGCAGTCCCACAAACGCGCCACTCACTACAATGATAAGCGTTACAAGTGCGATGATTGTGGAAAAGGTTTCAAGCGAAGAAGACTACTGGACTATCACATCAAAGCTCAGCATACCGGTGAAAGACCGTTCAAGTGTGAAACTTGTTCAGCGACATTTGTTTACCCGGAACACTTTAAAAAACACATGCGCATCCATACCGGAGAGAAGCCATATCTTTGCGAAGTATGCGGAAAAGCTTTTAACAGTCGGGATAATCGTAACTCGCATCGTTTTATTCACAGCGATAAAAAACCTTATGAGTGTTTGGTTTGCGGAATGGGATTCATGAGAAAACCACTTCTGTATACTCATATGCAGAACTTGGGACATTTAAATGATACTATTGTTGTTAACCAACCGAGATTAACTACTACTGAAGAACGAGTTATAACTATTCCTGAAGGCACTCAGTTATTGATTGACGGTGAACAAGAAGAAGATGTAAGATTTTATTTTTATTAATATTATTTTTCTGTAACTTCTTATTAATTATTTATTACTATTACTCTTGCGTTGATTACAAAATTTGAATGTTGTAATATTTGAATAACTTATTAATCTTGGAAATTTGGACAATAAATGAAGATGTTAAATTATAAGAATTGCAAAGTTTCGCTGATTTATTTCAGCTTCATCAGGCGAATCTTATGGTTAGCATCCACACACTCGATTGTAAACACACTTGGCAGATAGAAATTGTTGAATTTTATTTTATTTTATTAATTTATTAATTTGAATGGTATTTGAGAAAAATCTAAACAAGTTGTTAATATTGTAATTTGGAAAAAATGTTTGAGATTATGAATATGCGGTTTTACTCTATTACATCTATTAACTTTGTAAAAATTAGACGAGGAAGCTAACCATAAGATTCGCCTAATGCAACTGAAATAAATCAGCAAAATGTTGTAATTCTTATAATTTAACATCTTTATTTATTGTCCAAATTCCCAAGATTAAATTATTTAAATATTTTAAATGAATGTTGTATTTACTATTAATTTTTTCTAGCTATTAATTTACTTATTTTTTTACTAATATAAAAACATTTTTTTAAAGATGGAAGATACTGAATTATATGTAACAGATCTGAAAGATCATGTTATTATTCAAGAAGATGAAAATATTTATCAACATGAAGATGGACTTGATATTGCTTCAGATGAAAATATTGCTGCAGATCAAATTGAACATATTGTAGTTAATAATCAGGTATTTTAATTACTTACTTTATACAATTTGTAATTATTTACATTAATTTAAAAATTTTTATACTAATATTTTAAACTATTTGAATTTCTAGATTGCATTTGCTGACGGCAGTATGATTGAATGTAAAGCAGAAGATGCTGAAGAAGATGCAGAGATGTATAGTTACACTGACGACGGTGAAACAATGGTTGTACCTGCTAGTGAATACAAAAACCTTATTGGCAACAGCAAAGGTCCGGTGCGATTAGTCCAGATGAGAATTTTGAACCCCGGAAGTGATGGCAAAAGCTATGTCAGCCTTGTCCAGCAGGACTCATAATTTTTATGTACATAAATAATATTTGATTTTAATTATTAATTCTAGTAAACTAAAATATTAAGAATTTTTTTTTTTTTTAATAAATACTATAAATAAATTATAATATTTTTTTTTTTACCTAAAATATTTTTGTATTTATTTAATTAGATAATATAGTTATATATCAAACTGTAATAAAAATTAGAAAACTATGTTTACTTGAATTTAGTATACTTTTTTTTTCCGATACCAAAGAATGCGCGCGCGTTGGCGCATGCTCATAAATAAGACGCTAAAAAACCGCGTAAATTTCTCGCGTTCTTCCAACCTCCAAGCATCACTATTCACAACACAAAGAACAAAAACTAAACTCGAGCATTCTCATCTCTTTTGTCAAGGTAGAATTAAGCGTCGAAGCGTCAGTGGATAATATTTATTGTCAATTTATAAAATTTACGTCAAAATGACGGAACAAAAGACTATTTTTGGAATGGGTATGTAGTGATAAATTGTTTCAATAAACAAATGGTATTTTTATTTATAAATTTAACAAGATAGAGTACACGACAATGTGGTTATTACAGATTCTAATGGACAACAAACGTTCGTGAGATTTTACAAAACTCTTCCTGAGGTAATGTTTTTTATTAGTACAATTTATAGAATAATTGCAAGTCGAGAACTTTATTAGCACAATTTTATTTTTATTTTTTTTTACATGGAAATTATTTGAAAAAAACGACCTAAATTAATGACAATAAAGTTAGCCGACATTTAAAAATTTTTAGAATTATTTTTATTGAGAAAATCTTTACAAAAAAATTTTTTTAAAATTTCATTTGTAAAAAATTTGAAAAACGGTAAGTGCAATTAAAAAAAAATTTTTTTCAGTTCTAACTCAATAAATTAAACAAAATTAAAAAATTTCTGCTAATTTTATTATTATCCTAAATTATCGTGTATGTTATTTTTATAATCATACATTTATTTGTTTTTTATTTTATGAATGCAAAATTTGTAGACGGCAAATTTTCATTTCTATACTATTATTAATTTATTTATTTTTAATTACATATAATACTAAACGTTCATTAAAATGAATTTAATGAACTGAAAAGAGTGTTACTTAGCCAGTTCTAACTTAATATATAAGAAATAGATAATATATATATATATATATTAATAAATTAATGAAAACATTAACCGAAGGTATTAGATAATTTGTCTTTAGCCTTCTCATAGGAGGTAGTGATTTTGTTACCTAATTTCTTCCAAAATCCAGGAGATGGTGTAGTTTCGGATAGTGGAGTTGTTGATTCAGGTACTGTGTCAAGAGGTGCTGCACTACGAGCTGAAAATTTTTCAGAAGCAACTTCTCGGATTTCCCAGGGTTCGTTGCCGTAGTACTGAGGCTCTAGAGTTGCCGAAGGATTGGGCTTGACACCAGAGTAGTCTCCCTGAATACCAGCTTTGTAGGGACCTTTACCACCATAAACTTGCAAAATTCTTGACTGTAAGGTAACTGAGTCAACTTGAGATAGCTGCTCTTGATTGTCATTCGTCAAGTCACCTGGATGATGAGACTGATGCCAAGAATTACCTGATTCTTGAGCTAGCGACTGTTCCTCGAGACTCAAAACGCCAGTAGATGGGATGTCACTTTGGTATTGAGCTGGTCGTACTCGAGGAGTATAACCTCGGCCTCCTTTGACTGGTCTTACTGAAATTACAGGTTTCACTGAACTTACTAACTCTGGCTCAATGTCGCCTCGTTGATTACCGATTCTTAGAGGTCTCGGAGTTGGCTTAGGTGCTGGTTTGAATTCTCGAGGATAATTTGTTGATGGGTTGAAGCCAGTTTGTTGACCAAATTCTAAGTTTCCAGTTTGTAATTGATTGTCGTGTTGACCAAATTTATGATTTCCGGATTGATGCTGACTGAACTCATCAACTTTATGAGTTTGTTGCGATAAATCTTCAGTTTGTTGGCCAAATTCTAAGTTACCTGTATGTAACTGATTATGATGTTGAGCAAACTCATGATTTTCTGATTGGTGTTGGCTGAAGTCATCAAGTTTGTGCGTTTGCTGAGACAAATCTTCTGTTTGTTGACCAAATTCAAAATTATGCGTCTGTTGAGATAAATCCTCTGTTTGTTGACCAAATTCTAGATTTCCAGTTTCTAATTTGTGATGATGGCGATCAAATTCATGAGTTCCTACTTGATGGTGGTTAAAATCGTCAAGTTTATGCGTCTGCTGAGACAGATCCTCTGTTTGTTGACCAAATTCAAAATTATGTGTCTGTTGAGATAAATCCTCTGTTTGTTGACCAAACTCCAAATTTCCAGTTTCTAATTTATGATGATGGTGATCAAATTCATGAGTACCGGATTGATGATGGTTAAAATCATCAAGGTTATGTGTCTGCTGAGACAAGTCTTCAGTTTGTTGACCAAATTCAAAATTTCCAGTCTCTAATTCATGATGATGCTGACCAAGTTCATGACTTTCTACTGGACGAAGGGTAAGATGAAAATCATCGAATTTATGAGATTGTTGAGACAAATCTTCTGTTTGTTGTCCAAACTCTAAGTTTCCCGTCACTAACTTATGATGACGACGATCAAACTCATGACTACTCGATTGATGGTGGCTCAAATCATCTAATTTATGCGTCTGCTGAGACAAATCCTCTGTTTGCTGCCCAAAATCAAAACTATGTGTCTGTTGAGACAAATCCTCAGTTTGTTGACCAAATTCCAAATTTCCAGTTTCCAATTTATGATAACGACGATCATACTCATGACCACTTGATTGATGGCTGCTCAAATCATCTAATTTATGCGTCTGCTGAGACAAATCCTCTGTTTGCTGAACAAAATCAAAGTTATGCTTTTGTTGAGATAAATCCTCTGTTTGTTGACCAAATTCTAAATTTCCAGTTTCCAATTTATGATGACGACGATCAAACTCATGATCACTCGATTGATGGTGGCTCAAATCATCTAATTTATGCGTCTGCTGAGACAAATCCTCTGTTTGCTGAACAAAATCAAAGTTATGCTTTTGTTGAGATAAATCCTCTGTTTGTTGACCAAATTCTAAATTTCCAGTTTCCAATTTATGATGACGACGATCAAACTCATGATCACTCGATTGATGGTGGCTCAAATCATCTAATTTATGCGTCTGCTGAGACAAATCCTCTGTGTGCTGACCAAATTCCAAATTTCCAGTCTCTAATTCATGATGATGCTGACCAAATTCATGACTTTCTACTGGACGAAGGGGAAGGTGAAAATCATCGAATTTATGCGTTTGTTGAGATAAATCCTCTGTTTGTTGACCAAATTCCAAATTTCCAGTTTCCAACTTATGATGACGACGATCAAAGTCATGACCACTTGAATGATGGCTGCTCAAATCATCAAATTTATGCGTCTGCTGAGATAAATCCTCTGTTTGCTGACCAAAATCAAAATCATGTGTTTGTTGAGATAAATCCTCTGTTTGTTGACCAAATTCCAAATTTCCAGTTTCCAATTTATGATGATGACGATCGAACTCATGACCACTTGATTGATGTTGGCTCAAATCATCAAATTTATGCGTCTGCTGAGATAAATCCTCTGTTTGCTGACCAAAATCAAAGTTATGCGTCTGTTGAGATAAATCCTCTGTTTGTTGGCCAAACTCTAAATTCTTCGCCTGTTTATGCCAAAAATCAACTCTTTGAGCCTCTTGATTCAAATTTTCGATATTCTGCTTTTCAAGCGCCAATTTTTCCGTATTCTGTCCAAAGTCAAACTCTCCTGTCGTCTGCTGGCTCAAATCTCCAAATCCAGCATTGGTTTGCTGGTCAAAATCTTCATAGCGCCGACTTTCTCGCTTATAACGATGTTCTCCTTCAGAGTGTCTGTGACGATCATTATCTTGATGAGAGTTTTCTTCATGACTTTGGTGGTCATGACTATGACCTCCATTGTTATCAAAGTCATTATCACGGCTCAAATGTCTATGGCGGTCATCATCCTGATGTGGATGTCCTTCGTGGCTCTTGTGATCATGATCTTGATGATGATACTCATCTCTGCGATACCTCTGACCGTAATCCTCACCATAATGTTTGTGACGATTTTCATTTCGATGGGACTGTTGCTCATAATTCTGTCCATACCCTGAATGTCCATGTCCTCTTTCCTGATTATACTGACCATAATCTTGACCATACTGACCATAATCTTGACCATGCTGACCATAATCTTGACCATGATGTCTATGGTCTTGATAAGAACGTTCCTGATTCTGGTAAAAATTATCTATTCCACTGTTTTGTTCAAAACCATTACCATGATGTCTATGACGATCGTTATCTTGATGAGGATGTCCTTCATGACTTTGTCCATATCCCGAATGTGGATAACCCCCACTATTTTCCCTCTGCTGTCCAAACTCAATGTCTCTCTTATGTCTCTTTGTGTACTGACCAAGCTGTCCACCAAGAGTATCACAATCAGCAGCCTGATGTCCCAGATCAATAGCTCCAACTCGATAGCTTCCACTGCTTCCAAACTGCTCATGATGCTGATACGAAGCCGAAGATCCACCTGACACATGGCTAGCCTGGTTTGAATAACCTAATCCTTGGCTAATTCTCTGATGAGTTAGGTCACCTCCAATCGGGACAGTTTCAACGTGATGCGGGATAGTCGACTCGACTCTATGTCTAGAATTAGACTCCCAATGCTCTTCGACTCGCCTTCCTGAATGCGTTGGAATATCTTGAACGGCTGCATACTGAATATTGTCCCTTAGCTGATTGCGTAAAGCTTGTTCTGCAGCTAATGTTTCTTGCGTTCTAGAATCTTCTCTGTAAGTATTTACATTGCTGCCGTAATCATTGCGGTGCAGAGGAACTCGAACGATACCCCCTACTTGCTGATTATGATGCGTCTCATCAATGTCAGCTCGATGTGTCTGCTGTGTCTGGACTGTCTGCTGATTGGTATGTTGACTTGTCTGAACATTCTCAAGCTCAGTGTCTGGTATTACATAATTAAAGTGTGTTACAGGTTGTACGGGAATGTAGCCAGTGCCTCCGGTTTTAACAGTCTGATGCTGTTGAGAAGTATGCTGGTACCTCTGCTCTGTTGATAGTGGACGGTCGTAATGCTGGGGATTATTATTTTGAGTGTAAACTTGCCCGTATCCAGTCTGTTGGGCTGAATTGTCGCTGTGAATACTTTGAGAATGGTGAGAGTCTCTGCTGAGTTGATTCAACTGCGATTCAAGTCGTTGAGCTTGAGATTCAAGATTTGTTACGTCAGTAATTATTGGAACGACCAATGGTGTTCCACTGGAAGTGTAACTAGATGTGTAATTTTTCTTGTAATACCGGACTTTAGCAGGTCCTTGAGAGTACTGGCCCTCTTCTTCGTATACTTTACCACGACCGCCATCGACACCGTAGGTATTAAATCTGCTCCAGTTGTCATTACTTGCACCATTGACACGATCATTGTACAACTGTGTGTTGGTAGATTCTTGGAATCTTGAAGAGTCTAAACGACTTTGCTCGTGTCCGTAATTCTGAGCAGACTGAAGTCCAAGATTACGAGAGTGTAACAGATCATCTTGCAGTAAACTCTCGCTGTTTAAATTGTGGCCGAGTCCTAAATTGTTGGACCCGGTGCCGTAGGTAGCGGCGTAGTTTTTTTTGTAGTAACGAACTTGAGCACCACCGTTTACCAGCTGGCCAGCTTCCTCGTGCACTTGTCCAGCTCCGTCGGGGGTTCGGTAATCTTTATGGTCAGTCCAGTTTCCAGGATGGTCGAAGTTGACGTTAAGTCGCGAAGACTGGAGCTGGTCTGTTAACGATTGATGAAGCTCACGCAGAGTACTCTGCTGCTGGGCTAAAGAACTATGAGTTCCGAATGCTGTCAGTGATTCTGATGTGTGGGCATTCAGTGATGGGGTGCACAAATCTATGCAGTGAGGTGCTGCTGATCCGTAAACGATTGCGCAGAAAATTATTAACAGTTTTGTTATCATTCTGGCCTGAAACAATTAATTATTTATAATTAGTTAAGTTCAAAATATTTTTTTTTATTAGTCGCACAAGAAACTTCAATTTTTGCATTTCTTGCCATATTTTTACTGTCGCATTTTTCTTTAAAAAAAAAAATTCAATATTCTTTGAGTTTTTAACAAATTATTCGTTATTGTAAATAACAGTCAAAATTTAAAATTAATTACAGTAGAACCTTGATAAAGTAGAATTCAAAGAAAAAATAAAAAAATTTGAATTATCAAGTTTTTAATTATTAAAGGTTAAAGTTAGGGAGGTTTTAAAAATTCAAATTTCAACTTAAAGATTATTTACTAAACAGTTTTATTTATAAGAAAAAAATTTTGTTCAAACGTTGCTAATAAGAATTTTATAACTAAAAACGAATCACTTCACACAGACGATCAAAGCATTTTTTTGAGAAATTAAACACTTTACAAAGAAAGTTTGAATAAAAATTTTCGTTTATCTAGAATCAAGCAAAGAAATTCTTGGAATAAGAAATTTTTCTTGGTTTAAGTTAATTTTATTTTTTTCAGAAATTTTTTTGCTTCTTATTGAAAGTTAATCTTCAAATTATTTGTTTAAATTATAGAGGATTTAGGCCTAAAAAAAAAAAAATAAAATATAACAATTTATTCAGTTATTGAGGTCTTGCATAATTAAAATGTTAAAATTCATTTAAATTTGATATATAGATTACTGAAAGAATATTAATTATGAATATTTATCATAACATTATTAACATTTTATGCTACTACTAAATACAATAAACACTTAGAAACTTTTTTATTTTCAAATGAACAAATTAAAAATATAAAAAAAAAAAATTAAAAGAAAAAACTTGCTGATAAAATATAAAAAATTATAAGTACATATTTTCATCTAACTTTTTATTTTCAATTCAATTGTTCATAAAAATATAAAACTTTTAAAAGTAATCAATTAAAAAAGAATTTTATTAAATTTGTAACAAAAGTATATTCAGAGAAAATTTTGATTAATCAGGATATTTAGTAATTAGAATTACAATTACAATGAAAAAATTCAAATTTACCTTAATTACAGATGACCAGTAAAGAAAACAATTATATTGTTTAGCTGCTGACCGTTTAAATAATAACTAACGTATTAAATGTTTCGATGACCGGTGATTCAATTTATGTTTTCTGCCCCTCTACTTTATTTTTGTGATGACATCCAAGAGCATACTCGATCTTTTAAATACTCATCTCCACTCTGTCGTTTTATTTATCACATCTCCGTGGCACGGGGTTTTATCAGCATTCTCAGTAATTAAATTTCTCAAGACAATTATTAATAAGAATACCCCGGCATATCAGAACTAACTATTAATAAATTTTTATCTGAGCCATTTTTCGCTTTCGAATTATTGAGGTAATTAATAACTAACAACAACAATAAATTTATATGGTTACGATGTGTCACACATCGCAATAATATTGTCTAAAGATTTAATGAACTGAGAGTATTTCCAGTTACTCAAGGATGTCGAGGTACTTATGTCAGTCAGATGTATTCATAATATTCCGTTTGATTTTTTTCTTATTATTTATTATATTAATAAATATAAATATGATACAGTTATCATTTTATTAGACCTTGAAATACATAAAAAATATTTGTTTTAAATAAATAGTGTACACATAGGAAATTGATACCCCAAATAAGATAAAATTGACCTTCCCTGGATGAACTCAGTTTATCAGATCAAGGGATTTTTTATAAATTTTATTAATATATGGTAATCTACATTTCACAATCGATTCAACCGCATCGCATTACGTAATACTTATTTTATAATTAATAAATTATTCTAAAGATACTAATTTATCATAAATATGAATTAAAATTATAATTGTAATTTAGTTGTCAGTAGAGTACTGGCAGGAATATTAAGAGACCTGGAGGCGCGGAAGTGATCTCATGGCTACATAATAATTATTAATAACTAAAAATAATAATACTTAATCATTGTTTTATTTTATAATCGATTTTCTGTGAATTTGTGTGCGTATGTAACCCCTGATCCGGAGACCTACTGATAGACAATGACCTTAAGACTTTGAGAAAATTTGTCGGAGATACAAATACAGCACTTTATTTATTCCTCATCTGTCAACTATCTTCAATAAAATTTATTAATGGAACGATGAATCATTATTTGGGGTTTCCTATAAATTAACCAAGATTACACTAATTGAAAATTCATTTATTAAAATTGATCGAATAAGTGGGTCAAGAATCCTTATATTTAAATGGGCATTGTTTGTCTGATGTATGAAGAGGTCAAGGCGTTTGATATTGTTTTGATTGTGTATTTTCGTCGGGGGAAAATGTTATTGGAAATACCCAACTGTCAAACTGGACTGACTGATTAAATTTAAATTTTTTCATTTATGTTTATTTTATATTATTATTTATTTACTTTTAATCTCTTTGTTACAGAAATCCAGCAGCACGATACAATTTTTTAAAAGGAGTGATTATTACACGTGCCATGGCGAAGATGCGTTGTTTGTTTCTAATGAAGTTTTTAAAACAACCTCTTCTTGCAAAATGATTGGAGCTGGTAAATTTATTTTTTTGATCAATAGCAAATCCATTATGATTTTTTAATTAAAAAATTTTTGATACTTAATGGGTGTATAAAGATTTTATATTGAACGATTGTATAAGCTAATGTGCCGAATAATTATTTAATATAATTATGATCGAATTATATTAATAATAATTAATGATAAATTATTGATTTTTCCAGAACCGAATAAACTAGAAAGTGTACTGGTTAACAAAGCCAACTTTGAAAATCTGATAAAAGATTTATTATTAGTTAGAAGATACCGAGTTGAAGTATATGAAGATAAAGGTACAGGACGTAATCGTAACTGGGTTGTTGAATACAAAGGATCACCGGGAAATTTAAGTCAATTTGAAGAAATACTTTTTGATAGTGGAGACATTGAAGCTGATGTAATTGCAAATGGAGCTATTATGGCGGTTATTATGGGAATGGAAGGAAAATCTAAAGTATAATATATATTATTTTTTTTTTTTTGTAATTTTTACAAGTGGGGTCAATCCCATTTTGAGCCATAACTAGGTGAAAAATTAACAATTTCAAATTTTTTTTTATTCTACTTGTTTTTACGGCACATATATGATGAAAAATGTCGTGAAAGAAAAAAATAAAGATTTTGATAGCTTTTTTGCCTTCAAAAGTTGGAAAAAATTTTGGCTTTCATGTTATTGGATAAAATTTCTATTTTATCTTTTTTTTTTTTGATAAAATTTTTTTTTTTTTGAAAATTACATAAAAAAACAAACAATTTAAAAAAAAAATTGATCAATTTGATCAAAAAAATTAACATGGGCTAGCATGGGTTGACCCTACTTATAAATAATTACCATTTTTTTTTATTGGATATCTGTATAAAAATAATAATTTAAATTATAAATTTTAGGTTGTGGGATTGAGTTGCATTGACACAATGTCATCAGTAATTCGCGTGGCGCAGTTTATGGACGATGAAGCATTTTCAAACTTAGAAGCTCTGACAGTATCCAACTCGCCGAAAGAATGTCTATTGATCCAGAGCGAAAACAGCCAAGACTTTGAAACAATTAAAGGCATAATTGAGCGTAACAATGTCATGATTACTTTAAAGAAGAAAAAAGACTTTGATAAAGAGTCTTTGATACAGGATCTGGATAAACTTTTAAAGTTCAAAAAGGGTGAGATGGAAAGTGCCCACATTTATCCAGAAACTAATTTAGAACATGCAATGTCGGCAACCGCTGGCATTATAAAGTATCTGGATTTACTTTCCGACGAAGGAAACTTGGGTCAGTATAAAATCGAAGATCTCAAGCAGTATCACTTCTTGAAACTTGATTCTGCGGCAATAAGAGCTCTGAACATCGATCCACCACCCGAGTACCGGCTGGGAGGCAACAGAGGTGCTGCTACCAGCATCCACGAGCTGCTGGATAAATGTAAAACTCCCCAAGGTCATCGTCTTCTGAGTCTCTGGTTGAAACAGCCTTTACAAGATCTTGCACACATCAAAGAGCGTCATGATATCGTCGAATATTTTGTTAATAATTCTAGCGTTCGTTCCGAAGTTAGTAATGAGTACCTGAGACAAATTCCTGACTTGGAGCAGCTGGTTAAAAAATTACTGCGTAAAAAAGCGCGTCTACGTGATGTTTATAAGTAAGTTAATTAATTTTTTTTACTGTTCAAGTAATTTAGTTGTGAATTTTTATGAATGAATTTTTATTGCAGGATCTACGACTGTGTAAACCGCTTACCTCAGCTTGTCGAAGCTTTGAGCGACGACAGTACTCCAGCAGCATTAAAATCAATGATATTAGAGCCACTGAAAGAAAATGTTGCTGACATGGAGAAATATCAGCAGATGGTCGAAGAGACTATTGACTTTGATGCTGTAGAAACTGGAGAGTATTTTATTAAACCATCTTACAGCAGTGATTTAACTGGTAAATATTTTTAAAAACTTTTATAATTGGTATTATTAAAATTATTAAAACGGGGGATATGACAATTCTGTTGAACCGCTAGTCGAAATTCAAAATAAATTAATCAATAAAATAAAAATAAGCAGTGAGTCGTTGATACCTTTAAAAATAAAATATACTTTTGTTGTTAACTGTTGTTATACTGCACTCTGAAAGGATATTTTATACTCGTATTAGGCAGTTAGATTTACCTAAAGTTAAGATAACTATTAACACCAAAAATGCTTACTATGTAGCAGTGTTGAAAACACTGAATGTATCTAAAAAGGTTCTAAGAAGAAAAATTTGCAAATTTATTAGAAATCTGAATTGTTAACAACTTATGGTTTTATCTATCCCTTAGAAATGACTGTATAGCAACTTGTGTTATGACATTTGTAATTTTGTGCGTTTCTTTTCTATTGAAATTTTCTTGATTTGAAAAAAGTATGCGTAATTTATGTATTTTATTTTTTTTTTTTTTTTTTCTGGTTTCTATGCACAGGTGTAATGCACCTCTATAAAATTTATATCCAGAAGTAAAATAAAATAAATAAATTAAAAATTATTTTAATGATTAACTAAATAAAACTTTTGTTTTTAGAATTAAACGAGTCGATTGAAAAATTGAAGAAGAAAATGAAATCGCAATTGAGCAAAGCCGCTGAAGATCTAGGACTTGAAGCAGAAAAGTCAATAAAATTAGAATGTACGTCCCAGCAAGGCTACTATTTCCGTGTTACAATGAAAGAAGAAAAAATAGTAAGTCGCAGTAAGAATTACACAGTGTTTGATTCGATAAAAAGCGGAGTTAAATTCCGCAACGGTACATTGGAAGCCCTAAATCAAGAGTACTTGGACGACAGAGAAAAGTACGAAGCCGAGCAAAAAATAATTGTAACAGAAGTAATAAACCTCGCGATTGGATATTGCTCGACGATTAAAAACATCGCTGCTGTTGCTGCTGTATTGGATGTACTCTGTGCCTTTGCGGTCGCCGCTACTAATACTCAGAAGACGTATGTACGTCCGAAAATGCTGCCTAGTGACGCTGGAGAGATGAAGTTCATTCAGGCGAGACACCCATGCGTCGAGGGACAAGAGGATGTTCATTATATCGCTAATGATATTGAATTCAAACGTGGAGAATCGGAGTTTCATATAATTACCGGTCCTAACATGGGTGGTAAAAGTACACATTTGAAAACAGCTGGTATTGTTGTTCTTCTTGCTCATATTGGAAGCTTTGTTCCTTGCGACGAAGCCTCTATGTCTATGGTTGACTGTATTTTTGCTCGAGTCGGTGCCGAAGATTCGCCTTTCAAAGGATTGTCCACTTTCATGGCTGAGATGATAGAAATGGCTTACATTATGAGGGTAATTTTTTTTTCTTAAAATAATAATAATTAAATAATTAATGACACTGAAGATAGCAGAGACGTCTAAAAATTCTTGATTTTTTTTTTTTTTTTTTTTAATTAAATTACAACTAAAAAGATATTTCTAAAAAATTTCACTTATAGTTTTTCGAGTTTTTTACATGTGAAATTTTTTTTTTTAATTGTTTAATTGAAATTTTTTCAATAAAAAATTTTGAAATGTCAGCTAACTTCATTTTCATAAAAATTAAATAATTATAATAATAATAAAAATTTTTTTTTGTAGACTGCAACATCAAATTCACTTATTTTAATCGATGAACTCGGTAGAGGAACGTCAACATACGACGGTCGAGGTCTAGCGTGGGCGATAGCTGAAGACTTGGCCAAAAATGTCCGAGCTTTTACATTTTTTGCGACTCACTTCCACGAGATAACGATCCTCGCTGAAAATATACCAACGGTAAAAAATTACCACGTAACAGCTCTAGTAAAAGGTGAAGACGTGGTTTTCTTGTACGCCATCAAGGAAGGAGTCAGCGACCAAAGTTTTGGTATTAACGTTGCTCGTATGGTCAATCTACCTCCAGAAGTTATTGAATACGCGGAAAAGAAACTCACAGATCTCGAAGAAAACCAGCACATTTATGAAGGATACTTCGAGGGTCCTTACAGTGCCGCTGAGAAAAGGAAGTTTGTGGTTGAAGCTGACGCACTCATTGAAGAATTTACTGGGAAATGCAAGGCTCTGGATCCGTCTCTGCCAGAAGACGAACTGATGAAGAAAATTAACGAGTACAAAGAAGAAATAGTTGGTCACAAAAATCCTTATATTGAGGCCTTATTGAAGAAATCCAAGCCATCTATTTCTTAAAATTTTAAATTTTTTAATTAAATTTTATTATAAGAGTACGCTATAGATGATAAGAATTTTTTTATTTGATTTTTATTTTTGTCAATGTTTAATAAGGCTATTGAGTAGTACTCAATTACCATATTTTTTGCTCAAGTTTATTTCATAATTTATTACCTGAACAATTATTGACGCGAAATAAAACTACGCTGGATTAAAATCAATTATTTATAATTAAAGTATATTACTTCTAAAAATAAAGCATGTACATCAGTTTTATATTTATAAATTCAAATAGCCATGTTATTTGCAGTATTAAAAAAACCAAGTGTTAAAATAAATAATTTCCGTTATAAATTAAAGATTTTTTTCATTATTCTTCCACTTAACCAAATAAATATTTATATTTTTTATTTAAAATTTATTTAAACCGTAAAAGAATAAAAAAAAAATTTTAAAATAATTAATTAAAGAAAAAACGTAGCCTTGAACTTGACTAGCGTATTGGTTCTTCAGGGAGTGTCAATTTTCCGCTCATTCGCTAACGTCGTCGCAAATAGAACACTCATAGAGCTATATACGAACGTTCTCACGATTGTTACAACATACTGCTAATAAATTTATCAATTAACGAGTTTATTGTGTATTTATTTAACTAAAATGGATCCTGCAGTGTTTCCCGAGGAGATATGGATAAAAATATTGTTATACTGTGATGTACCTGACATTATTGCATTCGGAAGTACCTGCAAATATTTAAGAAAAACATCTGACACCGACTATCTCTGGTAAGTTAGGTTAACTTTTATTTTTTATCTCAATCTTTAACAACAATTACTAAAAATTAACGTGCGGTAATTATTAATTCAGTAATAATTTATCTAAATGATAATTGTTGAATAAACTTTTTATGTGTCAAAATATTATTTGACGTTTAATTTTCATTTTACTAAAAATAAACGTCAGATAATTTTTATATTTTTATAAACTAATTAAATATTATTAAAATTTAATTTTAAAATATATAAACAGATTTTTAAATATTTAAAAAATTTTTTTACGTTCTTGCTTTTTTTACAAGTAAAAAGATTATCGGGTGTCGGCCACTTATGAAATTTAAAGTAACAGACATTTTATAATTTCTGTATTTATAGAAAAATTTAAAAAAAAAGTCACATATTTCTAAATTTTATTTTTAACTTCTACTTTTTATAAATATTTAATTTTTCACTTGAAATTTAGATTTTTAAATAATTATTTTTTTTTTTTTTTTTCTAGGAAAATGAAATGGCTCCAATTACTATCAAAGGTACATTTTAAATTTCCTGACATAAAATGTCTCCAATTGCTCAGTGTAAGTTTCAAAGCAATGTGTTACCGCCTGCATATGGTGATAACTCTAAATGAGAACGTAAACGGAGGAACGTTTCCAAAATGCTACCACTGCAGCGGGTACACATGTCAGCGTAACTGCGTGGAGGGTTCTAGCGCAAAAGTTGTAATTGAGATTGGCAATAAATATACGTGGGTAATAACACCACATTCTGGACTACGCAGGCACTTTTCGCTATTTGGAATCCCCAAGTGCGACAGTAAAACTCACGTTCAAAACACGCATCCGCCACCGGCTGACAAATTGAATGCAGGAGGAGGTACAAGTACGAGTAGTCGCATAAAGTCTGATTATAAATCTATAGCCAAGAAACTTAAATCGTTGAAACTGTCAGAGCTGACGACGACGAAGATACCGCGTCCAAGCGGGCCTTTCTGCGTTTTCTGCAATTCTGTTAAACTTTATAGGGAAAAAAAGAGGTTGATAACACACCCGCTGGAAGCGATGTGTTACACCCGGGCTAATCCACTTTACCAGAAACTAGTAAACGGATATTGCACGGACACCATTGAGGTTCTTGGAATTCCCAATGTTGACGTGGTTAGTCCAGCAGAGGCATTACTCAGCGATGGGTCTTTTTCAGTTTTAAGGACATTTGTCGATCACTTGTTCCATCAAATGGAACTGACAGCTACGTTGCGGAAACCAAACGCTGTGTTGATGTTTTGCGAACCGCTGGCAATGCAGCCAGTGCTGAGGAAACAGTTGCTGCACTATCTTTTCCAAGAAGTTAAAGTAGCGAGGTAGTTTTTCAATTTTAATTAAATATTTATGGGGTAAGATGTGAGAGATAGTTTGCCAGCTATTGATTGATTGCTCGGATTTTAATTACAGAGTATGCTTAGTTCCAAAGCCATTAGCGGCTTGTGCGATGCTAGACGTCGAGACGTGTGTGGTGGTTGACAGCGGAGCACTCAGCACGACTGTCGCGGTGGTTATTGGAGGACGAGTGATTCCGCATCGCTGGCGGTTGCTTCCAGTTGGCGGATGGCACGTTGCTTATCATCTCAAACAGGCGATGCACTGGCAGCCTAAAGAGTATCACCAGATACCTATCTCTCATCTTGACACCATGGCGGTCAAGGAGAGGTGTAGGTTGAGTTATAATATTGAGAGTGAGGAACTCAGAAAGGGACCTACCAAAAGGGAGCATATTAATTTGAGAGTTGATAGTTATGCTGAGTATAAACAGTTTTGGGTAAATATTTTAATTTTTTTTTTTTTTTTTTTTTTCAGACATTGTTTTGTTGAATTTTTTTAAAGTAAATTTTATGATAGTATACAAGATTCAAGTATAATTATGTAGTTCAGAAGTTTTATTTTGTGCAGTAATTGAAAGTTGCGGTGTAGAATATTCAATTGGGAAATAGCGGATAACTAATTCAGTAACGGTAGAAAATATTTAAGCTTAAAACAAACAATCAATAATGATTGTTGATTTAAGACAGCTCGGTATAATTTTTAATGCATAGAGTTGAATATTTTTTTTTTAACTTCTCGCTAAGAAAATTGCAAATTTTCTTAGCAGTATGTTTTTTAAAAAATAACTAAAGTGTGGAAAAAAAATCATAATAAAACCATGTATACATTTTTTGTGCTTAAATAACTGCGTCGAATGCTTTTTTAAAAATGAAAATCGAACGACACGTTCAAAAGTTATAGGTGTTTAAAAATTAACAAAATTTTTTTTTTTTCTGTATTTTTTATATTTTACAGATTGCAGTGAATATTACAATTTCTCACCAATCAACTAAATTACAGAAATTTTAATTTTAAAGTAATATTTTCGAAATCGAAGATTGAAAATACAGATGGATACATTTTAAACTCGAAATCTTAAAATGTAAATAAAATTCTAAAGAATGTAACGAATTATACTTTGAACTAGGGTAAAAGACCCCATTACTGACACTTTTTTTGATTTTGGTACTTATTGAATTAATGAAATCATTAATTTCAATAATGAATATATTATTTCTAATCTTTAAGACCTTTAGATCAAAAAAATTTTTATTATTGAAAGAAAAAGTGTCACTAATAGGGGTTAAAGGTGCCACTAATGGGGTCTTTTACCTTAGAAGAATTTAAAAATTTACGAAAGATCAAGTTTTTCATATTAAAAATCTGTTAAAATTGCCAAAAGTAATAGTTTGCCAAATTAAATATTTAAAAAATGAATAAATACATTTTTAGCTCGAAGACTGAGCAGAAAGTTGTAGGGTTGGTCTGCGTGGTCAACCGACCTCCAGATTTTTTTTTTTTTATTTAAATATTGATTTAGTGATAATAACTATACTTGAATTATTTTTTCTTTTAATTCGTGGTTGTATCAATTAAAAAACACTGTCTGATATTATTAAAAAAAAAAAAAAACATCTTAAATACTAATACAAATAAAAATTTTTAGAAAGTGTCATTAGGTCCAGAGTTATATGTAGCGCCAGAGATGATGTACATCAGTCTAGGTCTCCCACAAATAATAAAAGATGTAACAGCTGGCTTATCAGAAAATACCATGCAAGATTGTTTATCGCACATCCTTCTCACAGGTGGTAATACTGATCTAGCAGGCTTTGCATTGAGATTAAAAAAAGATTTACGCGAGACATTGCCCGAATACGAGTCTGTTCTCGAAGTAAGAAGCTGTCCCGGTACACACAGTTGGAATGTCGCTATGGGCTCCACATATGTTCCGTTAGCAGTACATCCCGGTAAATATTTTTTGTCACCAACACACTTGCTTTTAACATAATTACTTTGTTGTTTATTATTATGTACATATTTATTTTCAGATAAAACACCACCTGAGTATGTTGAAGGTAATCCATTTTGGTTATCCCGCGAAGAATATGTTCTCTTTGGTTGTCAATCATTGGAATAAGTAATTACTCAATTAAAAGCAATTTATTATTAAGAATTAAATAATTCACGAATCATCTCATTGAAAATGAATCGGCAAAAACGGTTAATAAAGTAGTCGTGTAATTGAAACAAATTCGTCCTAAAGGAATACGATTTTTCTATTTAAAAATTTTAAAAATCGTATAATGTTGAACCGACTAAATATAGTTTATCTCACGTTACATATTAACTAAAATAAACTATGTTTATTAAACGATTTAATGAATTAATCATAAATTGAAAATGAAATTTAGTCATTGATACATATGACAGTAATATATTTGGCACTTGAAACTGATTTAAATAATTTATAAACGCGAAACGCGAATTGATAATTGATAATTGAAGTAATATATATATATATGATGATCGTTAAACTATAAGTAAAAGTAATTAATAGATTTTGTTATTTTATTTTTGAATTTTGTTGAATATTTAGAGTATACTATTAGAAATTAATATATTGAAGAACCAAATGACTTATATAATAATAAATTGTTTTTTTGTTTACTGCTGATATGTTCGATCTGTACATAATTAATTTATTGTATATGATCTACAAAACTTACCCAGTGGCAAAGCGAACAAATTTAGACTTTTATTTTTACTTTTCAAATTAAGTTGACATAATTATTAGTGTAAATTATTTTGAAGAAAATTTCTTTATTATTATAGAGGGTCAACATAAATTTGAAATTACTAGATAGGTAAATAAATTTTTATAAAAATTATAGCCTACTGTATTGTTCAATGATTTTTTTGGTTTAATATGAACTGTAAACTGGCGAGTTTTGTAAATCGAATACGGTAGTTTTTAATCGACATGTAAATAAATAAGATATAAATGCTTACCGCGAGAAATAATATAAAAAAAGAAGTAATAAAAAATAGAGAATCCAATAATGTAGATTGAAAGCTTAATCAAAACGAGTATTAGTGTCGACTTTTCGTCTACTTTGTAAATTTATATGAGAAACTTCTTGCCAAACAATAAAGACAATTATATATTATAGTCTCAATTATAAGTAATAAAAATACATAATATATAAACAAATGAATAATAGGGGTCCTTCTAGTCAAACGCGCTTGACGTTGTTTATTAATTAATAATTACTATTATTGAATATTAATAATTTAAATTAAATTGTTTTCTCGATGTGTAAAAAATTAAAATAGTTTTATTGTGATTTTACATACATATTCACCAAGTTAGATATGTTATCGATATATATATTCTATGAAAAAAAAAAAAATTTTAATATTATTGTTTATTATATTTATAATTGCGTTGAATCTCATCGACATTTTAATATTCCATCCACATTCCATTAAAATCATTTTGTTTTTTTATTTTTATTTAAATGTCTATTTTATTTTAAAAGATTATTAATATTTTTGTTTTATTTTATTTTACTGTAAATAAATAATATATTACATTGATTGATTTTATTTTTACAATATTTATTTAATAGAAACATCAGAGTACATATTTATATATATATAATAGGAAACTACATGAGGTATATACACACATACATGCACGCATGTATTTTTATTACAACTTAAATTTGCTCTATATGTTAATTAATTAATTAATTAACGATAATTAATTACTTATTAAAAGATTGAATGCTTTGTGAATAAAAATCTTTTTCATTTATATCTTTAATTATAACATTTGTAACAGATGTACGTAATAAAGTAATAAATCATTGGTTTTTAAAACTTGGTAATTTTTCGTCTTTTTTTTTTTTTCTAATAAAACTAAAAATAATTTCAACGGAGTTTATTTATTTTTTCTGTACATTAACTACGATAGTAAGAAAAGATGATTATAAATTCATTTCTATGGCGTACATTGTATTTACAATTTTTTATGGTATATTCTTAATTACTAAAATTCCACATGAAAATTTATAAAATTGGTGTGTTGGTTATTAAATAATTTTTAATTTATAGATCGAAGCGTGAATTTAATAGCGCTTAAATAATGTCTAATCATGGACTGCGTCAGAAAAAAATAGTTTTTTTATTAATACTAAATATACGTTTCAGTTTTCATCATAAAAAATAAAAATAAATTGGAAATTTTTTTTTAATTCAATTTAAAACCATATTAAAAAAATAGTTGATTTTTTTTTTTTAACTTTTTCATCAAATAGATTTTTGAGATATATTTAATATAATATAAAAAAATTTTTTCTGGTACAGCTTAATGTAATCTAACTTTAATAATTATAATACAGATTTTTAAAATTGTTTTTCGCAGTTATATTGAAGAAATAAATTTCTAATCTAGAAGGCACAATTGTATCCTTCAAATAAAATTTACATCAAAATGTAATTACTAAAGTACGTATCCTATAATTTATATTATTTTTGGAACCAATTATCAAAAAATTTTCTGTTATTATAACAAAATACGTACAAAAAATGTAGAGATTGTATAAAACGTTAATTCACCCTAAAAATTTTAACAGCGCCAAAAAAATAGTAAAAAATTTAAAATCTTTATAAATTCAATTAATCAATAATTGGCAACAATAATTATAATCAGTACTTACATAATCATAATGATAAAAATAATTAGACTTAAAGATAATATGAAGGAGCTAGATGCTGATGTAGATGATGAAATAAATGATTTTTAATCGAATAAACTATATAGTACCTCAACAACAAGAGGATTTGGCGGGTTCAGCTTCGACTAAATTGAAATCTAAGCCACCGGGGCGTGCAAATCCAGTCTTAATTCCGTCCCAGCCATCTTCGATCTTGTATTCGCCGGTTTTGATTCTGTTGTAGACTTCTTGGGTTACGGCGCGAAACGCTTCAGTAACATTTACTCCGGTCTTGGCGCTCGTTTCAATATGGTGAACGCCGTGTTGATCAGCAAAGGCCCGGGCTTCTTCCTTAGATACCTCACGTCTACCTCCATTAGTAACTAGATCTAATTTGCAACCCACCAGAGCAAATACTGGGCGATGAGGTTCGATATGACGACGCGCTTCCATCATCCATTGGGGAATGTGCTCAAAGCTTGCTCTATTACAAACATCATACACCAATAATGCTCCTACTGAGTTACGGTAATATGATTTTGTTATTGACCTGAAATAATTCATTTTTTATTATTATTTATAATTATATTTCAAAACAATTAACGATTACTTAGGTACTGTTATTTCAGAGAGTGAACTTTAACAATTGCAAAAAATGAATCATTGTACTGGAAACATGTAATATAATACAATATAATATTTTTCATTTTATAATTATCTATTTTATATAGAAGATAATTATTGCGATATCTGATAGTTGCGATACAATGTAACATTGATAAAAAAATTAATTTCATATCTTATTTTTGTTGAAGAGTTATAACTACTAATTATTTAGGAAGTTACATCACTGCTATTTAAAAAACAAACAACAATAATAATTCTATAGTTCATCTACTTGTAATAATATTTTACAGTTTAACATTTTAATATCAACTTGGGTCCAAAATTTACGACAATTTAATAATATAAATGATAACTGATAACAAACTTCTAATAATTATTTGGTACGTATTTTTCATCTTTTTTTTTTAAATGTTTTTTTCTTTACAAAAAAAATAATTATTAATATAGATAAACCCTAAAAAATAGTAATAATAGATAAACCCACTCTAATTAATCATGATACTGAAGTTAGCTGTCAATTTTAAAAATTTTTATAACAAATTTACAATTTAAAAAATTCTTAACAAAAATTTCCATTGATAATTTTTTTTAATTTTCACATGTGCAATTTTTTTATTAAAATTTTTTTATAATAATTTAATTGAAATAATTATAAAAAAACTACAGTACAAAGTACTCGGAAAGAACAAGATGACACTGGATATCATCCCAGATTATCTCAGTGATATCTGTGGTGAAAAAAAATATCAGATAGTAGTTTAAAAAATCCAGATTATACTGCGTGATATCTGGATTATTATCATTGTAATCTTGATTATACTAGCTACTATCTGAAATTTTTTTTTCACTCAGTATAATCTGGGATGATATCCAGTATCATTTTGTTCTTTCCGTGTAGAAATAGTGAACCAAAACATTGTTAGAATAAGAGAAAGAGTATGAGTGCAGATTAGAGATATTTTTTTACTATAAAAAAAAAATGTTTGTAAAAACTTTGTAAAACACAACTTATGTGATACAAATAAAACTTATAATAATTTAATTGCTATAAAATTATAAAAAAATTTATAATGTCAGTTAATAACTTCAGTGTCATAATTAATCAGTAATTAAAACTATGTCTTGGAATAAATTACCTAAAACGCTCTTGGCCAGCTGTATCCCACAGTTGTAATTTGATCCTTGTACCATCATCGACGTCTATCAGTCGTGCAAAAAAATCAACACCCACAGTTGGGTCTGAAAGCTACAAAAAAAAATACAATTACTTATATATTAATTACTTCAATATGTTTATGCATGAAATAATAAATAATTTAATATATATATATATATATATATATATATATATATATTTTTACCACATACTTTAATTAATTAATATAAATTACTAAATAAAAATTTTCTGTATAAATATTTGTTATAAACAAAATAAAGATAAAATACCAGCTGATAAAAATAAAACAATGACTTGTTGAATTAGAAGATAATGCTAATTAGTGTATAAGAAAAAACCAGCAAGTATATACATTTATTGAGAATAAAAATTGAAAAAATGATAACTACGCATTAATAACAAAGCTAACCTTTAAAATATAGAATCTAGGTGGACATTTTATATTTATACACAAAATTTCACAACTGACAATTGGAATAAATTCTTAAAATAGACTGACAACGTCGTGCTAAATATCTGGGGAATCATTTAGTTCATAAAAAGTAAATAAATAAAAATCTAATGGCTATCAAAATAAACTTTTATTGTCATAGCTCCAACTCGTAGCGTTAAAAAACAAACATCGTAAATTTAAAGCTAAAAAAATAATAAAATTAATAAAAATAAATGCGTAATCACCTCTGCAAATTTTCCATCAGTAAAATACTTAAGTAAGGAACTTTTTCCAACAGTACTGTCACCAATGAGTATTAGTCGAAATTGATAATCAAAAATAGGCTCCACCATATTGGTAATTTTTTAAAATTTGAGGAAAATTTCAAGTCGATTCAGTAAGTAGCAACTTCATGCGTCTTCTATAAATCACAACAACAACAATGACAGTAAGTAGTTTAAATGTATATATAAATTATAATTCGACTTGGAACATTAAAAGTTTGTTTTTTGTTTTTACACAGCATCATCACCAGCTAAATAAAAAGCAGAGTACAGTGATACTCAGAGTCTCAGCTGACCGTGACATATTAATAGGTTTTACACATTCTAACTCACAATAGCAACTGATGGCTAAAAGAAAACTGAGAGAGATAAATATATACACGATATACATAATATGAATTTACTGACTTGCGCATTCAGGAGTATTGACAGCGGGATAACTTAATATTTACATAAAATATACTATTACAATACTTACACTTACTACTACTTTTGATACTTGATACTTTATTTTATATTTATTTGTACAGATACATTACATGTTATTTCCACTTCGTTATCAAATCTAACTTATTATATTTAAAGCATCAATTATCAATCTTGTCATTATTTCATTCTATTTTGTAATTTAATATTCTCTTTGTGTTGTCATACAAGAGTTAATTCACTTTAACGCACAATTGTATTTAGATTAGAATGACTTAAAAAAGTTTTATTTAAAAAATTATTTATAGGTATACAAAAATTTTTCTATAATAATCTATAGAAATTTTTCTAATTAATTATTACTTATGAATGAAAAAAGATTGTAAGTTTTATACATAAATCAAAAACTTCTTTCTTTTGAGTCATTTATTAATTATTCAAAAAAGTATTTTCAAATACTAAAAAAATATTAAAAGTTTTACTACTACAACTAAACAATTAGTTTCAATTGAAAACAAATAATTAAGTTTATTATATGGTTTATTGTTAATTTTAACAAAATAGTTGCTACATTCCGCGAAATTTTTTTTTTTTTACAGTATGTACAAAATATTTTTATTCAAATACAAAAGCATATATATATGTAAAGAGATTATAAAAAGATTGAACGTGTAAAATTGATGAAGACATGATAGTTTATAAACAAAGTAACAAATCTATTTGTTTCTAATCACTACTTAAGGCTGCTTTTAATTTTTCCTCCAACAATTGACTAGATAACGAGTGTTGAGACAACAAAGCTTCCAACTTCATAGAGGCATTATGGATATCTTCAGTATCAATTTCGGGCTTATCTTCTTCGATTGAACAGAAACTTTCATACTTTTGAATCTCCGCCATAGTCTCAGCTCTGTTTTCAGTCAGCCGTTGTTTTTTGTTCGCTGGTTCGACAAATACGTGTTCGCTAAATTTGGGTTTGACGTTCATCAAGGTACTAGATTTTAACCACCAGGGTAATGTACAAAAGTGCTTGAAGTGATTTCTATTGAATACCACACATACTTCAGGATCGATATTTTTTATTTTTTGCTTTGTTATTTCAATGACAATCTGGATGAAATCTAACGTTTCGTTTCTGTCGATCATGAGGAATAGTCTGTTCATTAAAATTGATGATGAATAATTTTCCTTCAGAGCTTTTTTACTGTAGCTTAAGATTGATTTGTGAAGTTGTGTTGGATCGCTGATAGGCCACTCGAATCTAAAATAAAATAAAATTTACAAGAAATTAAATTTTACTGCGTGGGTAGTTAAATTACGTCACAAGTATAGTAATGAGATTTCTAATAAAAACTACTGCCTCATTTGGAGTGGAAAGGTCGTTTTGTATTTCGATAAAAAGATTATTTCGAAATAAATTTGGACACTGAATTTTTAAATAAATTCTAGAGAATCATTAAAAAAAAAAAAAAAACAATGAAGTAATACAATTTTTATGTTTCAATATTTCAAATTTAAGAAATTTTTTTACGCAATCATGCGGTTCTTTAAAGATTAAAAAAAATTTTGTCTCCGACGTGTTTATGTGATAAAATTAATTTTTTAAATTAAATTTATTATTATTAAAAAGGTCTTTATTTGAATTGTGCATTTTCATTGTTTCATATCGACGTTTTAATTAGCAAATTGTCTAACTCCATTTTAGAGAGTCTTCTATTTGTATGAAAAAAACAATTAGTTCAAAATTTATTATCACTTTAAAAAACCATTTAATATCATTAATATCTAATAGAGATATATTTAGGTTTGAATCATTCAAATAATTTATAATTGGATTATTACTGCATAACAATGTTAAAATTCACCCTCTAAAAAATAAGGAGTTAGACAAATTGCTAATTAGACCGTCGATATGTTTTTCAGCAATAGTTAATTTTTTATGGTAAGTTTTAGAAATAGTTATAATAGTAGATTCGAATTTCTCGATAAAAATCATTTGTTCATTTATTTATTTTGTGTTGTGCATGTCAAAAAATGTGTGGTTGTATGTCAAAAAATGATATTAATAAAATTAGCGAAATGGAAATTTCACCAAATATAAATTCAAACATTTATAAATAAGCGAAAAACAAAAATCTTTGGCAACGTGAATTTAGCCAATTTTTACTGCAGAAACTTATAAAATTAGCCGATTGTAAACTTTGTGATTTGTAAAATTAGCCGTTTCTAAATCTCTCTTAATTTTTAAACAGATCGACGGATCAAAAAAAGATTTGAGACATCGAAAAGGACTTCCATAAATTTAGCTTTTTTGAAAATTAGAACAGATTCGACTGACCCATTCAAAAATTATAAGAAGTTTAAAAACGGCTAATTTTACAACTAATTTTCAAATTAATAATTTATAAACGTTCGAGTTTACAAATTGCTATTTTCCAATAAACTTAAAAACATACTTCAATTAATGACCAATTATTTTATTTTAATAAGAATTTGTGACTACAGGTTGCTAGTGTAAAAAAAAATACTTACCGCCAAGGTGGTAAAGATAAATTATTAATAGTCCGCTCAATGAGAACCCGCTGTTCTTCATTCTTCCAGTCATCATTAAAATACTCATAAGTACAAGGCAGTGTGAATTCCTTCGGCAAAAAGGGTTTCAATTCATCAGGAAAGCTGGTATGCAACGTATTCTCTGGATCCAGTACAATATCAATCAAATGACTGATAGTTTCATTATGAAGATCAACCACAAACTTGGGGTCCTCCAATGCTGTTGACAAGATAGAACTATACGAAGCATGTCCAGTTATCCTGAGCCATAATTCTTCCGTCAAGCAAGTATCAACAACTTGATAAAGCGAGTCCATTTCCAGAGGCACCGGCGGTGATTTGTTCATCGTCAGCCAGCGTACCGCAGTCTGAGTCAGTTTCAACAAAATGCTCTCATCGATAACTTTCTCGCGATGTATCACGTACTCTGATAAATAACCAGATTTAACAAGACTTTTAAGCTCCGCCGTAGGCTCGACATTGATACTGGATTCAGCATCGGCTCCAATGATCACTAAAACTAAAGGTATCGCCATTAACTTTTGTCTCGCTAGTACAGATTTAGTCAGTCTTCGAGCGACAACTTTCGCATCTTCATCCACCGTAGAGATAAGAAATAATCCATCATTTCCCGTGTAGTGATGATCTTCGAGAACACCTTCCACATTTTTTATACACATCGCCAAGGTTTCATATGGATTTGGCTGATAAATTTTGACAATCGGATCCATGGAAGGGTCTCGTGGGCACAGATACTCTGTCATTATTTTCTGATACCTACGAAGAAGAGGTCGCTGATCTAACAAAGGCCACGAGATAATCATCTTCCAGTAAGAGATGGGTGTTGTTTCAATGTCGAGTGTCTTCGCATTCTCTTTTATTCCCAGGTAAGCCGTCACCTCCACTGGATCAATAAATTTTCTACTGTCACAAGAATCCTTAGGTGTATACCGGTTTCGCATAAGTTCAATGACTAACTTTTGCTCTTTACTGAACATATTCTTTGCACATTGTTTCAAACTCTGATGCGAAAGCCAGACCGGAGTATTTTCCAGAGCTCGACGTTGAACTCTGTTTCTTATAACTTTTTTTTGCCAGATTTTTACATACTTACAAACGATTCTTTTCTTTACGCGTTTGCTCAATTCTTCAACTTTTTTTTCAATGTACAATTCGTTGTCTAAAATTGACCTACAGTTGTCGTTGATCACGTGGTCGAGTATATTTTCAAAAATTTTCTGACAATTCCTTTCAAAAATTTTCGATTCCTCAATCACTTCTTTCAAAACAGTGGCACTCAGAGTATTAATAACATCTTGTTCCAATTCTTTGGCTATGCATTCAGAAGTTTCCTCGATTTTTCTCAAAAATTCGGCCCTATTTTTTTCTTCATTTTCTTTCTTCTTTTCTTTTATCGCTACGTCTTCTGAAACAACAGGAACTGGTGTGGAGCTTAATTTGAAATTACTTGAGCTGTTACCGAATATTGATGAAGTCACTGGTATAGTAACAGTAGCAGGCTGACTTGTTGAAGATTTTCCAGAAAATAACGATCGCGGCTCAGAAAATCCCGACTCGGGTTTTGAAAATATACTTTTCAGAGGATGTGCATTGACACCGTCTTTTGATTGAGTTGTTGTAAAAATAGATGAAGAGTGGCTCGTAGACTGAGTAAATATCTGTAATTAATTAAGAAATTATTATTAAGATAATGTTACAATAGTTAGATAGAAATGTAAAGCTAGTAATTTTGTGTAGTATACAAATTATTCTTTGTTATAAAAGCTGTAAAGAGTGTAATATTTTAAATCAAATTCAATTTAACGAAGTTAAGAGGATCGAATAAATTCAAGTGTATTATAGAAAGTGGTGTGTACTTATAAAAAAAGAGTGTACCAAAGAAAACGATAACCGGGCTCTATATCCGCAGACAAAATATCCCCGACAAAAAATTGACCGGATAAAATATCCATGGATAAAAAATCTGTGGACAAAATATTCTTAAGTTCAATAATATTTTTAATATTAAAAATGTGATATATTGACCCTCAAGTATTTATTAAAAATCTGTTAATGTCGAAAAAACACACCCCAAAAACCATGTTAAAAGAGCGCACATGATTTCCCGCGTTTGTGTTGGTCTAATATCGAATAAACACACACAAAAACCATGTTAGTAAGGGCGCAACACGATTACCTGCGTTTGTGTTGGTCTATTAAAAAAATTAATTAAAAAATAAAAAAAATTAACTTTCATAAAAAATTTCCATCTAAAAAAAAAAAAAATTAATTTCAAATTAAAATAAAATTACGTAAAAATTTATTCGTATTTGATTTGTCAATTTTTGTATATTTTGTCCACGGATTTTTTATCCATGGATATTTTATCCGGCGGATTTTTTGTCCTAAGGATATTTTGTCGTGGATATAGAGTCATAAAACCAAGAAAACGGTCCAAAAATAATTATTATATAAATGTAAAGTGATAACAGTTTTGTAAAACACTGAATATTATGATACAAGTTATATCCTATTCAATTATTAAAATAATGTTAGATAAAATCAATTTTTATATACCGCGGAGTTGAAGACTTGATTTTTCTTCGAGCTGTCCGTAACATCAAATAGAGATTTCGCCTCATTCACTCCAGGCTTTAGAATTTCAGAAGAATCTTCTGAAAATTTATTAAACTTAACCGATGTGAAATTATCAGAAAAATGAACCTTCGGTTTACGCTCGAACGTCTGAGTCAATCCAGTGTCCGAAGTGTCTTCCTCTACGAATTCATAGGGATCAGTTTTTTCAATTTCATCAGCATCTTCATCTTCGTCCTCTTCTTCAACTTCCTCTTCCTGTTCTTCTTCCATCTCCTCATCCTCAACTTCTGCTCCTTCATCTTTACTAATTCCTTCTTCTGTCTTTTCCTCAAAAGTTTCTTCCATAAGTTCCATATCCACTTCAATAACTTCCTCCACTTCACCATTTTGGTCAGAAGCATTTATCGCCTCCGCTTTGAGGTAACCGTGCTCATCAAAGCTGCAATGTGGCCTGTGATTTAGGTACAACTGCTCAGGCATAGTATCTCCGGCGATACACTGTCCTATTGAATAATTAATTTTAATTCTCTTGGATTGAACAAGGCTCTTAGCTCTGATCTGGCAAGAAACTGGTGGCGGCAAACAAATGTTTTTTCTATCTATCAAAATGTACATCTCGTCTTCAGTGATACTAAGCCCGGCTTGCTCACAGAAATCTATGGCTTCGTTCTCGTCCTCAAAGCCCAGCATGTCAATAAACTCGTACAGCGGAAACGAAGTGGAGGAAGTTCTACAGAAAGCTTTTATCATTACAGACAGCGCTTCAACTCTGACCTGTAAAAAGTATCTAATTAATATAGAAGCATTCAAATAAGTGGTACTTCTCACGAGCTTAAAAAACTTTATCCAATTTTTCGCCTGAATCGAGCCATGAACTCTTATAGCAAAGTTAACTTGTGGCGACTTCCTTATTGATTCCGGTAACGTCTGCAAATCCCACATGAAATTCGAGTTATTTAAATTAAGCAAAATGATATAAGCGCGAAACTCCGCTTCATTCTTACAGACTATTCCTTTTTCTCTCAAATCAGCATACATGTACTTGAGAGTCTGCAAGCACTTGGTCAAATTCTCAGTGTTGATTTTCCCGTCAAAGACAGACAACTCTTCTGCGCAAAGTCGCTCGCTGGATACAATATGAAACCTGGCGCACTGCTCCACCAGAGCCACCGACTCTAGACAGCAAAGTTCTTGTTGTGTGATGTCCTTCCTGATACCGCGGGTCCTGTCCCACATAAAGTGATACCACTCGGCGAGATTAGTGCCATTCTCCTCACACAAATCCGCAATCTCATGCAACAGGTAGCTCATAGTCATCTTGAGGATGTTAACTGGTCGTAAATCCTGAGGCATCGGTTCCTCCTGGTCCGCAGAGGACCTCGAGTACTGCTTGACCGCAATCTGATGGTCGATTTTATATTCATTACCTTCGATCAATTCGTAAGCCGAAACCTGCCGCTGGAACTCCCTCATAAGTCTCTCTTTCTCTGGACACATATCAGGACAGGTTCCTCGCGTGACTTTGGCCATCGAGAGCGTGTGAATTTTGGCCTTCTTCAACCGCATCAACCGGTCTCGGGCCTCCAATATCTTGTACCGATCCTCGGAGGTGTTACCTGCTTGAGTTATTATTTTTCTGAGCTCTGTTACGGAAACATTAGAGGACATGTACGAGGGAATCTGAGACTCGACTTCTTTTTTCTCTTTCGATGATTTTACGTTTTCCATATTTTTTTCATTTACTTTACTGGATTCTTTACCTGAATTTCCTTTTGTTTTTTTATTTGTATTTGTTGAAAAAACAACACTTTCCGAATTTTTTTCTCCGGGCAGGTTATATTCTAACCCCGACATCGCCTCCAACTCTGATTTTACCTCATCATCCTCAATTTTTGATAAATATGAGGCTATTATTTTATTAACATCTTTTTTCTTCACCACACCTTTGGCAAACATTTTTTTTTTATTTTGTCTACTTATTGTGTTTGTTATTATTACATTTGATATCACTCAATCACTTTCAAATCAACGTATTTATTTCAAACAATAATAATAACAATTTCTTTGCTCTGAACTTAGTCGATGTTTAACTTCAAAACTACCGCCCTCTAGTTTAAAAACGCGCAGTTTTTTAAATTTTTTAAATTACAATCATGCCAAATGATAATATTCATTAATCGACGAATTTTTTCAAATAGATTATTATAGTCAGTTCAAATAAAAAATCATCAATCATAAAAAAAATCATTTAATTTCTTAATAAAAAAATTTCTTATTTTTATTAAAAAAAACAACAAAATTTTATGACATTAAAGTTAGCTGTCACTTAACCATTTTTTAATTTTTTTTTTAACAACAAATAGATTTTTTCCAGAAAATTATTTTTAAAAAATTGAATTTTTTATTTTTTAAAATTTTTACATGTCAATTTTTTTTTCTACCTTTTTTTTTTGCCATAATTTATTTATTAAAAAAAAATTCTTAAAATTATCAAATATCTGCTAAATTAATTTTCATTAAAATTTTCACAGCTGCGCAATTTTTTGACCACGAAAAAAATTCTAAAAAAAAAAAAAATTATTTTTAAAAGAATCTATTTTATCGACTATGACAATGACGTCATCGTAATAATTTTCATGCTCACGCTTTCTCTCTCTCATTCGTCATTATTTATCTTTTATGTATAAGTGATGTAAGTGAACACACACACTGAAAAATATTAAGTAATTGTTGATATAAAAATAATAATTAACAATGTTCAAGTAATCAAAGATTTTAACTGAATGTTAATAAGTGGAATTGACTTTTAATTGCAAAAGATCAAAACAATTCACAAGTATTATTTATTATTATTATTATTATATTATTACTACTGTTATTATTATTATTATTATTGTAGCATCATTATCGTATGTAATAGTGATATTCAAAAGGTATTGAATTGTTGATTGTTAAATACGAGTATATATCAAAAGGTAATAACAATAACAATAGCAGTAAAAAACTTATTTATTACATACTTCCTCAGTAACCAGTCAATTAAAATACATTAACTCTTTCACAATTACTTGTTTTAAATTTAGACATTTAATTGTACGTCTTACTTGATAAATGAGAGTTTAAAAATAATTTTTTACGCGTGTTAATATATTTTTAGCCTTATTCAAATTAAGCATTTGTTTACAAACAACTTCCATTTTTTCTGACAGCTTGATTTTATATTCGTTGATTAGTGCAATCAATATTTTTGTGTAGATTTATTTGTTGACAAGTAAAATATGGATCAGCGTGAACCAGCTTTGGGGGACGAGGAAGAAAAATATGAAAATATAATTATCAATGAAGTCGATGGTCTACCAAATTTACACCCCAACTATCAGCAACTGGAACTTGAGTTCGAAGAAGATAAAGATCGGACGAATACAAGGTCTCTTGATGAGCTGGTGCACGATGAGGATTTACCTACGTCTGTTATTGTAACAAATGTCGATCCACGTGTGTTTAAATCTAATGAACTTAAGGTAACTGTTTATTAATTTTATATTATTTACTAACTGTAACACTGAGACAAAAAATTTGTGATTTTTATTTTATTTGTTCACTATTTACAGGCTGAAATTGAAGAATTGTTTAAACAGTTTGGTGAAAATGCGTCGTTTCAATACTTCAAATCGTTCAGAAGAATGAGGGTGAATTACAATTTACCAAGTGCTGCTGCTCATGCGAGGATACAGTTACACCAAGCTAAATTTGGGGATACAAATATAAATTGTTATTTTGCTCAGCCTGTTACGCCAATAGGTTTGTGATTTTCCTTGAAAAGATAATTTTTATTAATAAAAAAAAATAAAAATAATTAATCAGTATTCCATTTATTAAAATGGCTAATTTTGTAGATATCGAAGATCGGCATCTTCATCCACCAGCATTAACAAAACAGTTCTTAATTTCGCCTCCAGCATCACCACCAGTTGGCTGGGCACCTAGACCTGAGGATGAACCACTAGTTAATCATGATTTATTAGCAGCTATTGCAAATTTATCACCAGGTATTAATTAATTTTTTTAGGTTGTTTATTTCACCATTTATTGACTCAATAGTTGAAGTCATTTTAGCGGCCTAAAATTTAAGCTATTTTAAAAATTTTATTTCTATATCAAGGGAATGACTAATGCTTTCAAATTTTTTTACACTTATTCTATTACTTGTCAACTACACAAAAATGAAAATAAAAAAAAATGGACCTGACTAGTGGAGGTAGATTGATCTCTCCCTCTGATCTGAAATTAAAAAATATGACTGATTTTTAATTAGTGTAAGTATAGTTATTGTCGATATTAGAATGAAAAAAAAAAAAAAAAAAAAAAAAAAAATATTTGATAAAATGGCTCGTAGTTTAAAGTAAAAATTCGTTTTCAAAAAATATTTTTAACTACGCGCCATTTTGTCAAATATTTATTTTCTTTCATTCTAGTATCGACGATAACTACATATATTTATACTACTTAAAAATCAGTCATATTTTTTAATTTCAGGTCAGAAGTAAAGATCAATCTACCTCCACCAGTCAGATCCATTTTTTTTTTTTTCAGAGAGGAACTTCAGCGCCATTTTTCTAATTTCAAAAAAAAATTTTTTTTTTGTTTTGATTTTCATTTTTGTGTAGTTGATAAGTAATAGAATAAGGGTAAAAAAATTTGAAAGCATTAGTCATTATCATCACCTTCACATAGAAATAAAATTTTTTAAAATAGCTTAAATTTTAGGTCGCTAGATCACCGGATCCCCTTAATTATCAATAATTATTATTGTATTTTTTTTTTTTTTTGAGCTATTAGATATTTTAAAACTTAAAATATAAAAAAAAAATTAATACACTAGAAAATAAAAATAAAAAAAAATATTTGCAGGAGAAACTCATGAATTACATCCAGGTGGGTCCGGACAACCAGGAATAGTCGTGCACGTATGTGAAAATTCCTCTGAAAACTCAATAAAAAAACTCCCTATACAACATACACGTTGTCCGGAGCACTAAATAATAATCAAAGGGTAAGTGTCGTCCACGATGGCTATAAATTGTTAACAATCCATCCAAGTGATATTATAAAAAAAAAAAAAAAAAAAAAAAAACTAAAAGATATCATGCATAAAAACAGTTAACAAGCCATGATAAATTGTTAATTGTTCGATGCAACAACAAATTCCACTAAATAATAAATGCTGTTAATTCACAAATAAATTTTTATGTGAGTGTGTGGACACGTCTCAGTATTCAAATAAGGTAAATCAATTAAAACTATTTAAAATAAATGAAATAAGTCAATTTAACTATCAGCTATATCTACTTGTTTTTTCTTCGTTTAAAAATGATAATACGGTGTCTCAATGAAAGAATCTCTTATGCTCATTATTGTAACTTACAACTGTAACTTATAACTACGCTAAAGTAACAGTAAATTTTATGACTACTGTTCGTAAATAGGAATCAAACATGCAACAAAATAATAATAAAGTAGGCTACTGAGTTTATGATAAAAGATAATAATGAGACCAAAGATTTGATCGTAAAATACTATATCAAAATTCCGATGGTATTCATTATAAATATTTATTGATAAACAAGTTAATTGGAAAAAAAAAAAAAAAAAAACTAAAAATGTAAGCATAATTATAATAAGATCTTTGATGTTTTGTGCTTAAAATCATTTTGGCTGTAATCAGGAACCCCAATTAAAAGACATTCACGGTTATGCTTCTAATTATCTCTAGCTCTATGTAAATCTATGTAAAATTTTAAATGATCACTTAAAAATTAAAAAAAAAAAAAATACATATGTAGAGGAAAAATTATCAAGCTTATGCTCAAGACATCGAATTGAAAAGGCTAATTGTAACTTAATAAATTATCATAAAATTATGCGAGTACTGCATAATTTATAATTACTCAGAGATGAAGAAATTATTCGCATACTCAAGCATTGAAGTAAAGATTTTCGTGTAATTATCATCAAATTGATATCAAAGTTCGCTATAACTACTGCTAAATTTTGATGATCTACTCTTTAAAATTATCAATGTTGACTGTATCTTAAATCTTAAATAAATCTAAATACAGAAATAAAAATAAAATTAAAAACTCTAAATATATAATAGATAGTTTACAATCTATTTATCTACTTAAATAGGCATTGATGTTAATGTGAATTCAAGCAAAATGTGTGATTTGGATGTCTGGTACATCCTGAATGAAAATAATAATTTCTTTCAAAAATATATACACTCAAAATGTTAAGACAAAATGAAGATTTATGTAATTATATGTATGCGTGTGTGAAATGTGTTACATATTTGTTTATGTACACACATGTAAGTTAACATGATTATGTACAAACAAAGAGGCATCATAAATTATTTATTCTTGAAAACAAAGATGCGCTGAATTTAAAATTATCAATTATTTAATTGATTGTTTTTTTTTTTTTTTTTTTTTTCAAGTCGTTAAGAACCAGTCCATTTGTGTGGATTTATTGTTATCAAAAGATTATCGACTGTTGAAATTGTAATTAAATGAAATCAAATATAAAGTGTATAAGAAATCTAATTGTTTGTTCATTTATTCATAAATTACATCTTTAATTATCCTATGTTTTATTAGGGTATTCTAAAAGGAGTTATTAATGCAAAATAATTAGGACAAATATTAGAATGACAAAAAAAATTTTATTTTAATCTTGACAATTATTTTATCCAAAATGTTACATTTTTATAAATAAGTTAGGCCGTCTTCATTTTATCTAAATTGACGACACTGGAAGGCCTGAGTACTGTCGGTTGACAAATTTATCAAGAAAATGTTTAAAATTACCAAAAGATTACATCTTTAATTAATTAACTCAAAATTTTAAAAACATTATGTTTATGCGATTGTTGTAACTTAACAACATGTATTATTTTTTTATTCATGACAAGTTTTCTGTCAAAAATTGAATTTCAGATCTAAAAAATTTGATCATTTTTTGTTATCAACCTAGCTTGATATGATCTAGCATTAATTAGTAAAATGAAACCAAAAATAATTAAAGAAAATTACATCAACTTCATTATTTTTATACAAATATTTAACAGACGAATCGGTTAAATCATTATCTAATCATTGCTATCGTTTGTTTTACTCACCGAGCTTTGTTTTATTATTTATCATCTTTGTTTCGTATTAATATTATAAAAATATATATAATTCGTTACAGAAATAATAGAAAAAGTGAATTATTGAGTTATGCCATGTACACGAATGTGTTGATATCGTCTTCGTGTCTCTTGATATACTTATGCTCGATAAGCCATTCGATTTGTTCTTTAATCATTTTTTTACTCGGCAAAAACATATTTTTTAGAATATCTACTAATTCTGTTTGTAACTGAGCGTTTGTTATTTTTTTCCTCATCTTCAGAATTTTAATTATAGCTTCCTGCAATTTTTAAATAATAATTAATTATCTCGTAACTTCTAAATTTTAACAATAACTAAATTTTAATAATTTATAATTAGAAAAAAAAAAAAATTACCTGAACTCGTAATATCCTAAGTTGAACAATACATTGATTATCTTCTTCTTTACTTCGTTCGGTAGACAATTGTAATCTTCCAATTAAATTTATTCTTCCTCTTTTTTGAAGCTTACCATTTTTTCTACCATTTGAATAAATAAATTAATATATTATGTAAGTATTAATTGAATAAATTAATTATAAAACTTACATGATAGCAAATTCCTGATTAACCCAAAATTTAGAATTATGAGAAAAATCTTTAGGGCTGCAAGCTGGCGGGTCAACTAACACTAATTGCCTTTTTAATTTCGGAAAAGCGCAAAGTGACCACAATGTCCGTCTTAACTCTGGATCAGGTAACTCTGTTGCTAGTTGAAGATTTTCATAAGATACTTTATCCCTTGGACGTTGGTTCCAGGCAAAAAGGACGGCCATTTGAAATGTCGTAACGTCAACATCAAAACGTCCGACTTCATTTGAAAATGTTAACTAAAATAATAAATCCATATTTTATTCTATTATAAAATATAAAATTTCTTTCTGAGTTATCAAATAAATAAAATGTATTTTTTATAAAATAATATTAATAATCTATACTTAATATTGTAAAGAGAAAAAAATTTGATTGTTTGTTTGTTTGCATTGAATAGGCTCCGAAACTACCAAACCGATTTGAAAAATGCTTTCACTGTTGAGAAGCTACACTCTCCCCGGGTGACATAGGCTATATTATATTATAATTCATTTTGAAATTTTTATCAAGTACCTATAATTAATTATAATTATAGTAATATATAATTAATTTAGTGATTAAAAAAAAAATTAAATAATTAATTTAAATTTACATCATCTTTATATTATACACAGCCAAAAATTCTAAAACGGCTGCAACAGTAAAACTGTTTCTTTGAGCGAACTCTAAAATGAGTGATATTGAGACTATTACCACTTCTAGGGAGTGAAAATTCAAGCTTAATAAAAGAGCTGTACGATGCAATTTACCGAATTTCAATATCTTGTCTAGTTCAATAATTTGAAGTGGTAAAGATATCAATTTTTACGATTTTTTAAATTTCAAAATTCTGTAATTTCTTAATTACTCGCCCGATTAAGCTCATCTTCGAACTTAACCTTGGTCTTTATCGATAGAAAAAGCATGTTGAGTTTGAGAAGAATTGGCTAGAAATTGTATATTTTTTTAAAGTTGCCCCTGTTTAAAAATATTCATTAAAAAAAAATTAAAAAAATTCGCTCTATGCAAATTATATATCTATAGATATATACTTAGAAATTGAAATCAATGGGAATTATTGAAAAAAATTCAAATCTCATGACAGTGAATTTTTTTCAATGAATATTTTTAAACAGGGACGCCATGAGGACGACTGGAATAGTTAGATTTTTATGAAATCTAATAAAAATTACTTACAGTGCCATTAGACATATGGTGGTACCACTGAAGTTTTCTTCCATTGTGTTTTTTCTTATAAAACTCCTCAACCTCTGGAATATAATCTTCTAATTGTAATGGCAAGCTGACGGTAACTCTTTCGCTGCCTCTCGCCCACGCGCCAGCATTTAATATTTTAATATTTATACTGTCAGCAATAGCTGCACGACACTGCTCTTTAAACTGCTGATTAAGATCCTGAGACACCTTTATATCCTGGAACATTCTCGCTAATTTGTTAACATAATCTGCAGGCATTCCAACTTCTCGCAGCCACTCAACCATGTTTTCTTCCTTTTCAGAATCCGCTGATGTGTCGAGAATTAATCTGCGCGTTAAATGTGCTTTGTGATACCGCATAAATACGTCTTTGTTTTGAACATACTTCAACACTAGTAGCTAGAATTAACATAAAAAATATTAAATATTATAAAATTTGAGAATTAATTTAACAAATACATAAATCTTAAAAAATTAATAAAACTTACCACATCACGTAGTTTACTTTCAATTTCATCAGACGTGAGCTTTTTACTAAGTGGAGTTTTTCTAAGTAACATATCACAGTAATTAGCCAACAACTCTGGACACTTTGACTCCGGCAGCCCGCTGTTATTATTATTGGGTTTGCTGTTTACAACAACGGTAGTCGCTCCTGGGGGCTGCTTTGACGGCAATTCTAGTCTGAACACCGTCGCATCGTTTACAACCAGCTTGTAAGCTTTATCTCTAGCTGTCAAAAAGCGTGGGTCATCGTCAAAAGCTTCTTTAACTAGTTTTGAAAATCTACGAAACTGTTCTAATAATCTCTCGACATATTTTTCCGAGTCCTGAGTAATTACGTCGACAGCTGCCATCATGTCTGCAAGTCCTGCACTCGAAATATGGTCTTCAAGATCTTTTAACATCGGTCCAACTCCATCAGGTACTCGGTCCATCAATTTCAACATCAAACGCAGCTCTAAAAATCATTACAGATGAAGATTAGGGTTGTGCAAAAAAACCGACTATTTGTTTTTTTTGAGTCTCGAGTGAAAAAATGTTAGTTTTTGATGTTTTAAGAGCTCTCTTCAAAGGACAGCTTAAAAAAAAGTTTTTAAGAGGTCGCTCGAAATTTTTTTAAATTTCAAAAATCGTCAAAAATCGAATTTTTTTTTTTTTAATTTTTTTTTCTCGTTACGTCATAATTTTATAGACAAAAAAAAAAGGTTTTCCTGAAAGTTTCAGTTCAAAATGTGAATTTTAAAAGGTCGCTCATAATTTTTTTTTAATTTATTAGTGACTATTTAATTGGATTAGCATTTTTTGACTCTGAAATTTAAAAAAAGTTATGAGCGACCTTTCAAAATTTAAATTTTGAATTGAAACTCTCAGGAACTTATATTTTTTTGGTCTATAAAATTATGACATAACGAGAAAAAAAATTTCGATTTTTGAAATTTAAAAAAATTTTGAGCGACCTCTTAAAAATTTTTTTTTGAGCTGTTCTTTGGAGAGGGCTCTTGAAACATCAAAAACTGACGTTTTTTCGCTCGAGACTCAAAAAAAAAAAAATAGTCGGTTTTTTTGCGCCACCCTAGTATTCATCAATTTTCGACGGGCCCTGTAGCATGCAAGAGTTAGTTTAGTTTTTAGCGGAGATGCACTTTTAAACCTGAGCCTAAACCTAAAACTAAGTATACTATAACAAAACGCATATCACCTCTTTCGTTTATTTTTATTTGGACTCCTGCTCCTGTCTCCTGCTGTAAGCCCTCGGGCTAGACACTTTAGCAGACACGCTGCAGCTCTCCTAGACTTGGGTCTAAAGGATCGCCACTGGTGGGTCCACATATCATCGCTTAGTGCATAACTTATCCCCTAAAGCTGATGCGATTGATTTAGATCGAGACTTATGTGAAGAAAACACCTTGTAATCAGTAAAGTGTGCCGGTGCACGCAATACCATACAATAATAAAATTCAAGTCCTTATTCTGGGTCTAGATGAATTTCAAACTGTTATAATGCTTACATTCAAACGCTGATCATTAAATAAATCTTTGAAATTTTAATAATTCTACCTTTTATTCTTATTCGGCTGCTGCTGCTGCTTCTTCTTCTTGACTTCAACTCTTTTGACATCCGTGTATAGTAAATAGATAAATTTGCGTTATTACTGATGACGGGGACTGACATTGCGTGATTACACGCGATAAATAAATGCCGGTGGTGTATATAAATAAATAAAAATAATAAAATAAACTTGTCGTTGGTCGTGTGCGGCGCAAACATAAAACAACCCAGTGCTTTCAGGGTCATAACGTGTGTCCTCTGTCCTCCAGCTCAGATATGTCTTCTTGTGAGTAAAGTGTAATGTGTAATGTAAGTTGTTGCTTGTTGCTGGTTGCTGGCTCTTGCTTAAGACACGCTCACCTTACTCCCGTTAGAAGTCACTTCTTATTACTGCCCAGGTTTGTGTCACCGCCGAATAAAATTGTCTTCTTGTTCTTGTCTCTGGTGAACAACAGGCTCATCGAGGTCATCGCGTGATACCAGGAGACACCAGTTGCAACTGTACCTACGAATATATATGTAAAAAAAAATTAATGTACTTTATGTTCAGATATGTTGAAAATATTTTTAGATAAAATTAATTTTTTTGTTTATCTTTTTTATTTTTTTACATTTTTCTCTATCTAATATTTTTTATGAACTTTTTTAGACCACATTCAACTTTTGTATATTTGTAAAAGTAAAGTTAGCCGACGTTTTTAATTTTTTGATTTTTTTTTTAATAATTAAATTAGAACAAAAAAATATTTTTAAAAAATTGCACTTGCAGTTTTCAAAGTTTTTTACAAATGAAATTTTTTTTTCATTTTTTTGTAATCATTTTTTTAATAAAAAAAAATTTTTTAAATTTTTAGATGTAGGCTAACTTAATTTTCATTGTATATTTTAATATTTCTAAATTAGAATGTAAAACGATTTGATACAGAAGTTAGCTGAGAACTGTCAATTTTTTTATGATACGAAAGTTAACCGACGTTTTTAATTTTTTGATTTTTTTTTTAATACTTAAATTAGAACAAAAAATATTTTTAAAAAATTGTACGGATAATTTTTAAAATTTTCTACATGTGACATTTTTTCTTTTTCAATAAGTGTTAATAAAATAAATTGAAAAAATTTTCAGATCTCGGCTAATTTAATTTTCATAATTCTAAAAAAATTTCTAATGTCTGTCAACTTCAGTGTCATAAAACAGTTGTTTTCAAATTTATTATTAAAATAAATTTATAATACCTAAATATTTACCATTCATTTGTTTTTAATCTTTTGACAATTACAACTTAATAATCATCGACAATTGAATTTGTAAATATGTATTTCAAAAATCCAAAGTACAAATAACTGTGATGAAAATGAAGTTAGCCGACATTTCAGAATTTTTAGAAATTTTTTATTGAAAAATTTTCAATTAAAAAATAAAAAAAAAAATTCACATGTAAGAAACTTGAAAAGCTATCAGTGCAATTTTTTAAAAATATATTTTTAGTTATAATTTAATTAATAAAAAGAATCAAAAATTTCTAAGTCTGCTAATTTCAGTGTCATATAACTGTGACCGTGACGCAGCGCTAAATTAATGAAACTGAAAGTAAAGTTTCAGCGCCTCTAACGGCTAAAGAAGGTACTAAAAAATTTTAATTTTGATTTTGCGTCAAAAACTCCAACTTAGCGCAACTCTAGCGATTAAAAGAAGTAAGCAAAAATTTGTAAATACAAAAAAATTTATGATACTGAATTAAGAAGACATCTAAAAATTTTTTAGATTATCATAACAATTAAATTATACCAAAAAAAATTCACATGTAGAAATTTCAAAAAATTATAAATGTAAATTTAAATATATATTTTTTTTTACCTAGTTGATTTGTTATAAAAATCTCAAGAACTTTTAGATGTCTGCTAATTTTATAATAATTATTATTTTATTTTATTTATATTTATTTTATTAATAAAGTTAGCCGACATTTTTGATTTCTTGATTTTGCTTAATTTATAAAATTATAACTAAAAAATATTTAAAAAAAAATTACATTTATAGTTTTTGAAGTTTTTAACGAATGAAAAAAATTTTTTTGCATTTTTTTGTAATAATTCTTTAATAAAAAAAAAATGACATGGAAGTTAGCAGACATCTAAAAATATTTGATTTTTTTTTATTAATTAAATTACAACTAAAACGATATTTATAAAAAATTGCACTTATAGTTTTTTAAGTTTTTAACATGTGATATTTTTTTTTTAATTGTTTAATTGAAATTTTTACGATAAAAAATTTCTAAAAATTTTTAAATGTCGGCTAACTTTATTTTCATGCTAATTTTAGTACTTATCATAAAAATTTCCATAAAAATTCAAAAGATAATTTTTAACAATCCAAGTACTGTCAAAAAAAAAACAATTAAATTTTGAGGTTATGAAACTGTTATTTCACAATTATTTGTTCCTTACGTTATTGTATTGAATTCCGGTTAAATGGCGGAAGATTAAAAGACAAAGGTTAATATTTAGTAAGTTCCTCTTGCATACACTGGAAGTACATATATATATATATATATATATTGATATGTTTACAGGACTTATGTGAGTAAAAAATAAGAACGGGTGCAGCTGATGGGAAGAAAAATAATTCCCACAAGATCGTTTGGTCTTCCGTGCAGTAGCAATACTCGCATATATGTTAAATAAAATAAAATTCGTGTAGAGCCGTGATCTTATTCGACGGAACATATGTGTAACACAAGGGGCGTATCATCCGGTCGTCTTTGCGGTCCGTCTACCATAAATGTTCGACAGTTTGCAGCCGCAAGACTCCAAAACACATCCCGTGAAATTCAAATGTATTGCCAGAGCACTTGATCGCGTTTGTTCAAGTCTACATTCTACACTCTGGATCGCTTATTTTATTTTTTTCCTTACCTCTACTTTTACCCAGACTTGTTTTTCGTCAACGTCAACGTCGCCAAAATATGTGTACGCACATCATTCAGAGCTGGCCAGAGCATCCTCTAATGCTTAGCAAACGAAACTAAAAAATAAATAATCAACCAGCTTACGGAAAATTACGGCAAGATAATGGCCGAGCCAGAAGAAGAGTAGCAGACAAATTGTTTCGGGCATGCTATTCCAATGGACAAAATTACTCGTCGGAAATTCATCATGAAGCCCCAACTAACTCGAGTAGCCAAAGGCTTCTCGTCCACAGCCTCGGGGTAATGAAACCAAATTATTTATTATATTTTTACTTTAAATTCCTATTTAAGCCTTTGTTTCTCTTGTTTTGCAGATTTTTGGGTTGGAGATTTCATTAGGAAGACCAGGCTGGCCAACAATGCGGAATTTTTTCAAAAATTATCGAGGTATGACTTCTATTAACAATTGAAGTCAATCGTCAATATGTCTTCTGCTTGCCAAAAAATTTATTAAAAATTATTGAGAGAGATTTACTAATTTTTAGAGATTTTTTTATAAATAAATTATTGCAAGAAAAATTTATTTAAAAAATTCCATCTTTAAAAGCTCTAAAAAACTATAATTGAAAATTTTCCACTAAAGGGAAGTTATTAATTGTCCGGCCGTGTGTGTAAATAAATTTTTGTCGTACGGTTTCTCAAAAACGAATCAACCGATTGAATTCTACATGTCATTCGAAAGGGTTTATAAAAACTTAGATCTGATTAGACTTGAGAGTTAGTCCATCGAGCCATTCCAAAGAAATTAAAAAAAAAATTTTATTTTCATGTTTTTTTAAAATAACTTTAAAGCGTGCCAAAAAATCATAATAAAACCATGTATACGTTTTTTGTGCTTAAATAACTGCGTCGAATGCATTTTCAAAAATGAAAATCAAACGACGCATTCAAAAGATATAGTTGTTTAAAAAAATTCACAAAATTTTGTTTTTCGTTATTTTTTTAAGATATCTTCGAGATTTCTCAACAAATCAATACAAACCTGTGCATTTTCTTTTTGTGCTTTAAAAACTGTGTTGAATGATTTTTTAAAAAAGAAAATCGAACGACCCATTCAAAAGTTATAGTTGTTCAATAAATATATTTTGAGCTCAAAGAGCTCAAAATGTAAAAAACGGTGCTTTACGATTGAAGAGCTCAAATATTAACCAAAAAACGCATTTGAAGACGCTTCGGGAAGTTCTAGGGTTGGCCTAGATTTTTTTTTTTTTAAGAAGAGATGTGTAAAAAAATATAGATGATTTTAAAAAACTCTATGAGCGGCAAAACTTTAAGTTTCTGATCATCAATAAAAATGATAAAAAAATAATTTTATTACTTCCACTAAATTAGCAATAAATTTTTTAATTTATTGTATAATACTTTAAAAAAAAAAAAAATTCGAAATTTTACTAAATTTTTAATTATTAAGATAGAAACTTAATTATGTAAGTATTAAAATCATAATTGCAAACTTTCTTCATTAATACACCTTCGTAAAATAGCATATACAATTGTTTATATTCTTCTCAGGAGTTTACGATGATTTATGCCAATTTTAGAGTCCACAGTGGCACAGTTGGCAATAATTTATGTCACTTAACACACCCAGAGTCTGGTGGAGCTACCGCGAGTCATAACCCACGGCCAAAAGAAGTAAGAAGTATATACATAATAAACTAAGGAATATGAGTAGGCCGCTCCCATTCTTTCGTCATCCCATTAACTCGTACGTACATCACATCTACAATTACACAAATATATATCCATAGAATTACAAATCAATATAACAAGTGTTAATTACTTAATTGAGATTTTAATTTACACCAAGATAATTACTGTTATTCTCCCAGGTATGTATTTAAATGAAGATATAATATCATTCATATTTTCTTCATTACAATAACACTCTACTCATAATAGATAATTTATTTAAGCATTATCAATTTTTAATTATCAAGCTCAAGTCTTCACCTAAATTTATCAAGGATAAATAGCCGATTTCTTCTTGCCTCCCCGTGTGAAATAAAAAAGCTATCATATCAACTTATCCTGGATCGACAAAGATCGCAAGCTTACCGCGCATATGTAGCTCGCGTGCGTACCAGGTCGCGGTGGCGGCAACAGCGAGTAACAGGTGTGTGCCTGTAGGATGAAGCTAAGAGAAACAAAACTTTTTTAAAAATAAAGGAAAAGAATAAAGAAGGTAAGGAGGAAAAGGCGGTCGTTAGTCCGATGGTCAATGTTACTATTATGCATATGTAGATGACTATTATTATTTTTATTATTTCTTTTCTTTTATTTAGTTGTTATGTTTTTTTTTTTTTGTTTCCCTCACAATTAACTTGGCTCTGTTTTCGACAGAATAAACTCCACCCTGATCGTTTGTTTCATTTCCAAGTCTGTACTAAGTGAGTTGTTTTTTGTCCTTGGCGCAAACATGTGATGACGATGTAATGTCACAAGCTTATACTTATTATATTTTGCTTTTAACCAACAGGATAAGTATTTTAACGTCAAGACACGTCGAAAAATAATATTTAACTATCATTTAAAAATAAACGTTATTACATAGCTGTGCAGTTAATATTACTGAAAAATTAATATCTAAGTTCTCGTCCATATTTAAAATATTTAAATGACTAAATCTTGGGAATTTGGACAATAAATGAAGATGTTAAATTATAAGAATTGTTGAAAATAGGCCATTTTTTCCCGGAGGAAACCCATGTAATCCCTTAACTGACACTAAATTAAAGAAGAAAATAATAAATTAAACATGACACTGAAATTAGCAGACACTTGACAATTTTTTAGTCTTTTTTTTTTTTTTTTAGATAATCTAGGCCTAGAAAATTATTTTAAAAAAATTGCATTCACAATTTTTCATAACTTTTAAAAATGGAATTTCTTAAATAAATTTTTCTAGCTAAAATTAAAAAAAAATTGTAAAAATTATCAGATGTCTCTCAATTTTAGTATCATAATTAAATTTGTAATAAAAACTTTAATAATCCCAGTAGTCTAAATTAATAAATGGAAATCATATGAATTTCTGAGCATTCCCAGAGGTAGTATTACTACAAAATGCTATTTCTTCAATTATCAATTATCAATATGGTATTAATTATAAACGTAAGTAAATAGATATTATTTTTACAACTGGTAATCTTTTGCTCGGAGCTTCTGACGTGTGTAAAATTAGCATTGACAGCCCAGCATTGGCATCAGTACCTCCAAAATTATAATAATTAATTTTTATTAATCTAGTTTCAGAAATACTGATGACAATTCCTAACAGACAAGTCCAACTTTACAAACGTGGGCTTTAATGTTGTTAGAATAATTTTCGACTCAAGTTAAATCGAATTATTGAGGAAGGTTGAGCAGGATGCCAGGGCCAGAAGGTAAGTAGGATATTTGCCGTGAGCGTGATAGCTGATAAGCGATGTCTTCAGCAGCCTCGATTCTTCTCAGCTCAACTAGACCGTCACCGGCTTCAGTGAGAGACTTAGCGATTAAGCTGGCAGCTTGCGCGTCACCTTCAGCACTGATAATAGCTGCTTTCTTTTGTTGCTCGGCTCTCTCTACCAAGAATCTTGCTTTCTCAGCCTCTTGCTGGGCGACTTGTTTCAATTCAACGGCTTGAGTGAACTCTTTGCCGAATGTCAAGTGTGTCTAAATAAATTAATCAATAAATTAGTATCCAAATATTTAATTATAATTAATATGATTGATAAATCTTACAATAGATATGTCATCAAGAATGACACCGAATTGCGAGGCACGTTCGGTCAAGTCTTCGCTGACTTTCTGCGACACCAACTCTCGCTGTGTGATCAATTCACCAGCGTCAAACTGCGCGACGACTGCCTTCAGAACTTCTGTGGTGATTGAAGGTAACACACGCTCGTCGTAATCCACGCCAAGGATGGTGTAAATTTTTGGCAACTGGTCGGGTTTCGGTCTGAAGAGGATACGAAGTGTGATATTGACGTTCTGGAGATCCTTACTTCCAGTTACTACGGGTACGTTCCTTGGTCGAGATCGAATGTCGAATATTATTGGCTTCTGGATCCAGGGAATGTAGAAATGAGTACCCTCGCCTACTACCAGGTTTTTTATTCCAGCGAATCTATCGAAGATTACTGCACGGTGTCCTCCGTCAACTGTAGGTATACCAAAAATTAATTAGCAATTCATTTAATTTGTGTTTTTGTTTACAAAAATATTATTAACCCGTAGTGGTCATTATGGGTCTAAATGACCCCAGACAATTTTTTAGTTGCTCTTGCTTCGAAGATATCATTCAAAATGGTATCTGTGGTACCATCTATTATTGTTTGAAGATTTTTTAAGATTCATGGAAATTTACGATTTCAATTGCACAAATAAATATACTTTTGGAAAAGCTCGACATGGCACCACTTTTTTTTTCAAAGTATGCAATCTACAGAGTAGAACCCCCAAGGTCATTTTCATTTATCTTAAAAAATGAAGTTTTTAGTAAAAAAAATTTTTCGAAATTTGACTTTCTCGCATTTTTTTTTTATCATTAAACAATTAAAAAAAAAAAAAATTAAAAAACGATTGAGTTATTCAACGGAAGTGTTAAAATTCCCGTGCATGGGGTCAACTAGACCCAGTATGACCGCTACGTCATTTTTAAGAAGTGTGACTACTACGGGTTAAATGAAGTATGTCTGGATGTTTATCCCTGATTCAAAAAGATGATTTAAAATGATTACCTTCATGTTAATTTTATATCTAAATAGCATTCAAATCCGATACATTTAATTTAATTTATTTTAAATTAGATTTCTCAATCAGTGACAAGGGACATATTTATTTATGAAGGGATTTTAATACTATGATACTGAAATTAACAATCTGTCAATTTTTTTAATTTTAATAACTAAATTTTTGTAAAAAAATTTTAATAAAAAAATTTCACATCTAGAAATAAAAAGAAAAAAAAATTCAAGTGAAAATTTTTTTTTTACAATTAATTTGTAATAATAATAAAAAAAAATTGTCAAATGTCTTCTAATTTCAGTATCATTTAATATTTCAGTATAATTAAGAGAAGGTCAAAATACTTGCCATTGTACAAAGCTGAGTTGACAACACTACCAGTAAGGGCAATTCCTAGACCAAGTTGTCCCAATCGGTTGAAAAAACCTGCCATTTTTTATTTTCACTGAAAATATTATTATACATATTATAAATTGTAAAAAAAAATTTAATTTTGATTAATCTAGATCTTTAACCTAAAAATCCATGAGGAGCTAGACGAATTGCATCATCTGACCCAAGTACACTCAATAAGTGAAACAGTCAATAATTTAGTAAAAATATAATTAAAAAAATTATTTTTTCTAATTTGAAGAAGATAAATTGATTTTTTATCAAACAAATTGTTATTAATAAAGATAACCGGCTACTTTAAAGTGCTTATCAATTTGAGTTAAAAAACTTATTAAAGTTCATTGCAATTATGAAAAATAAGGAATTAATTCATTAAGCAGTAATAATGGTAATTATAAATACACTTACGTAATTAATTATAGAACGAAATTTATTAAACAGCAACAATTTTCAGGAGGAAATTCCAAGAAAAATGGAGCATGCGTCGGCTAGGTTATTGATAGAAAAAAAATGATGGTGGTAATTAAAAAAAAAATTCATAAAAAAGTTACCTTCAATTGGTTCATCAGAATGATCGAGTCTTGTCGGCGGTAGGTAAGAATAAAAGCGGGAAAATTGAATAAATTGAACAGCTGTGTATGTGTGTGAGGAATTATTCAACACTTCTGTAAAAAGTAGTAACCCAACCTAACCTCGCGCTTAAAATCAGTATTAGAAAAAAAAATTTTTTGGAAAAAAAAATAAACAAATTATCAGACATAAAAAATGTCTTACAATGTACTTAGAGGTCGAGGATTATCCTCAGTTCGCAATCAGCTGAAAGTAAATCTAGGACTCTCCCATGGGTTGAAACAAGCTTCAGTATTTAATAATATTATTGTTCGTAATGTAAGTATATATTTTTTTAAAATTAATTTATAATTAAAAATTAATTTAAATTAGATGAATTAAAATTAATTTTAAAAATAATATTATTTTAATTTCTTCTTGTAGATTAAAATATTTTTTATTCATAACAGATTGGAGCAATTGCGTAATAGGATCATTTGGGATGAAATTAAATTATTCTTCCAGCCCATATGTCTTACTTTATTAAAAATGACAATTACAATGACAGTAATAAAAGAAGCAATAGAAAAAAATTATTTAAATCGCGGTAGTAAAACTTTCGAATCGTAACAGTATATTAACTGCGCTCTACTTTATTATATTAAGTAACAAACGGAATAAAAATTTAAATTAACATGTACAACTGGATCCATGCTATCTCAAGTCCCAGAGATAGTAAACTTTACAATCTATTTACCCCTACTCAGAGCTCAGGGTCATGTAAAGTCAAATCAGACTGATACCCCCCGCATTTGTGAACCATACGTGCTATCGTGTGTTTATTTTATCTTGAATCTTATTTTTTTTTAAAATGGTCCGATTTTTTATTTTTATTTTTATATATTCTACCTATTTATTGTGGTTGGTAATTAATAGTAAAATTTTTTTTTCAGAGCTCCGATAAAGGCTACCGGCTTGAACGTGATACTTTTGGAGAGTTGAAAGTTCCAGCGGACAAATATTATGGAGCGCAAACTTTAAGATCTGTTATGAATTTTCCTATTGGTGATAAATCTGAACGTATGCCGGTGGGTAGATAACTTTTTTAGCTTATAATTTGTATTGTTAATATTAATTAATTTTATTGTTAAATATCAGATCATTTAAATAAACACATGATAAATCTTTATATTTTATAAAATAATGATTTTAAAAAATTTCATCAATTTTTTTAAAGATTTGCGAGTAAAATTAATAAAAAAATTTATATTTATCTTTATATTTTATAAAATAATGATTTTTCAAAAATTACATCAATAATTTTTTTGAAGATTTACAAGTAAAATTAAAAATTTTTTTATAAAAATTCATTTATTTAAAAAAAATCTTAAAAATCATCAAATATCAATTTAATAAAAAATCAAATTTCTAATAGATTTTAAATTATTTAAAAAAAAAAATTGATGTATGAATTTTATAAAAAATTATATTTTTATCACAATTTATAAGTATAAATAATTAAAATAATTACTAATTTTCAGTACAGAGTAATAGTCGCAATGGGAATCTTAAAAAAAGCAGCCGCAGAAGTAAACAAGGAGTTTGGCCTTGATCCAAAGGTAGCCGACGCAATAAGCAAAGCCGCTGATGATGTAATAAGTGGAAAACTTTACGAAGATCATTTTCCACTTGTGATCTGGCAAACAGGTTCCGGTACCCAGTCAAACATGAATACCAACGAAGTAATATCTAATCGTGCAATAGAAATTCTTGGTGGAGAGCTAGGCTCAAAAAAACCTGTCCACCCTAACGACCACGTCAACATGTCTCAGAGCTCGAATGACACTTTCCCAACAGCAATGCACATCGCCGTGGCCTTGGAGATCCTTAAAAATTAATCATTTAATAAAATGTTTAATCAGTCAATTGTTGTTGTTTACAACAATAAGAATGAACAATTGAAAAATTTACATTATTAACACTACGCATAGAATTCTGGTTTATGAAAATTAAAATTATATGTCACTGTAGTTGAAAATAGTTTTTTTATACTTGAAAAATTATGAGACAATTCAATTAATTTTATTACTTGATTTTTTTAACAATCTTAAATGATATAAGTTGCGGGTAAACATAAAAATTTTTATGATGATCAATGTTTGTTAACTATTTAATAAATTAAATATAAAATAAAGTATTTACCATATTTTTGTTTTTTTTTTCGTCGATTAGTTATTTATCGCAGAACATGTTTATTTAATTACAAACTAACCTTTAATCCGGCCATCGCAAAATTTTTGACATGTCCTATTCCTACTAAGACATATATTTCTATTTTTATATATACATCTGTGATAAATACATATAGGTATATGTAATGTGTTTAACACAAAATATATATGTACCACAAATTTAAGATTATGAACTGAGGAATAGAATTGGGAATAATTTTTTTTGCGCAATAATTGGATGATGAATAAAAAATGCGGCAAAAATTGAAAAATTACATGTTTAATTATTAAAACAAACTATATTACAATCCAGAATTATTGTTGTCATTAAAATTATTTTTTAAGGATTTTTTATAATAATATATTGTAAAAATGATTTTTAATTACAATATTATAAGATATATTTCAATAATTTGATATTAATAAATTAATTCTTTAAAACTTAAACAAAAAGAAAATAATAACAAAAAATATATGAATTGTGTATAAATATTGTACCGATAATTAGACAGCGATGATTAAAAATACATTGTTTGAAACTATTTAGAATTAAATAAGTAAAGGAAAAAATTAAATTAAAATTCTACCTGTAATAGAAACCTATACGTACTATTGTTACATTAAAAAACACAAAGTTACTGGACAAACAAATTACTTATCACAGATAGAATCAGGAGTTACAATAATAAATTTACTTATAAATAATGTAGACATTGAGATAAATATTTAAGACCAATTACACTGTAATTATCCCAAGTTACTGCAATTACTATTAATAATATCTGTTCCTTTGTTATTAAGAAACTTATCGTTATTGTATTCATATATAAAAATAAATTTGTGTAAAGATTTTGGTATCAAAAAATTTCAATCGGAAGAGTGTAGTTTTATACAGTCAGTAGATATAGTATGATAATAATTATACGGAAAATAATTATTTTAATTAAATTTTTTCTTTTTAAAAATCCTCCAAATTTTGTATTGTGTTCAAAAAATTGTTTCTTTTCATTAATTTAAAAATACCAATATCGTAAAAGTTAAAAACTTTTAAATTAAATCCTGACAGTTAATGTTATTATAACTTATAGTATATTAAATAAATTATTTTTTATATTTGTATACTAATAAAACTTAATCACTATGGATTTGATTTAATATCTTTCTTGTGTGTTTTTATGTGATGTATCTTTTACTAGGCTATGGAAAAATTTTTGTCTCTTGGATGGAATTATCTCATCATTTTTCGGAAGTTCTCCAATTCGAATATACTCTCGGACAATCTAAAAAATAAAATTTGATTATTATTTATAAATAATTTTTATCTACGTAACAATAAATAGTATTTACCTTCCAAAACCATTAATTAAAGCAACTATTTCACTTCTATCAAGATAAAATTGTTTTCTATCTATATTGTTTAGCGTAGACGACCACATGTCAAATTTTCCAGAGAACAATATTTTTAATGCAGTCCCAACGCCGTGTACTTGTAATTTACCCCATAATTTACATTTATCGCACCCTACACAGTCCATTATACGTGATATATTTCTAAAATGCTGCCTGAATTCTTCTTTTAATACCTGCGCTTCAGACCCACCATTAAACATAAGACTTTCATCAAAATGATCTGGGAATGATCTGAAATAAGTACGTTTTATCATTGCAATAAATTAAATAATCAAAAATATGACAGCAAGAACAATTAAAATTTTAAACTCACTTTACGACTTGCAAAATATCCATTACTGCCATTTTAGTATCAACATCCTCAACTTCATTGCCAGTGTAATATTGTTCCCGTTCTAAATAAGGTGCAGCTTTATAAAGCGCACGTAGTTCTAATAGATACAAAAAATATAAATTTTTCAACCATCCAGGCCCTTCATTTCCGGTAGTCTCTGGCGAGAAACGTCGTTGAAATTCCGGAAGATTAGGCCCCCATTCATTACTCTCGCGGATAAATGCCATGCCTTCTTGACTAGATAATAAATACTTAGCAGACAAATGTATGTTTATACTAGCATGTAATCCAGATATTGCTCGATAAAATGCACGTTTTTCTAAACACATTCCTAAAAAAAAAAAAAAAAAATAATTACAGTAATTGTATTTGAAAAAAAGATACATAGAATAAATTAAATAAAATAATTGAACTCAATTAAAAAATATTATAAAAAATAACCATCTATTTTAGAGCTCTGTATAAAATTATGCGGCGAAGAATCAGGTCGGAAACAATTTTCCATATAAATACTTCTCCATATTCTGTGAGCACTGGGTCCTTTGTATCCAGTATACCTTTCAGGATTGAGCAGCAAGTCAACATATTCACCAGGGCTCGTTTCTTTGATACAAAAATTGTCCAAGTTGTCATCATGGTATTGCCATCGCTCAAACTCTTTGTAATTCTTTGAGCTAATTGTTCTATTCAAATATCCGAGCTCCTTATTATGATCCCTAGCAGTCTGTTCACAGTCATTCAGTTGATTTTCAGCTAAATATTTATCATACGGACTTTCTTCATCATGATGATGGAGATCTCGCGGTAAGTCTCCTTTTAATCCAACCGGTATGTCATCCTGGGTTCATAAATATTAAAATTTATGCAAATCATTAATATTAATAAAGATTTATGAATTATAAATTATAAAAAAAAAAATACTTACGGCTTGACAAGGTTGAACATGACAATATCTTATTGCACATTTACTATCATCAGCCCAAAATGGACATTCTTTCTTCAAATTAATTTTATAAAAACGGAAGTAATCCCTTAAGAGAAGACTCTGCAGTCTTGGATATATCTTCATATTATTAAAATAATCAACAGTATCGACATTGCAGCTACAATCATCAATTGATCCTTTTAACTGGAAAAAAATTTTTTTACTGTTATGAATAATAAAAAATTAAATGGAATTATTTTCATGATACTTAAATCAACAAACATCCGACAATTTTTGAAATTTTTATAAAAAATCAATTATGATAAAAAAAAAATATTTTTTAAAATTCGTCCTTAAAATATTTTTCAATTTCTACATGTAAACTTTTTTTTAAATAATTTAATTATAAGTATAGTCTAAAAAATTGTAAGATGTCTGTTGATTTCAGAGTAATTTATTTTCATAGTATTGAAATTAATAGACATTTGACAGTTTTTAATGATTTAATAATTGAACTGTCAAATGCAACTTTAAATTAATTATCGCAAAATAAAAACAAATAAACAACAATTATTTACAAACATACCTTGCAAAAACACTGATCATTTTTATGACTATGGGACCCAAAATAATTGGCCAGCGTCAAATTAACAATTGATATAAATATTAAAAAAATTAATCGTGACATTTTAACAACTAACAATTAAAATTATTATTGCATTTAAAATACATATGCTACTATTGCAACGTCACTATATTCTAGCATGTAATAGCGATCATCGAACAATTAAAACTTCAAACTTGTTTTCCGCCAACATTTGACTTACAACAAAAATAACAACTAAAATTGTTTATTTAAACCTTGATTATCATTATCATTATAAAAAATGTCAGTGCAATTTGTATGCAATTAAGTCACGTACACAATCAGCCTCTTATCTTTCTTTACAAAACACATGTGAAACTTCCCGTTGCACCGCAAGTAATCATTCATTCAGTCTTATCAATTATTTAAACTAATAAATCCACCGAGTAATAATAGTTGACATAATAAAATTGTGGATCATCTGTTATCTGTCAGCCGTCACTAGGAGTTAGAATCTAGAACAAGTAGAAAAATATCAACTGATCAACCTTTATCAAGCCTTGACCTTTTTATAAACAAACTCCCACTTACGGTCCGGGTTATCTCCAAATTATCAAAACTTTTTGAATACCCAGTAGACCGAATTTAACTACGTGACAACTATCACCTATAAGAATCGCTTACGTGGGTTCTGGGTTTTTTACCACGTAGGTTTACATTTTTAAAAATAATTTCATCATTTATTTTTATTTTATAAAAAATTTCAAATTATTTCCATTGAATATGACATTTGTGAATTATTTAGTAAATTCATGTCAATAATCTATTTTTAATCTTCTAATTAATTATTTAGAACTGCAAAGTCTGTGCGATTTAATTTTTCTTTCTACTTATTTTTTTTTTTTTCAATTTATTATATATATTTTACTAAAAAAAAAAAATGTCGATAAACTCAAATGATAAATTAAATTGAACAGTTTTCTTCATTGTCGATAGACTATATATATATATCGTATATAATCGTTTATATGTATAGGTGCGTGTATATTTAGAAAACGACGTAATGCGACTACTATGAATTCTACATAGTAATGTGTGTAAAAATGAAAGCTAAACGTGTTTCTACGTGTCGATTCTTGTGTAAAGAATTTACTACAGTGCGTACATAGGACGGGTACGCGAAGTACGCGAATGAGAATTAACAACCGCTGAGAACAGACGGAGTATAGCGTAAAACAGAAGGAGTGAAGCAGTCTAAAGAAGTGTGTAACGTAGAGCATGAATGTATAGTTACAACCGGGTGTAAACTTGTAGACTAGACTGTTGGTTTGGAGTACGAAAGACCTTGAGTATTTTTTTGGACGCGGTTTTAGGCGTTCTTTAATTCTTCTTTAGTTTAAATTTATTTTTTAAAATTTCCAATGGATTTAAATTGACAATTATGAGCCTCTTGAATTCAATCCAACCACCGCCAGCTGGTAAGCATTGTTTTTATCATTTATTTATTTTTATCTACTAGCTTTATTAATTAATAATGTGATTCCCCACACCGTCACGTTTTTTTTTTTTTTTTTATTTTTTTAACGTATATTCATTCAAATGTGTGCGTAGGTCCGTTGAATCAAGCTGGCTCTTCGTCGTGGAAAAGAAAAGGATCAGATGATGGTAATTATTAATATTTTTGGTTATTGATAAGCTGTTATGAATTATTTATAGATAATCAATGACTTGATTTGAAACAATGCATGTTTTGTTTTATTATATTTAAGTGTCATAGCTTGGAGTTATATTATGATTGAAAAAATTTTTTTTTCATTGTTTTATACAGAATAATTAATTTTTTTTATTTTTTAGAAAATGAAGATCATGATTCAAATGTTAAAAAACCAAGATATTCTTGGTACGTTACATTGGAGAACGAATCACCACTAGGAACTGATGAAAGTGATACTGAATCTATGTACAGTGTACAAGATCAAGAGACTGGTACGTATTTATTTAGTATTTTTATTTTTCAGTCAAGCAATCAATTCCCAAAGAATATATTTTTATTTATTTTATCTCTATTTAATTAAAAATTTTGATCAGGGAGTTGTTTTTATTTAATTTTACATCCCAGTAATTTCTAATCTGTCTGGAAAAAAAAACCTAAAAAAAATCCATGTTAAAATTTTTATATAAGGTAAAAGACCCAGTTATTGACACTGGCCCTAGTTGACTGACACTTGCAATTTTATTCTAATTAAAAAAATAAAATGTTCTCAAAAAACCAATTATCTTAAAATTTATAATTATTAAATTTGATTTGTTTTATTTAATTTAAATAAAATTGCAAGTGTCAATAACTGGGTCTTTTACCTTAAATATAAAATCATTAAAAATTACATGAAAAAAAAAAAAAATAATTTACAACTTGACGTCTTAAAAATACTTGTTTAATTGGTGATTAATTTGTGAATTTTTGTTTGCTCAGAATATGCACGAGATACTTCAGATACCTCTACTACATGGATCAGTACCTCCAATGATAACGCAAACATAGCAGTTGAAGTTGAATTTGAATTAGCAGCATCTGAAACTGAATCTGATAACCCATACTATGATCGAATATCATCATCTGATCCCGAGGTATGTACTGTTTCAACGATTAATCTTTTGTAATTTTTTTTTTCTTATCAATTTAAACTAATTTTATCAATTTAAACCAGGATGTATCTGCAGTTGAAGTCATGTTATCTCGGAATAGCTTAAGTAGCTCAATCTCTGACTATTCCGAAGAAACTGATGAGTCAATCGCGTCTGTTGACAGTGACTTTGGCCGTCTTTATTTCTATCGATGCATACAGTGCCGTGAGGAAAAAGCAAATCCTCAATTCACGCACTGTGAAAAATGTTTCCAAGTAAGTTATTGTCGATTTGACAATTACAAAACCAATAGTAATAGTAAATCAGTAATAATCAATGAATAAATAATATTGATTATTGTGGTGATAGCAATAATGCAGTTAATTAATTTGTATGAATATATAGCTCAAAAAAAATTTCTTTCCACCACGACCGAAACGGAAACGACGTAAGAAAAAATTAGACGGTTTGAAAAGCACTGAGGAGAGCGGTGAATCATCGTCAGTGGCAACGTCTTCCCATGTACAGTCAATTACCCATTTTGACTCGGGTTTGGGAATGAGTCAAAGCGATTCCGCAAACGGGAGTCAATGCGAGTCAATAATCGCTAGTAATGATTCGACTATCGGTAGCCAAAGTCAATATGACTCGGCGATCGGTAGTCAAAGTCAAAGTGATTCGGCTTCATTTATTGACAGCCAGCAATCAGTTTCTGAAGTAGATAACGATAATCAAATCTCATCAGACTTATTGTTTAACGTCGATACAGTTGATTACAATAAATCTTCAACTTCCGTATGGCTAAAATCTTACTCACCAAATAATTGTTACAAAAGTAGTAGCAGTGAGATCAGTATAATTGATGACGGTAAAAAAAACGATAAGTCTGATGATACCGATAGCAAGCTATGTCATGTTTGCACAGTTAAACCAAAAGACGGAGCTTTTGTACATGGAAAAATTTTGCATATATACAGCTGTTATACTTGTGCGATTAAAACTTGGAAGCGCACTAGGCGTTGTCCAATTTGTCAGCGTCAAGTTAAAAATGTATCAAAGCTCATTTTTTCTTGACTGAATCCATTGCGAGATGAATAAAAAAAAAAATAAATTTAAACAAATCAAGATTGATTTAAATTATTTTTTTCTGTAATAATAATAATAATAATAATAATAATAATTATTTTTGTAACTTTTGAATAACATGTTTATTTTTTGATAATTAATACAGAAAAAAATGTTTATATGTTATGTAAAAAATATTTATTATGTTAAATGTAACCTTAACAGAATCCTAGAAAATAAATTTATTTTTGGGCTTCTCAGAAGATTCACGACTCAAGGGTGGTTAAGGTTCTAATATGAATTTATAATTCATGAAAAGGTAAACATTGAAGAATCCTTTTATTAATCCAGAGGATATATATGTACATACCTTTTAGTAAGGTCAGATTTTTGAATCCTGCAGTAATAACCCGCTACGTGCTTAACAAACAGCGTCGTTACGGTTGAGCTTGGAAATATTTTTAGTACGTGAAATTACCACGGTCGTGTAGTAGTGCGTCTATGTAAAGTGATTAAACATGTGTATAGAGTAAAAAAGCATAATACCGTCCAAGAACAGCTGAAATTAAAATCATAATTATATATTTACACCGTTGCTTTCTATATCGATCATCAAGACTCGGACGCTGTGTTGTGTACTCGGCGTTTTTTTTTTTTTTTATAATAATAAATACCGCAATTGTTTATTAAATTCTTATTAAAATGGCGGTATTTACGGACAATGAAGAGTACATACGTTATTCAATATTAGGTGTCATTTGGCTTATTTATTTCTGGGAACTTTATTTAAGTTTACGGCAGGTTAGTATTTAATATTTTCCACGTGGCATTTTGACGATTTTTTAAAAATTAATTTGTTTAATAAACTTTTACTTGCAGAGGAAATTGATGCAAAAATTGACATCGCTACCTGCGTCGTTAGGCGGCTTGATGACTGAAGACTTGTATCAAAAAGCCAGAATTTATGCGCTTGATAAAAATGCTTACAGCAATATTCATGATCTTTTTGCAACGGTTGTTAATACGGTAAATTTATTTAATTAGATATTTACGTATGAACAATAAATTTTTTTTATTTTTTACAATTAGAAATAATTTTCAAAATTAGTTCTATTTTGTCCGAAAATATGGAGACATTTTGTATTTTGCCTAATTAGTTATTAATTTAATCTTTCAATAATCAATTAACTGGTGCACAGTATTGACAATTCTATTCAAAGATTAATATATAGCTTTCATGTCAAGTTACTTCGTTTCTTCACTTGGAGTTTATATTTGATTTAGTTAAGTTGATTAATAATTTATTTATCACGCCACTTGACATTTCATACGATAATGTTAACAATAATTTATACGTGAAATTGGCTTTTCTTTGGATTAAAATAGTAATAACATAATGCTAAGTTCAAACTTGATATTAAAATCAACAGATATTTTACAATTTTTTAGATTTTTATAACAATTAAATTATTATGAAAAAAATATAGTAAAAAAATACTACAAGGAGAAATTGAAAAAAAAAATTTAAGCGCGAATTTTAAAAAATAATTTTATTTATCAAAATTGATTTATTAAAAAAATTTTTAAAAGTTTATTTATTTTTAGTATCATTTACACTTGACCAAAATAGAAAATGAACTGGTTGCTCATAATAAATTACTTTTTTTTATGTATTTTAAATAGCTCATAAATATCAATAGATAACTTCTCCGTTATTTTGCCTAGAAATAATATTAATATCTGTTTTATTTATGCTGCAAAAAAATAAAAAATAAAATTAGTTTATTTTGGTTCATAATCTTTGTTTAAAAATAATATTTTTAACATGCTTATAAATATTAGCATAAAGAAATGTTTTAATATTTTACGAAAAATATTTAATTTATTTTATAGGTTGTAGTACTTACATACGCATTTTACTACTATTGGCAATGGGGTCTCATGATGACAAAATTTCTTGGGTTAGATACATCTAACGAAATAATAGTTAGCGCCTGTGTATTAATTATCATGAACACAGTATCAACAGTTATTGATATGCCATTTAAAGTATACAATGTATTTGTGCTTGAAGAAAAACATGGCTTCAATAAACAGGTAATTTTGATATTGAATTAAATTAAAAATTGTTAAAAACTAATAATAAATATTAATACATCGATTTAATTATCCCATAGACGGTGAAATTTTTCATAAGAGACCAGCTTCTCAAATTCGTGGTAGGCCAAGTGATCGGGCCGCCATTGTTATGTGGCTTAGTATGGATAATCAAAAACGGTGGTGACTATTTCTTCTTCTACGTTTGGATATTCACGGTTGCTGTCACGCTCTTCATGTCAATCATTTATCCCGAAGTGATTGCCCCACTGTTTGACAAGTACTCGCCACTCCCAGAAGGCGAGCTGAAGCAGAAGATTGAAGCACTCGCAGCTTCATTGAACTTCCCGCTGTACAAGCTGTATATCGTAGAAGGCTCCAAGAGATCATCTCACAGTAATGCTTACATGTACGGGTTCTACAAGCACAAGAGAATCGTTCTTTTCGACACTCTCGTCAAAGAGTACTCTCAGGCAAACGTTAATCCTGATGGAACAGGTAAAGATGACTACGGCTGTGAAGTTGATGAGGTCCTTGCCATTTTAGTTCATGAGTTGGGTCATTGGCAATTTAGTCATACTCTTAAAGGCTTAGCGTTAGCTCAGGTAATGTTTTTCTTATTTTTAATAATAAGTATCTATTATAAAAAATCAAGAGTATAATATTCAAATGTATGATTGATATAAAATTGAAATAATTAATTTACTAAATTATTTACAGATAAGTTTTGTAATGAATTTTATTCCATTTGCAAAATTATTAAATTACCAGCCAATTTACACAGCTTTTGGGTTCACTGATTACCAGCCAATTTTCATTGGACTTATTATTGTTATGATGTATATTTTAACTCCTCTAAATACGGTAATTATAAAAACTATTATTAAAAAATATATATATATATATATATTCAGATAATTTTAATAAAAGAAAATTTTGGTATTTTCAGTTGTTCGGATTCTTAATGACTGTTAACTCCCGGCGTTTTGAATTCCAAGCGGACGCTTTTGGCAAAAAGCTTGGCCACGCAGCAGCATTGAAACGTGCATTAGTAAAATTACACAAGGATAACTTATCATTCCCGTTATATGACAAGCTCTACTCGGGCTGGCACCACAGCCACCCACCTCTACTCGAGCGTCTCGAAGCACTCGACAAATACGAGTAGACGCTAAAAAAATTTAACTAACAAAAAATCGGGCATAATTACTACAGTTATTGTGTAACCACATCAATCATACATTTTAAATCATCATTGTCATATATCATGTGTGCGTGAGTTATGTAACTATTCAAATATTTTTTTCTTCCAAAATATTTATCGACGCGATTACGTGTCTTTAAAATCATTTGGTTCATTTTTAATATAATGAAATATGACTTTATTAATACAACAAAAACAATTACTTATATTGATATAAAAATATTGGTCCACGCGTTATTAAAATTAATGTACCAAAGATTTTATATATCTAAATGCTTGTTCGTACATTTTTACATTCTATTTTAATTTTAACAATTTTTGGTTACTCATTGAAAGTATAAGTGGGTGGAAATGTTATGTCGCATTTTTTTACTTCATGTTTTTTTTTTAAACCTCAATAATCAATTGAAATATTTCAAATTTTTAACAAAACATTCATCCACTTCTATCTTCAATATTTACTAATTAAATTTGTTTATCCTTTCATCAAAATTTCAGCTATCGCACTAATCCAAATAACAACTCCAAATGCTCCTGCATCAACATCGTTTAAAAATTTCGACTGCTTTACGTACGCAGCACGTCCAGCTCTAAAACAAAAATTTTAAATCATAATCATAAGAAATAATCACATCACTAACAATCACAAAAACTAATCAAAACATTTAGCTACTTAGGAATCATTTGTTTGGTCAAATTGCACCCCAATTTCGCCGCATCGACTGTTTTTTTAATAACGACGTTAAACTCTGCATGATTTAGCTGTTCGTTGAATGCCGTGCAAGCGGGGTCTAGTGCGTCCAACTAAAAAAATTGATTTTTTAATTAACATTTAAGGCTGCTTATTAAAATGATAAATTTATCATTATAAAACCATTGTTCTGTCGCCTGGCTGTGCTTTGCTGTACTTGGTAACGCCGTTAATGGCAGACTTCCACGCTCGCCCCCAATCAACAGCTTTAATTTCTGTATTTGGTAACGCTGAAGCTGCTGTTGTGAACATCAGGCTGTAAACAGCACCTGAAGTACCTCCCATGCAGTCCTCAGCTATTTCAGACAATTCAGTGAGCAATGATACGGGGTGCGTTGTACTTAGAGTATCCAGCGATTTTACAATACCTGTTTAAGTTTATCAATAAGTTTAGCAAGGAGTAGTGTTCAAGTATTGTGAAAGCTAATTTTCAAAAGTTTTAAACGCCAAAAATTTTTGAAAAATCAATGTTGAGAAGCAAAATTGAAATTGAAATAATTTTGAAAAATATATCGAAATTTTTTATTTTAATTTATTAGCGAAAGTAAAAAAAATTAAATCTTGCTTTTGAAGTCTGCTTACATAATAGTTGAACACTTTCTTAATCAAGTATAAGATCTGTAAAACTGGCAAAGTTTTATTAGCAAAATTATAAAATTTTATAAAATTAATATTTATTGCCAAAAAATATTTGACGTCCTGTGATAAGTCAATTTTTTCGCCCTAAATATTAGTAATATTAGTAAAACTTTATAACTTTGCTTATTAGATTACTTGTCGCACAAATCTCGTAAAATCAAATAGCTCACAGAAATTATTCAATTTTGCAAAATTAACTAGAAAGCATTCGGAAAATTATGATTTTGTAAATTTTGATACTCAACTGCAATAAATTGCTCGATTTCTTTAGCTTTACACGAGGTCTGTAGCTTAAATAGTTAGCAAGACATTGACTTTCAAAGCAAAATTGGTTTTATGGCTTTGACAAATCGAATTTTTGAGATAAATACTTTATTAAGGGCCAGTTTTTCAATCCAAGATAAAATTTTATCCAGGATAAAATTATTGCCAGTATATTTATGTATATGAAATATATAGATATATTTTATCATTGTATAATAAAATTTTATCCTGGATTGAAAAACTGGCCCTAAAAGCTTAAAATGTTCGTTTTAATGTCAGAAATCTATTAAAAAAAAAAAAAAAAAAAAAACGATCCGATAATTTTTCAGCTCGCAAAATCAATTTGTTTATAAAACTTCGATTGTTTATAACTAATGATCTATTAGTCGGGCGGAGATGAAAAAAAAAAGGACCATAGCTTTTTTCAAGCTCTAGAATTTGTTTGTAGAAACTTTACACATCAGATTAATAGTTTCAACGATATTCAATTTTTAATTTTCAATTTTTTTGTGTACTTACAATTTATAAAAAAAATTAAGACCGCCGTTAGATACTTGTTAGAATTCTTAACTAACCGATTAGGTACCGAAATTTATCAAAATCATAATTTTCCGAGTGCTTTCTATTTAGTTTTGCAACGCCGGGTAAAATTGATTAGATTATGTGGGCTAAAATGCTTATTTGCTACATAATTATTTATAAATATAGACAAAATTTACTGTCAGCTAATTTTTTATGTGTGGATCCGCAATCGCCATCACCACAGCCACGGTCCAATGTGTTGAGTGTCTCCTCATTGTTAATAATCGCTTTACATGCATTCAGTAAACATCCCTTCAAAATATTAGCGTTTCGATCGCTTATTTTTGGACCAATTAATTTTTTAGGTAGACTTGTAGTCCTTTCAACGCTGGGTACTTTATTGTCAACGAATTTATTATTAGAATCCAGTGTAGGTAGAGTGTAAGCACATCCTGGCCAGCAGGGTGCGTCTGTTTTGTCGTCGAGACAGTCGAGGTATATTTTTTTAAATTCTTCTGGTAGTTTTAGAACAGATACATGAACTCCCGCACTGTCTAACGATGTCATCAGTACTCCAGAGTAAACTCTACACACATTTATATTTTTATTTCCTGCAATTAATCATTAAATTAGTTAAGTGTTTCATGTAATATAATAATTTATGATTCTACTTACTCAATTGTGTGACTATTTCATTAATAACAATTCCCTGTTCTAGTTGACTCGTACCGCCAAAATTGTTCACTAGAACTGCTACTGAGTCGCCAGTATTCAATGACAATGTTTCAGATATTGTTTCTAGTAAAATGGTGATTACTTCAGATGCACTTTTTATTTTTATTCTATGGTATCCAGCTTCACCGTGGATACCAAGCCCTATTTCTATTTCATCGGCTGGCATCTCCATCATCAGTCCTTGGCCTTAAAAAAAAATTTTAACAAAGTATCAATATTATGAAATAAGGTTCAAAATTTCACTAATTATTTAGATTGAGGATTTTACGGCTTTCTCGGACTGCATTGAGAGAAAAAATGTCTTTTTAAAAAAATTAGCAATATTGTAACAAAAAAATCAATTTGTTGAAAATTAAAAAAAAAATTTTATTTTTTAGCTGAAAAAATAAAAATTTTTTTCACAGTAACTTCTTGTTGAAAAAAATTTTTCTAGATTTTGGAAAAATAATTTTGGATGGAAATTCGGAAGTTGTCTATATAAAAATATTTTTTTTCCATATCAAAAAAATTTTGTATATCAACAAGAAAGTTACTGTGAGAAATGGTTTAATTTCATCAGCTATGAAATAAAGTTGTTGAAAATTTTTAACAAATTAATTTCTTGTCAGAACATTATTCAATAATATCTAATATAATTTTTTCATTGAACAGATTGTCTGATGAAGCTGAGAATTAACAGCGAAACGTTGCATTTTTTAATAAACTAATATTGTTGTTATTTGGTCCAAATTCTCAATAACTAAAGATTATAAACATGGATGAGAATAACATTAACAAATTATTTAATTTTTTTAAAAGAAATTTTTCCTCTCAGTGTATAAAACATCGAAAAATTAACTTGTTCAGTTTTTTTTATTCTTCGTCGTGGTGGATTTAAAAAATCATTAAAAATAAGTTTTTCTCATACTCATCTCGTTTTTTATTGAAATTTTTTAAACATCAACCTATGTAGTGTAATTTTTGTAAATTTCGGCAGTCGATCAACAATTTCTAAATAATGTGATGTTTAAATATTTATACTTTTTTTTTTATATTCTGCATCAAAAATAAAGTAATTGAAAATTTTAAGTTTTTATAGCCGAAAAACGATGAAGTTCCACATCCAAATAATTACCGAAACTTTATTAGTACAGTGGATTCTAGGTAACTCGAATCTTGTTAAGACAAAATCCTCAGTAACTCGAAAAAAATTTGTATTCCCTTCCGCTAAACTCTTAAATACGTGATATCTCGAATTATTTAGACTAATTCAAATACAAAAATTTTCTGCAAAATACGTAGAAGTATTATTGAAGTGCTAAATAATCTTTTAGTTATGATTATTACGCAATATTTATGTTAATATTTTTTATCATTGTAAATAAATCGACATAATGATTAAATGCTAAAAAATGATGCAATTTATAAAAAAAATCAGTACTGATACTTCAAAATTTTTATTTTTTTGTAACTGCGTAGATTACAAGTTATTATTATTACCAGTTGCTGTTGTTATTATTATTATTAGTCATCCAAGATAAGTAAAAAATAAAAAAAAAAAATAACAAACCAGGTAAAGAACATGAACGTAAACCAACTCCATAAGTTGCTATACAATCCGCAACTACTTTAGCATGGTATAATATTTCATCGATACTATTTCCTCGTTCAGCCATTGCTCCAGTTATCTTTATAACAAATAAAAGGCCAACTAGCCCTCGTTTTCCAGCGCGGCCTTGATCTGACGCAGGAATACTACAATCGTCTCCAACAATTATTTCTGCAATCTTCATAAATTTATAAAAAATTATTGTATCTTAAATTATTGAAAGAAAAATAAGAAAAAAGATAACCTTAAGATTTTTCTGTCTCGCTTTTTCGATTGTGATTCCGAAGTTCAAACAATCACCAGTGTAATTTGGTATCACAGCCAGAGTACCGGCTGGAACAAATATGTTTATTAGATTCTGATAAAGAATAATTTAAGATATTATTATTTATTAGGTTACCATCATTGGAAACACAATTTAAAGCGTGAAGAATATTGTTTGGAGGTGGGGCTGCAAATACTGAGCCAGCTATTGAAGCGGTCAGCATCCCTGCACCCACAAATCCTGCAGCAAATGGTTCATGTCCACTACCTCCACCGCAAATTATTGATACTTTGTTTTTGCGATTTTTGTACTAGTATAAATACAATAAATTAAATATTTTTTTTTTTTTTTAATTTGTTTAAAGTCGCATAAACTACTAAGGTCATGAGCGACTACGGTAGGGGGTACACTTTTGAGATTGGAACTCGTTTGTATTTCTTCGGCTGAGCAGAATAATACACTTAAATATTGAAAATATTCATTGGTGTACGCCGGATTCGAACCTGTTCCAATGCTTTGGTAGCAAGGGCCGGATCCGATAGGCTACTGCGCGCTTATTAAATATTTAAATAATTTATTTTTCTTCATTTTTTTTAGTATTCAAAATTTTTTATTTTACACTTAGAAAAAAAAATAGTTTTATTAAAAAAATTATTTTGGAGCAAGAATATAAGGTAAAAGACTCCATTAGTGGCACTTTTTTTTTTTTCAATGAAAAAATGTTTGACTTGGAATAAAAATTAAAAATTTTTTTGATCTAAAGGTCTTAAAGATTATAAACGATATATACATAATAGAAATTAATGATTTCGTTGATTGAATAAGTACCAAAATCAAAAAAAGTGTCAGTAATGGGATCCCCGCCACTAATAAGGTCTTTTACCCTGTATTTTTGTATAATTATCAAGAATATATTTTATAAAAATTAATTTAGCAGATATTTGATCATTTTAAGAATTTTTTTGTCAAATAAATTATGGCAAAAAAAAAATGACATGGAGAAATTAAAAAAAATTAAATATGCAATTTTTTGACAATAATTTTTTGGAACAAATTTGTTTGTTAAATAAAATTAAAAAATGGTTAAGTAACTGCTAACTTTAATGTCATATATATTTTTTGATCCGAATTGATTAAAATTATTTTTATTTTTTTTTTCTCTTGCATAATTATAAAAATAAAACAAAAATTTGGGATTTATATTCTTCTACTTCTAAGGACTCTAAATTTTCATAAGTATTATCAATAAATTCATACTGTTAATGTTTTGTGTCACTTAAATAAATTATGACACGCATATATAGACAGTTTTATAAACTCAGCTGTTTGTAGCGATTAAAAAGATATTAATTCAGCTCAAGAACAACAGATTAATTCTTGTTAGAAATAATTATCTAAAAAAAAAACTAATTAAAATAATTTTTACGCTTTGATTATATTCTGTAGCTCGAATGTTATTACGATTAAAATGAAAAGTTTTATGAATTGATCCGTCTTTTTATTAATAATTTATGAGATTAAAGTTAGCAGTCACTTGAAAATTATTAAATTTTATTCAACAAACAAATTTATTCTGAAAAATTATTTTTAAAAAATTGGATTTTTAATTTTTTTAAATTTCTATAAGTCAATTTTTTTTTGCCATAATTTAATGAAAATTAATGTAGCACATATTAGATAATTTTAAAAATTTTATAAGAAATAAATTATGGCAAAAAAAAATAAGAAAAAAAAATTGACATTTAGAAATTTAAAAAAATAAAAAATGCAATTTTTTTAAAATAATTTTTTGGAAAAAATCTTTTTGCTAAATAAAATTAAAAAATTATCATTAATAATTTTAAATAAATTGATAATTATTTTGCAAGAAAAACTTGGCCCGTTAATTAATAAATTAAATATTTACGTACATTTGCCGCAAGAACAACTCTCTTTGACAGATGATATTCCAAGTGCGGATATGCACAACAAAGTCCCGCCAATGTTTCTTCGACAGTAGTGTCAACAGAGTTGATCAACTGTTTGCTCGCCATTTCGCCGAAAATGAACTAGATCACGGTGAAAGTAAAAGTAAAAATAGAGTGAAAAAAAAATTCAAATTTAAAAGCAGCGTGAAGAGAAGAGCGTTATTGCGCGGGCGTTAATAATTTGACTGTCCATTGAATAAACAGCTGAGCTTACTATATATAGTCATGATCTTTGACCTTGAATGTCGAAGCCGAGGAAAGATTCAGTGATCTGCCGGGGCAGTTTAGTTGCGTTCATTTAATTGGACTTGCACTGAAATTACGTCGCATCACATAAGTTTAAGACTATGTTAAGTAAGTAATGTCAATATGTATATTAATACGCATTATATATTATATTTTTGTACTTATATAAATATATTAAATTAAATATATATATTGCAATAATAGGTCATCATGTATCACAATTCAACTTTGATATCATGTACTCAATATACGATAAAACATTTTATTAAATCGTTATCATTAAATCCCTTCCATCATTAATATCTATTAGACTTAAGTTTTAGTTGCTAATCATTAATCAATTATTATTATTATGATTAATTATTTTTAAATAATTTTAGTTTGCTAAAGGTAAGTTTACCTGTCGTTGACGAGCATGTCCACTATCAATTTTCGCGGTGCGCATGCGATTATAGAAAAGACAAACATGCGGAAATTATTTATATCAAGAGTAGTTTTAATTTCTGTTTTTTTTTTTTTTATTAATTAAGTGTTGACTGGTAATTTATAAATAAATATATGCGATAAGTGATACTAAATATAATTAATTAATTTTTTTTTTAACAAAAAAATTTTTAAGTTGAAAAAAAAAAAAGAAAATTTAAAACATGAATTTTTGAAATTTTACTTAATAAAAAATTTCTGAAAATTTTGAAATGTCGGCTAACTTAATTTTCATAAGTTAGAAGACGTAAAAATTTTTGATTTTTTTTATTAATTAAATTACAACTAAAAAGATATTTATAAAAAATTGCACTTATAGTTTTTCAAGTTTTTTACAAGTGACAATTTTTTTTTTAATTGTTTAATTGAAATTATTTCAATAAAAAATTTCTGAAAATTTTGAAATGTCGGCTAACTTAATTTTCATAAGTTAGAAGACGTAAAAATTTTTGATTTTTTTTATTAATTAAATTACAACTAAAAAGATATTTATAAAAAATTGCACTTATAGTTTTTCAAGTTTTTTCATGCGATAATTTTTTTTTTTAATTGTTTAATTAAAATTTTTTCAATAAAAAATTTTGAAATGTCGGTCAACTTTATTTTCGTGAAAATTAAATGACACTGAAGTTAGGCGTGTAAAAATTTTTGATTTTTTTTATTAATTAAATTACAACTAAAAAGATATTTATAAAAAATTGCACTTATAGTTTTTCAAGTTTTTTACAAGTGACAATTTTTTTTTTAATTGTTTAATTGAAATTTTTTCAATAAAAAGTTTCTGAAAAATTTGAAATGTCGGTCAACTTTATTTTCATAAAATTAATAATATTAATAATTATTATTATTATGTAAAATTCGATTTAATATTAAAAATATTATTATTGATTTTTTTTTAAGATCTGTAATTAAATAATAAATTATTTGAAAGAGTGATAAGAAATAATAAAGGTAGGTAGTTTATTTATAAATCTAAAGTGTTTAATGTAATTGAATGTAAGTTTAAGTGTTGAGGATGTGCGTAGACTTTAGTAGTAATGTATTACGTGTAATTGTAGTATAGCTGAAGTAGACTGGTGTACAATGTCAACATATGTTGATTAGGGTGACAGACCGCGGGAAATTACTTCAAAGAGTTTAAATTATTTTAACTGTGAAGCATACGTGGACACTCTGGTATCAGTGATTATGATTAGGGTGAGCGGGGATTTTTTAATAGTCAATATTAAGTAATGAGAGTATAGACTAGTAAAGTTGCTTTATATTAAATAGAACTGGGGATAGAAGACGAGCAATATATAATAAGAGACTAAAGAAGAAAAGAAGAAAAATAAGTTGAGGCTGGGTAAGAGAGACGGGGTAACTTGGTTACTTGGGGAAGAACAAAGATAAAGAGACAGAGATCGTGGTAGCACTACCAATATAAAACGTCTTGTATATGTATATATAAATAATACACATGTGCGTAGTAGATATATAATAATACTGTGTGGTCTTATTTAATAGTATTAGTTTTCAAACGACAATACATGTCGCGGTTAGTTCACCGCAGCAGTAGCATCTCACAAGCCAGTCTGAAATAATCCTCTACGTGTGAATGTTCCGTTGTGAGTCAAATAATATTTATATTTATATTTGTTTTTTTTTTTTTTTATGTATTAAATTTGCAGTCAATTTTTTAATTTAATTTGTCAGATATTTTTTTGATGAGATTGTGGTGCTAAAAATAGCAATCATTTGACAATTTTTTTTTTTAATAAATTTGGAGTAAAAAAAAATGAAAAAAAAAAAATATGCAAGAGTCGAAAATTGAAGAAAATATTTATAAAAATAATTACTATATTTTTTTTGATAATTGATGATTAAAAAGTAAATAAAAGTTTAAAATGTTTGATGATTTATAATTTAAATTTCGTGGAATTTCTTTTTATATATTTGTGTAATTAATTAATGGATATGATAATTTGGTTGATATTTTTAGTTTTTATTTCTTCAAGTTATAATTTTTTGTTATTTATAAAATTTAAATTTTTCAATTAATTTTTTTTTAATTTTGGGTTTATTTTTTTTTGTTGTTTTTTTGGTTGCAATTCAAAATTTTTGAAACTATAATTTTTAGATTATTTTAAAAAAATTTATCAAAACTATACTAAACGTTAATACTGATTAGAACATCATTATTGATTACTTTTTTTATTGACATATTTCATTATCCAGCTGACACGTGCACTAATATGCCTTTGTATTTATGAATTTTTCAGACTAGAATTATTTATTTATCTTTGTTTGAGTGTTTGGCGGGTATCGAGTGATATTTAAATTCATTCGTTTTGTAGCTCCGTTAATTTACGGTAAAAATTTTCTAACTCAATTTCTATAAATTTTACATCAGAATCCAAACTAATGATGAAATTTTTATTTCTAAGCTTAAAAATCAATAAATGATAAATAAATTGTACAATGTTTTCATTTAAGATAGTAAAAATTATTTTTAAAATTTTTTTCTTAATTTTAGAGAATATTTAACAAGTTTTTTTAGCTTAAAAATTAAATTTTCGAAATCAAACACAAATTTTGGATTAAAGTGATTGCTAATTAAATTAAAAAAAAAAAAAAATTAATAACTTTCTGAATAAAGTAGAGTCCAGTTGTATTAAGAACTTTCCTACTAAGAACGGCAATGTTTATTCTATGCCGAAATCGCTTAGTAATTTGGACAATTTGTTTCATCATCTATAAACGCTTTCGTGAATTGAAAGGAATTTCTACACCAATCAAAAAACTTCTTACTATTTATTAAATGATTTATTAGTCTTATCAAAAGGTCTATTAAACTGCAATTAAATACTTTAACAATTTACCAAATTTAATTAAAAAAAAAATTTTTTTTATATTTAATAAAAAATTCTTTCGATGCAAATTTGTATCACTTGTTAATAGTCGAGGTACTCTCTATGCCCTTTTATCATGGATTTTATGTGTGCTTAATTAATTTTTTTCCCGTAAATATATTTTCCAAGTCCATTTTTTCCGTCTACTTTTTATGAGGGTATTTTCATCAATCTCCTGTTATTTTGTCACACGGGTATTTAATCGCATGATTATTTTGTCTCCTGTTATGGTGTCGCAGCTCCGTTCTTCTTAAGGACTTTTGTGAATGTTTTAAATTTTTTTCTTTGCGAAGAAATATTCCTTATATATTGAATATGTCTTGTAAGTTGATCATGAAAATAAAAATAATTTTTTGTTTTGTATATTGACATTTCTGTTATCGTAATCACGATAATATTCAACTTAAAAAATATCAAATGAGTCAATTAAAAATAAAACTATTACGTTTTATTTATTTAAATAAAATTAAATAAAAAAAGATTTGCAACGAAAACTTATTAATTTTTCAACTCATTAAAAAAATGCTATCAAATAGAATAAATTTTCTATGGAAACAATTTTTGAAACAACAATCATTAGTCTTTCAAAAATTTTATTTTTTTTTTAAATTTGATAAATAATTATTGAAATTAGAAGAATTTTTTCGTTAATGTTTGTCGAAGTTTTTAAGTTTGTATAATTTAAAATTAAAGAATGAAAAAATTTTTCAAACGCCGTAAGATGGATGGTGGAGTTTTAGGGTCCAACTAAAGAATTGACAGATTTCAGCTTGCGTACTTTTCACGTCTAAAATTCGTCAAATTGATGTTTATTTTTAAATTTAAAAATTAGACGGTGTTTGTCAATGATGAAGAGCAATTATAACCTTATAGCGCAATTTATTTTTATTTCTAATTTTATTACAGCTATTAATTGTTAATTAAAGTTTCCAACTACCGAAAAAACCAAATTATAAAATACATTGATTCAAAAAACTGATAAATTTTTTTAAGGCTAGTTATAAACATTAATTGCTTGAAAAATTTTGTTTTGTTTCAAATTATTGACAAATAAAAGGCGTTATCAATACTTGAATTTTTGTAACTAAATAAATCCATGATACATTTTTTTATCATTTATAATAATTATTTCTCAATTACTCACCGACTTTTTTATTTGACACTCCCAAAAAAAAATTTTACAGCGGCTTTAATTGCTTTTTTATCAATTTTAATAAAAATTCCATCAATTACTTAATTTTAGCTACCAAATAAGAAATCAAGATTTTATTTATTTATTAAAGGATTTTTATTTTTTTAATATCATTATTTAATTGTTAATTCCAAACAAAATTAAAGAAGCTGAAATTAATAACAACTTATTTCATAGGCAAATAAATTTCCTACAACAATTTTTCTTACATTTTTTTTTATAACTTCAAATTTCCCTTAAAATATTGTTCTTAGATTTTCCATATGATTTTTTCTACTTGATTTTTTTTTTTTTTTTTTTTCAAATTATTATTCATTGCAATTTTTTTTAGAAAAATTAAAAATCACGCCATATAATTTTAAGATTTTTAGTGTCATACAAAAAAAATTAATTTTTGACTGAAGAAAATATTTATCAGGACAATTATTATCTTGAGCAAATTAAAATTTTTTTGTTTCAAGAAGAAATTTATTTTGTCTTAGACTATTTTAATTTTTCTCAGCAATGTTAATGTTTAAAATATTTTTTTCGTTCAGCGTACTAATTTTCTAGTGCATAATAACTCTATCAATCCACAACAATAGAAGTTAGTAAACAAATAATTAAATAAAGAATCATTTCTCTAGAAATTAATCTAAGAAATTCCTTCCCAACATTCATTGTATTCGATAAGTCAATCAATCAATCAATCAATCAATCAATCAGTGTATGAATTAATAAGAAGCGTATTGACTTAATACAGTCATAGTATATTATTTATTACCCTGATGAAAGACTTGAGCCCTTGACTGGAGTTTAACTTTAATAAAAACAAATCCATAGTAAATAAAAAAATAGCTTAATAATAACCGCAAATTATTTGCAGGCCTACGCAGCAGATAGGACAGAATTCGTGAAGATAAATTTTTATCAGTGATGTATACAGCGAGCCATGACAGCCACCGACTACAATGAATCAAATGCTGATGGAGACAGCGCGATGGCCCAAGAAGACACCACTAAACGCTTATTGGTAACTGGAGTGCCCAACAATAAAGATGGATCGGACAAATTTGGTAATCACCCGGAAGAACTCAATCCGTTCATTGAGCAGCAGTCAGTTGTTTTTGTCCCAGATGAATACAAGTCGTCGAATTATTTTTACAATGAAGAGAATTCAAAGCTCAAGGATGGATCTAGGGAGGATAAGCTTTTGGCTATGGCTAATAATCAAAATCCTCCTGATGGTGGAGTACGTGCTTGGATGATTCTACTGGGGAGTTTTATTATCAATGGGGTTTTATTCAGTATTATTAATTCGTACTCGTTGATGCAAGTACAGCTTACTGAGAAATTGAAGGATCTTGGGGAAACCAACGCGGAAGCTAAAGCATGTAAGCTTATTTATTCCTTTTTTTGAGCTTACTTAAGATGTTAAAAATTTTTTCATAATTATTTCTCTTATTAAATCTGTCACAATTGAATATCTTTTGATTCCTCCATTTATTAGTAGGCTTACATAAACAAGTAAAAATTTTCATGATAATATTTTAATGAAATTGTTGCGTAAGTAATCAATGATTATTACTTTTCATTTTTAATTAGCTTATTTGCTTTTAATTTTTATGTTTATAAATAAAATTAATCATTTTTTAATTTTAATGATTATTTTAAGAAGTGATAATAAATTATTTATTCATTAGTATAATAGTAATTTGGTTTATTTATCGGTTGATTAAAAATTTTTATCATTTTTATGAGCTACATTTAGAGAAAAAATTTCTTTTGAAAAAAATGGGAATTTTTGTGACAGAAAATTAATTTGAAAACAATTTTTGATAGGCAACTTGCGAATTGTCATCCAAAATTGTTTTTTCCCAATTCTAGAAAAACTTTTTTTCAATAAGAAATTTTTTTTTTTTTTTTCAACAAAAAACTAATATGGTTCAAGAGAAAAATTTTGAACTTAGAAGATAATTTTTAAGAGTTTTATTTTAAGCCAAATTAAAAATTTTTAATATAAACGAAAACAAAATTAACTATTTTAAGTTTTTTAGAGTAAATTTATTATACTCTAAAATAAATAATACTTACTTAAATAATTAAACGACTGTTATTATCTTATAATATTAGAGATCAGAAATTTTGTTAATTTATAAATACTATTATAATAATTAATCTTAAATACTTAAAAATTTTTAATCATGTTCAAGTAGGTTGATATTTTGGAGACAATCTACTTAAATAATAATTTTCATGAAAACTTCATTTTATTACAAATATTCTATAGATTGGTCTCATTACTCGCCGGTACCTTATAATAGAATTTCAATTCAAAGTTTGATATTGTATTCAAGGATTACAAAAGAACAATATCTGAATTTAATTCTTCATAAAATTGTAAATTAAAATCGAAACTTTATCAATTAAAATTCCAATAAGTTATATAAATTTTTTGCGTCAATTGAAGAAATATTTAAAAATAAATTTAAATCCTTTAAATTAACTTCAATTTTTGAAACATAATAAATGAAAAGAAATAATTAATATACTTGTACCTGATTAGAAAATAAAATTTTATACTCAAATACTTGGTAATTTACTTAAATATCAAATTACATAATTGTTTATTCAAACTGGAATAATTACAATTAAATGATATTGTTTTTAAGATATTGTCATGAATTTATCAATAGGCAATAAGACTAGTACAATAAAATACGATAAAACGTGTGTAAATTGGTCACTGAACTGCGCTCGGGGGTATCTCGAATTTTTTCTCAATTGGCAACAATAGAAATTTTTAAATCCACAGTATATAATTATAATAAAATATTATTAATATTAATAATACATTTTAGTGTTCGATAGCAGAATATCGGAGTGTTTTGACCTCTCCAACGTTATGTTTATTGTGATGTGACGGATGTATAATACATATCTCTGAAGTGTCTAAGCAGACACATGAATTGTCTTTGAATAATATATATATAACCACTGCCTGTATTATTATTATTATTATTATTATTATTATTATTATTATTATTATTATTAATAATGCCCGGCATGAGTCCAGAATTATTAGACAATTGTGATCAATTAATCTCATGACTGATGACTTATTTTAAAATTAATATAGAGGGATTAACGTTAACGACTCGGAACACGGGTTAACAGGACCCACCTACTTACACATTATGCGCGAATATAAATACATTATTATTATTATTATTTATTTTTTAATAAATATTTTTATATTGAAAGACCTTATGACCTGTAATACGATTTGACATTCTTGATATAAAATATAAGCTATGTCACCACTAATCACTAAGGTTATTGATTTAATGATATCGTCTTATTAAATTATTCACTTTAATGTTAGAAAATTGAACTAATAATATGTTTTTGTTTTTCAGCACTTGTTGGGTCATTAACTATTGGAACTACATTTTTTTTATCACCAATCGCTGGTATTTTAACTGATAAAATAGGTATACAAGTAACGACATTTATTGGTGGGTTATTAGCGTTCGGTGGGATGTTATTATCATCAATATTTTGTGATGATGTAATTATGTCTATTTAATATACATTATAACTTTTTTTAAGAAATCACTAGCTTTATCTGCGGTTATAATCAATGTAATTAAAATATTATTTAGAGAATTATTAACAGACTTCAAAGCGTCAATTTTATAAAAACATTTTAAAGAAACAAGGTTTTTTCTGAAAAAGTATTAATGTAAAATACCCAGTAGTTAAATAGTTTTCAAAGGAAAACGTATTTAACTCTACTTTTAATAAATAAAAATTTATTTATTATAGCTAATAAATTTATCTTTTAGTGATATATCACAAGATTATTATAAATAATTTAAGATGAATAATATCTACACAGAAAAAAAATTCATTTGAATCAAGTAAACAATTTTGAAGAATTTCTTCTTGATTTTAGTAGAAAAATTCTTAAACTAAAAAATTTTTCTTGGCTTAACAGCTAATCCCCTCTTTTTCTTGCGTCGCACTCACTGCAAGAAACAGTACTATATCCTTGTTGCACTCATGATTATAAAACTATTGCAGTTTTATGTTTTGATTTTAAACAAATGAGACTTTCGAAAAAAAACGCTGTGGTACGAAATAGATAATTAAAAAATCTATTAAGTAGCAGAGCGTTTTTTTTCAAAATTCTTTTTTGTCTAGAAGAGAAATATAAAGCTACAATCGTAGGGACCAGCTGTTTAAAGTAAATTTTACTTGATTCAAGAATTTTTCAACTTCATTTAAGACAATGAAACTTGACAATGATATAAGCTTTATTGTTTTTGTTTTCAATAATTCTCCAAAAAAACTATTTAATTTTTACAATTTAATTACAAAATATTATTTATTTTTGATTAGAATTTACACTGAGAGAAATGATTTCTATTGAAAAATAGAAATTTTCTTGTGACAAGAAATTAATTTATTGGAAATTTTCAATAATTTTGTTTCTTAACTGAAGAAATAAAAATTTTTCTCACAGTAAGTTTTTTGATGAAAAAAAGTTACTATGAAAACAATTTTGATTTCTTGAGCTAAGAAATAAAATTATTAAGAATTTAGAACAAATTGATTTCTTTTTTTGCCACAAAAATGTTCATTTCTTTAAAAAGAAATTTTTTCTCTCAGTGTATTAGCTATGTCCTCTATCATACTCAAAAGCTAGTGATTACTTAGAAGAAAAAAAAGAAAATGAAATACATTTTAATTATCAGGTGATAATGTAATTTCAGGTGATAATATTATGTTTAACTTACGGTATTATGTATGGAACGGGCGCAAGTTTAGCATATACACCAAGTCTAGTGATTTTGGGTCACTACTTCAAGCGCCGATTGGGTCTTGCCAATGGAATAGTTACTGCTGGAAGCTCGGTGTTTACATCAATAATGCCGTATGTAATGAGCGCTTTCCTAGAGCGATTTGGGATGGTTGGAGCTTTGAGAAGCCTGGCAATACTCACTCTTATAATACTGGCGTGTGCCATTCTTTTCAAGCCAGTAGCAAGTACGTTATTCACTTTATCTTTCTTTTATTTAAAATTATTCCACTACTCACTAGATAATTTAATTTGTATTGCAGTAAAAGAGACGGCTACTATCATTGACAAGTCTAATTGCCAAAGTGTCAATAAATCTAAAAAAGCTACAATTAATTTGTCAATTTGGAAAAAAAAACGTTATGTTGTTTGGGCGAGTGCTATTCCATTAGCATTATTTGGGTAAATTTTTTAATTAAAATAAAATTTTTTCAGTCGATCCGTGCCAGTAAAAATTTTACAATTTTTTTCACTGCCATCTTTATATTAATTGAAATTATTTTATTATCTAAAAATGTTATTATGTAGTTAATAATTTTTTTACTTTTTGGTCTGTAAAGACAATAGTATAAAAATTTTTTTCTCTTTTTCGAAGCCAAGTTTAAAAATGAGGTCAAAATTTTTAAAAAATACAAACTATCACACTTTTACCTGTTATTTTTTGATTAATTTTTGAAGACTATAACTTATTAAATTTCTTCAAAATACATCTAAAAGTTCATCAAACACACTTTAATTTTCATAATAATTTTTTTTCCTGGATTAATAATTTTTTTATTTTTCTATTTATTTAATGAAATTTGACTAATTTATTGCATCTCAAGCGACATAAAATAAGTTGACTTTTTGGAAGATTTTATTCAACAAAAAGTCAAAAATTAATAATTGTCAACTTAAATTCAACAAAACATTATCAAAAAAAATTTTTATTCCTATTTTCAATTTAATGATTCACCAAACTTTTTAAAGCTTCGAAAAATCTACTTTCATTTGGTCATCGACTGTCGAATGATCATTTTTTTTAATTCATCAATTTAATATTTGTTTAGATACTTTGTACCATATGTTTACATTGGATCATTTGTAATAAAGAGTTTTGGGAAAGAATTCAACAGAAAGATACCGGTAATGTGTATTGGAATCACATCAGGAATCGGTCGGTTAGTTTTTGGTTACATAGCCGATTTGCCACGAGTTAATAGAATTTTATTACAGCAGGTAATTAATTATTATAAATATGAATAATGAAATAATGAAAATTTTTAAAAAATAATTAAAAAATGAATTTTCAGATATCATTTATCAGTATTGGAATACTCACAATGCTTTTACCATTAACTCCGCCATATTATTCAGCTTTGGTGGTAATAGCGCTTTTATTTGGATTATTTGATGGATGTTTCATATCATTATTAGGACCAATAGCATTCGATATTTGTGGTAAAAGTGGCGCGACCCAGGCCATTGGATTTTTACTAGGAATTTGTTCTATTCCGTTGACTGCCGGTCCGCCAGTCGGTGGTTTATTAATTGAACACACAGGTACGTTATTTATCAAGTTATTTACAAATAAAATAACAATTACAACATTAATATTTATTGTTACTGTTATTGTAACTAGATTCATTTACCCTGACATTTGTGGTCGCGGGTATTCCTCCAATAATCGGAGCGATTGTCATGTTTGCCATAAATTGCGTAGAAGAGGACAAAGTAGAGGAAGATCCTGAAAAAATAGACGATGGAGCTGTTAATGCGGATTGTTGTCTTGATGGTAATTATTTTGTTTGTTTTCAATGGGTAGTCGATAGATTAACTATTATTTTAAGGATATCTGTCGAAAATTGTCAGGTGAAAAATACTAAAAATAGAAAAAGTTTATCGTATTTGGCTTCAAAAATTATCTTGTGTCAAAACAAACGATTAGAATCAAAAATAAAAATGAAGACAACCAATATTTTTGAAATATTTAATTTTTGCAATCTCAATAATTTAACATAATATTAGGTACAAAAATCATTAAGAAATATAGTTCTATTATTTCAGAGACAATTGCCAGAAAATAATGTTTGTAATTAAAAAAAATCTCAGAAACTTCTGAACCAATCCTTATAAAATTTTAACTTCATATTCTGTATACTTATTGCTAAATTTTGTAGTAGAATTATTGATTTTTATGCAAAAATAACAAAATTTCAGTAAAAAAAAAAAAGCGAATACATTTTTTTTATCGCGATTTTTCGCACAAAAATATAGTTACTTAAAAATTAAGTTAGTTTTTTTTCAGTGTCGTAATTCCAAATCTAATACAGCTTAATTAAATCAAAACTTATCATTTTTGATTAATTTTTTTCTTATTTATTAAAGTTATATATTTATCAGATTCGCAAAATTTTAGGAAAAAATAACTGAAATAATGTCAAACTGTGGGTGAAAAATACTGTTTTGATAAAACATAGACAAAATAATTGTAAAAAATTGATACCGTGGATTAATAATTTTTTTATTGACTACTGATAATATATTTAAGTAACTTGCAAAAATTAATGAATATTTTTTCAACAACAGGAATAGCAAAAAAAGGATTGGGTTCTCTATCAAGACTCAGCGGTGGCGGCAGCGTTCAATCGGAAGGTAGGTCATTTCGTCATTCAAAAGGACTAGCACGAACAACTGCCAAGTGCAATACTAGTTTGTATAACTCTACCCATATAATTCGCTCTTCTGACTATCATTATTCGTCAGCGGCTAATAACTCATCGATCTTCAATAAATCTCAAAACTGTTACTCGTTTAAACAATACAGTGATTATTTTCCTCCCGCGGCTGGCACGTACTCTGAAAGTCTGCCGTTATTAAATCAAGACTTTAGACATACAAGAAAGCTATAACTACAATATAATAATAACTATTTGTGATTATTAATTTTAACTAGATAGATTTATTAATTTCAATTATTAATCTTAAAAAACAATTTTTAACTTTTGTTCTTTACACTAATTTTATAAAGCTATTGCTTATTTTTATACTCAATTTACTACTTTTTAAACCTTCAATGTTGTTCATATTTATTTTCTTTTTTAATATTTCTTTTATAATAAACAATCTTTCTTACTTTTGTATTTTATTAGAGTTATTATTCTTGTCTCCTTTCCTCTTATTATTTTTAAAGCCTCTTATTATTTTTGTTGTTAATTAATTATCGTAAAATATTATTTTTTTTTTTTTCAGAAAATTAACGATTGGATTTATTATCAATTATCATGTTAAGAAGTTACGGCACACGGAACCTGCTGCACCTTGCGATCGATTAATGTCTACAACTATATAATACGCGAGGATACTTAATGCTATTTTTCACCGTTTGCTCAATATTTTAAATTCCATACTAATTGCCGCATTTATTTTCATTACTTTCGTATAAATTACTCAAATCAAGTTTACTTTTTTTTTAATCTTTTATTACATAAGTTTGCCGTGAAATTTAAATCATTTCAAATATTCAGGGTAAAAAAAATAATATCTACTATATATATATATATATATATATATACACATATATCTATTGTTATTGAAGTTCATGGAAACTTCAAATTTTTTTACATCTATTAGTAAATATATTTATTAATTAATTGCCGTAAAAAGTTAAATCGCCTATTTGGCAATTCGGAAAAACTATAAAATTATTATATCAAATATATAAAAAATGAAAATTTTAGAAAAAAAATGTAGAAAATAATTTAAACAAATATGAAGTACCTTCAAAGTTGAATTTATCGGAATTTATATGAAAATTCAGAACTAAATTCCATTTTAAAAATTTTAAGAGTTTAAAGTGTCAATTAGAAATAATTTTTAGTTAGTAATTAAATAATAATCTCAATTATATAACAGAAAGATAAACTAATGTAAATTTTTATTTTTCATAAATTCTATTAGTTATAAATTTTATTAATAATTAAATGTATACGTGTAGTCTATGCGCAAAAATTACAAACGAGAAAAAATCAAAGTACAAAATATATTTTCATCAAAAAATCATTATTTTTGTAGAATGATATCTATAAAATATTATTAATTAAAGAAGAGAAATTGAAAAAGAACGAATATCATAATAATAAATAATAATTATAAATGGGGATGTAATTTAAGTACTTAAATGTAATTGAAATGCATGTAATTTTTTATTTTAATTAAAATTTATAATTAACGCTTTATAAAAAAAAATAAAATAAAATAACTTTGTAATAATGCGTTTTTAATAATTTAAGTTTTTAAAAAAATAATACTCTCTTTTTGAGTAAATCATTTAATTAGAATGACATATTTCGACAATAATTACAAACAATTCCAAAAGAAGAAATATATATATATATATATATATATATATATATATATAGGAATTTTATTTGTATGACTTTCGTTTTTACAAAGTTTTACATTTAGTTTAGATTATATCTTTTTATCTTTTTCACTAATTTTTCTTATCCCTATTGCACGTCGGTGTCTTATAGACCCGCTTGCTCTACATCGTAATCCAATGACTAGTTTCTCTCCCTTTCTTTTCAATTTATTGTTTATCAGTCCATTCAGCGTAAAAATGTGGTCTCTCATTCCTCTTTTTATTCTGAATCCAGCTTGACTTTCTTTCAATATCTTTTTCTTATCGATCCATTTGTTTAACCTTTCCGTATCAATGTCGTCAGCAGCTTATACCCAGAGTCCAAAGGATATACCTCTATAATTTTCGATCTTGTCTTCCTATCGAAATTATCGTCTCGATATTCCAACCTGGAATTACTCCTTTTTCCCACATCTTATTTATTATCTCTCTTATCCAAGCAATTACTGCTGGTCCACTGTTTTTTTTTTTTTAAATTCAGCAGCTATTTCGTCTTCTCCCGGCGCCTTTTTATTTCCTAGTTTTCTTATTGCATCTATAGCTGAATTTCTCATCTAGCCTAGGGTCTAAAGAGCTATTCCCCATTTTCATCTCCATTCAGTAGTTTACTGAAATGCTGCTCCCATTGTTTCGCAGCTATTTTATTTACAATTGTTTTTCTCTTTTTCCCTCTAAATTTGTTAATCCCTTCCAACCTCTTTGTCATATCTTTTGCATTGCTAATTTCATCACACCTCTCCTGCATCCACGTTTCTTTGCTCTTTTTAATTATTTCCTTGTATTCCTTTCTGCTTTTTTTCAAGTCTTTTTTATTTTCGTTGGTTCTAAAGTAAAGTACCCAGTAGTTGAACAGATTTCAAAGTAAAATGTATTTGACCCTACTTTTAATATATAAAGATGTAATTATTAGTTCAAATTAGTGATTTTCATGAAAATATAAACAATTTTGAATTGATTGAAATGCAAAATAACCCAAATAATTTAATATTTACAATTTGACAACATTTTTAAGATAGACTATGAAAGGAGTAGTTGTTGAACAATCAATTCTGACAAGCCGCAGTAGTTTAACACTCCGGGAGCAGTAGTTGAACTAATAAAATATATGGCAATAAGTAGACCAAAAATTTTTAACGTTTTATTGAAATATTCAAAGATTTATAACATATTATTGAATAATATTAAAAATAATAATGTGGATATTTAATATGTTCATTTAAAAATGAGAAACATTTGTATTTGATTTTTTAATTACATTTTTTATGAATGACAAAGTAAATTTTCAATTATAAATCAAAAAAACTCAATTCAAAACGTTCAATAATTTTTAACTATACTAATTTTTAGTTATAAAACTTATTTAATTTGCAGTAATTAATACAAGTCACAATACTGATCACTAGTCTATAAACCTATTAAAGGTTATATAGAGTGCTGTTAAAATTATATGGTCCCAGCTTAATTGTTCAAGTTCTGGGTACCGCTTTGAAAATTGGGAGGTATAGTTGAACGCTAAAATTTAATATAAAAATTATAGTTTATGTCTTTGCAAAAAATATGTATTATTTAGAAAAGACTATTTCATTGGGTGGTACAATTTTTTTCACTTAAAATGATGATATACCATTTTTTTAACTGATTGTTCGGTTTACGGTTTAGTACCTTTTTCATGAAAAAAATAGCATCTATTGGTTATTCTCGACATTTCAACTTTAAAGTTAACAAAAAATGTAATTGTTTTGATTTATAATTGAAAAAACTTACCAAAATCAATTACTATATCATATTGAATAATTATAACATGCGCATATTACTCATAATATATATACAGATTTTGTATTACAACAATTCTAAAAGTCAGTTCAACTACTGGTCCCATTTTTAAAAGTGTTCAAGTACTGGGTACTTTACCTTATTGTTAATGAATTTATTCGAATTTTCCCATACTGAAAGAAGAAATATATTAAAAAATCAAATGAAGCGGCTACGAAAGCTCACGTGTTCAACTCCCAATAAATATAAGCCCTCAACTCGGTAACAATCGTGAGCTTTCGCAGTAGAGAGGTCTCATAGTAGCGTCGCGACGCCTGGTCACGCAGCGGCGGGTGAAGCGGCAAATAGTCGGTCACAATCCACCGACGCGTTAAAACATATATCTCGTATCGGTCTCGGCATCGTATCGCGCGTTTCTTAATAAATACACAACTACACACTTGGTGGCGTGCTCTCCCCTGGGTTTGAATTTATAAATGTATATATAATACACATGCATATATACATTTACTTGTACTTATTATACATCTAAAATAAAGTTAGGACTTAACATATAATTCTCACGCGTGGTTATTTTTACCCGGATTCCTCATGTTTAAATCAACCAACTAAACAGTAAAATACAAATTTAAAATCATTCCACCTCCCGCAATAATGAATTTATTAATAATTTTACAACTTTATTTATTAACAATCTTTAAATAAATATTTACTAAGATGTACATATGTCATTCGGATTTAAATTCAAAAAGTGCGCGCTTATTTTAAGCCATTTTTAATTTATAAATATCCCAAGTGTATTTTTATTTATTTTCAATTAATTAATTTATTATTATTATTTACCACACGTTCCAGCCCAGTGCGCAAAATATTTCAAGTGCAAGTGCTTTGAGTGATGAATAAACAATCACCTTTTTCATTTTCCAGTGCAAATACTATTGATAAAAATAAAACTAAAGTAAATAATAATAATTTTAATGATTCGACGGTTAAAATTAAAAAAGAACCAACTGAAGATGAAATTAAGGTAAAAATTTTATTTTTATTTTCATGATTTATTAATTTATTAATTTAATAAGTAGTTTGAACTTTTAAATTATAAAATTATTGTTTAAATATATTTTGCGCGAAGTACGACACAATGCATCTGAGAAGTGTTTCCTATGCATATGCAAAATATGTAAATATGTGTGTATATGTGTAAAAATGTAAATGTATATATTGTTTGTAGGGGGTAGTATATCTATGTCTGTGTATATGTATACCTATGTGAGAAGAGAGAAGCAGAGTCTCGTGTTACACTTCTCCTTCGCCTGATTTATTCGGAATCATAATAGGCTGAAACGCAACACCAACGGCTGCTTGCCTCTCATCATTATATACCTTTTACCTTGTATGTTCACCTGAGCGTGTTTGGTTTCTTATACTCGTGTGTCTATATCGCCTCGATTTTTTTCGTACCGAACGACATATTTCCAACTCATAATACACGTCTTTCTCCAACTTTTAATTATCTCGTTAATTAGCATCGATTATTCGATAGTTTTTTTCGATAATTAGAGTTTCAATGGGGTCTAATGTAACTTTGAGAGCTAATCTTTAGGTAACTCAAGTTACATTGAAGGATGTAATGGAAATTTATAGGAAAAATAAATGATACTTATACATAGAAATATATTAGAGAAAATATCAATGATTTATCGCAGGTTAAAATATTGATGTAAAAAATTTGTAATTTCATTTCATTTCAAAATTTTTCTTCTTCTTCTTCTTCTTCTTATTATTATTATTATTATCAATAGAATTTGAATTTAAGATTTAGACTTAAAAATTATAACAATTAACAATTTTACGTAGTAGGAAGTAAAAAATTGGATGTAAAAAATTTGTAATTTAATTTAATTTCAAAATTTTTCTTATTGTTATTATTATTATTATTTAAATTAAAGAGTATATCAAAGCCATTATTATTATTGTTGTTAATCGAATTTGAATTTAAGATTTAGACTTAAAAATTATAACAATTAACAGTTTTACGTATTTGGAAGTAAAAAATTGGATGTAAAAATGGATGTAAAAAATTTGTAATTTAATTTAATTTCAAAATTTTTTTATTGTTATTATTATAATAATAATAATAATTATTATTATAATTATTATTAGAATTTGAATTTAAGATTTAGACTTCAAAATTATAACAATTAACAGTTTTGCGCATTTAGAAGTTCGGATTAAAATTTTTACGCCTGAATTCCAATGTTTGTAAACCAATAAGTAAATTAATAATTAAAATAATTGATACGTCAGAGCTTTGTGCTTAAAATCAGTTTTTTTTTATTTTTTTTTTTTATAGACCAAACACGTGCTGACGCAAAGTTTTAAATAAACTCGCCTGCTAACGTACGAGAATAGCCGCTAACCTTTGAACCTCTAAATATCGTATTTAATATTTAATATTAAATATTTATATAATTTACACTTGTATTAAATTTAATTAAAAAAATTAATCGAAACTAAATTTGAAATTTAAAAGTAAAAAAGTTTTTCCTTAGTTTTGTTGAAACAAAAAGAAATAATTTGAGCATGCTAAATATCCGTACAAAAAGCTTTCCGTGCTTGAAAAGTTTTCGAAATTACAGTGTATGGGACTTCTCGTGTATACTTTCGTGGCATCACCACTGTACACCATCAGCCGCAATGCAGCGTGTTCGATTGCTCGTTAACGCGGGAAATACTACATACTAACATTTATTTTTACTTAATGTCTTCCAGTAATTAGTTTACGGCAATAAACTTTATTATGATTTTAATAAAAATTTAGTTTATTTTAAGGTGACCTTTAAGGATAATTTAAAGAATGTGATATACTAATCAATCATGTGATAATAAGAAAAAAAAAATGACAATTTAAATTTTATGACAAAAATTAATTATTGAAAACCAAAATCAATAAAATAAAACCAAAGATTGATTTAAATTTAAATACATTAAGAATAATAATATATAAAAGATTTAAAAAGAGCGCACCCCGTATTTTTTATTGTGCGAGAGTAAATCACAGTCGCTTTGAGGCGTGCAAAAAATAAAAATAAATATTTATTTACGTTAATCGAGTACAAGTCAAGTGTATCATACCGAGTAACCTAACCCGCCTTCAGCGTAAATCAGTAATTCAAGATCTTGCAAATGATCCTTTGGAAACTATAACATCGCCCGCAATTGTATTATAATCTGTATAAACATACATGAAATAAGTTGCATGATATGAAACAACCGGGTCATATGTATACTTGTAGTATCCACCTAAGTTCCAATTTATTCGTATATGAATCTGCCTGTAATTACCCAGTTAAAAATTACACGTGAAGTACATACAAATGAACACGAGTTAAGTACTGGGACAAAAATGAAACCTTCGTAACTCGATATACTGTCACGTCTCTTATTTTGACAGTTAATAAATTAAAATATTATTAACGTCAGCATAAGTGCATTTAATATTTTTTAATTATACATATACATTATGAGAAATTTATTTTAAAAGATAATTATTTTTTTACTAATTCATCTCGAATAACAAACTATGATATAGACAGCCGGTTATCTCGGATTTCCTGTGCATCATATATGCGTAATATGACACTTTATGTCCGTTGTATAATAATAATAATAATAATAATATATAATTATATATATATGTAGTTATAATTATTCATTTATTTATTCTAAAGTAATTTAAATTTTCTACAAACTATTATTACTCAGCCTTGTAAAAAAATTATTGTTAATTTAGAAAGATACTAAGAATTATTTTAAAAGCTCAGTTTTTTTTAATCAACACTTATTAGCATATTCATTGTAATTAATAGAACAATTATTTGCAATTTGTAGGAGTCATTGGCAAAAAGTTATAAAAAAAATTAATTTTTTTAATTACATTGAAGAAATCCTAACAAGTCTTTAAATAAAATAATATTAAATTAAAACTTTTGAATTGATAATTTTTTTATTCAAAAAATTATAAAGTTTATATCGAAGAAAATTTGGTTATAGTTTTTAAAAAAAAAAAAAAAAAATTTAATCTATTTTATTTTATTTAAATAAACAAACCCAACAGCCTAGACCATTAACAGGGTTAATAATACAGTAGTTAGTATACAAAAAATAATTTTTGATGGATAACAAGATGACTTATAGCTAGCATAGTAATTTCATATACAATAAATTCTAAATTACTGAGTGAAAGGACTAATGATGAGTTAGCTATCGCTACTCATGCATGATTATTAAAAAAAAAAAACTTAAAAATCATTAATTTAATATTAATAAGCAACTCCCGTAAATTTAATGAATATTCTGGTACACAATTTTATAATTAATTTTAATGATCATTTTTAATTAAAATAAAATAATTTAATGATATTTCGACAGGTATTATTAAAATAACATACACAATGTTATTTATGTAATTGCGTAAACGATACCGGTATTGAAGAATTTATGAAAATATATTCGACAAAAATGGAGTACAACGGGCGCGTATTAATCATTTTTAATTGTACATTAAAAAAGCGCCATTCGGCAGCCGAAATGGAAGTAGATTTCATTAACAGCTACATTTATTTTTAATAACAATAATAAATAAATAAAATGGATTTTTGAATAAAATATATAAAATTAATTATATCAAAAATAAAACAATGTTTATAAATTCATGTTTTAAACATCAATGTTTTAAATATCGATAGATAAAGTATGTTGAGTTTGAAAAGGATCGATTAGAAATTATAAACGCTATCGTCGTGACAAATAACCGCGTTATATCGTAAATGATTGGTATTTTTTGACTCAGCTCGAGAAACTGAGTCTGAAAATGGCGAAATTTTTTAAAAAATTGCGCTATGAGAACAAATACAATGATTAAATTTTTATGAAATTTACTAAAAAGTACGTAAATTTATAAAAAAATAACATACAGGGGTATACGCATAGAACCGACTGATACGAAAGGATGTGATGAGTAAAAATGGCCCATTGCACGCGCTGTAATTGAAACCGCTCGTCATCGACTAATGGATTGATCCGAACGTTATACGGGATATTCCTGATGATACCTGTATCTGTTTCACATTTGGATCCCTCTCGCTCTCGCTTCTCGTTCCGCGGAAATATTATCCACGTATGTATACTGATCACGGCAGTGTATATTCCATTAAGGTGGGGCAAATGATCCGATATTTTAAATAAAAATAATTAATATGCAGCTGAATATAAACACAAGTAAAAATGTAAATAATGAATAATATTTGTTTTTATTATGAATTATGAATTTGCTACAGGATTATGCTGCTAAGGCAATGAGCGAATTATTGGGCTGGTACGGATACGGCAAAGTAGACAGCAGATGCACACGTGGTCTTAATTTAGATCATTTCGCTTCAAGACCGCGGGGAATTTATCAATCGATATCCCGGCAATCACCGTTGGATAATCACAGACCGAGTAATTATACTGATGACAAAGGATCAAGTAGTTCTTCTATTAATTTACAAAAGAGATCATCACAGTCACCCCGGTCGCGAATGTCACGGTCGCCGGTTAATAAAACTTGTACTAATTCCAAAGATAATCAAGGAGCTAGCGCTGGAACAAGTCCCAAAATCGTTGAAAATAGTGACTCTGCTTCGGATACTCCTGGTAATTATTTATTTATTTATCATTTTTCATAATCACTAACAATAATGACCAATTATCAGCAATTTATGATTTAGTAACAATTTTCTTTTTAACATTTAAAATATTTAGCTCATTTGAATATATAATATTATAAACTTAAGATCGTTGCGTTAATTTTTATTTATTTGAAATTTTTTTTTTTAGTCAATCAAATTTTAAATCTTAAGATTTTTATTTTTTTCCATGTTTTTTCAGAGCTTTTTAATTTTTTTCTCTGATTTTAATAATTTAAATTATGTTTAAAATTTTTTTTAAATACTTTTAAACAAAATAAAAATATTTCAAGGATTTTTTAATTTTACCGCCACCGGGAATCGAACTCAGGACCGCTGATTATCATTTGTATTGTTTTCTTACAGTTTAACGAATAAAGTAAAAAGTTTTGTTATGGTATTTTCGAATGATCATCCTTAAAAATTTTAATTGTGCCACGCGAAGATCACTCTATCTAATTTCATTTCATCTAATTTAGTTTAATCAAACTTAAGCACTGAAAAAAAAAATTAACTTGATTCAAGAGAAAAATTCTTGAACCAAGAAAATAATTTTGAAGAGTTTTATTATCTTGAATCAAGATGTAAAATTCTTGAATTAAGTAAAATTTACTTAAACCAAGAAAAATTTCTTAGTTTAAGAATTTTTCTATATCAAGAAGATGAAATTCTTTAAAAATTATTCATTTGATTCAAGTAAATTTTTTTTTCTGTGAGGTATTATAATTTAATTCTAACTTTATATTGTGAAAAATCATTATAAGATACACTGAGAGAAAAAATTTATTTTGAAAAAATAGGCATTATTGTAATAAGAAATTATTTTGTTAAAAATCTTTAACAATTGGATTTTTTAGCTGAAGAAATTAAAATCTTTCTCACAGTAATTTTCTTGTTAAAAAAAAGTTTTTTTAATTTGAAAAAAAAAAAAAAAAAACGATTTTAGATAGACAAGTTGTGAATTTTAATTCAAAATTGTTTTTTCCCAAATCGAGAAAAATTTTTCTTAACAAGAAAGTTGCTATGAGAAAAACTTTTATTTCTTCAGTTAAGAAATAAAATTGTTGAAAATTTACAACAAATTGATTCCTTGTCACAAAAATATTCAATTTTATTTTTTCTCTATTATTTGCATATTTGCTGTTGATATAATAATAATAATAATAAATAAATAAATAAATTTGATCTATATAGTTCAATAAAATACTAAAAATTTAGCTTTAAAAATGAACGAACTTCTAAATAATAGCAATAATTATTGTAATCAAATTACATGAAAGTTGTTAGGCAAGTAGACATCAGTAGTCTAGTCTTAAGAAGCTAGTATGTTAGATAATAACACACCGCAAGGCAAGGGGCGTAAGCTCATCATCCTTGCTCTTCGTCAGTTAGGTGTTTATAACATCGTACACTACTAAAGTGTGAAACCTGGCAAGTGCTCAATTAATATCTTGCTTAACGAACGAGCTTTTGCATTAAATATCTAACTTTCAAGGACCACAACACACTACACTCTTTGTCCGCTATAACTATAGTTATATAGTTTATATTACTACATTACTTTAGGCAAACTTTGTATGTCAAGTAATAGGTGATTAATTACACTGTCTCGTATAACAACTTTATACTTTATCTCAATCCTTTTATTATTATACTTTAAACATGACCCTTATTTTAAATTTATAATTGTTTCATCACTGTTAAATTTATACCACCGCTCGATTATCTACGCGTTCAAGTTGCGGTAAAAATACAAATAAAAATTAGTTTAAATTAATTTCAGAAAATTTTTCTTTAATAAAATTAATTTAATTAAAAATAACATTCAATTACTTCATAAATATAATTTTTTTCGTCTCTATAATTAATTAAATAAATTACATTATCCTGAAGACTAACGAAAAATAATTTTTCCAAATGAATAATTCAATTAAAAATCAAAAAAATAAATAAACATACTTGCACTTAAATCCATGCATAAATATCATTATATATCAGAAATAGCATTCAGGTAATTTGATACCGTTTTCTGAGCTAAGAATTTAAATACCCAGGTTGGTTGTAATCTGAATATTTTTTATAACTTAAGATCTAAAAAATGAAACAATTTTTTTATTTAAACGTATACATTCCAGCGGTTAGATTACAATATTAGAATTATTTTAATAAAGTCAAGTTTAGTTTAAAAATCAAAGTAAATGTACTCTACTGTAAAAAATCTATTAGATACTAATATAACTGAAATATGTAATCGAAGAACGTGAGTACAAAAATTATTTTTAGAATTCCGTAACTGTTCTGGTACTGTCAGCATCAGTACACCAGACGTGTGTTATGTGTATTCTGAGTAGTAATTCAAAGAAGCAATGCTATGCTTGAAGAGCTTAGCCAGCGTAACAGTACCCGAAAACTTGTATATTTTCCTAAGCTTTTTAAATTATTATCATGTGTATCAATCCAAGTTAACTCCCGTTTACTTCTATTAATAATTGTATATTACATATGACTGATATTTTACATAAATTTTTTTAAAAATTATTAAGACAATTTGAGAATAGCAAAACTTTTGCGCTATAACACCTAAATGATCATAAAAAAATCCAAATCAAATTATGAAGTTAAATGACGTTTACGTTAGAGGCGTGCAATCACAAAAACAACTCTCTATAAAATTAAATTTATGAAAAAACATTAGTTGATAAGCTGAGAGAAATAAATTTCTTTTAAAAAAAATTAGCAATATTGTAACAAAAAAATCAATTTGTTAAAAATTAAAAAAATTTTTTTTTTTTTTTAGCTGAAGAAATGAAAATTTTTCTCACAGTAACTTGTTGTTGAAAAAAAGTTTTTTAGATTTTGGAAAAAACAATTTTGGATAAAAATTCGCAAGTTGTCTATCTAAAATTGTTTTTTTTCGAAAAATTAAAAAAATTTTGATTTTTCTTCAGCTAAGAAATCCAATTGTTGAAAATTTTTAACAAAATAATTTTTTGCTCCAACAATGCCTATTTTTTCAAGAAAAATTTTTTCTCTCAGATTAATTGTTACTTTTTCAAAATGTCCAAAGTATACCACTAGTAATTAGTTGTTATCAATTTTTTAAACTAATGAAAATGGTCATATTTTAAGTTAAAAAATTCTTCACTAATTAGAAAGTTAAATTCCACAAATCAAAAATTTATTTTTTGACTAATTTTGTTGTGAATTAAAATCTCTTGACTTTTTAAATTAGTAAAAAATAACTAAATATAAACTACCTAACTAAAGTTTAAGTAAATTTATTTTAAAATTACTAATTTTTATACAATTTCCAGGTTTACTATTTTAATAAGTAAAAATTTTACTGATTTAGTTCTAGAGAGAGTAATACCTACACTTGAAGTATTTTTGTCTTAATTAGACAAAGTTCAAAAATATTGTTTTTTTTTTTTTGCTGAAAATGAGATTTAAAAAAAATCAATTGCAGTTAGTATATACATTAGTTTATAGAATATGAGTGAGTATAATAATTAAATCAAATGAAATGTCGGGAATCGGAGCCAGAGTTGGTAAATTTGACTCCAGCTTTGTTTTCTATCAACTTATGCTGCAGGTACCGATATATACTGGTCCTATACACTATATATCTATATAACTATATATTGTGTACTGGATACGATAGACTGATGATAGAAGATAGATCAACAGAAGATAGAACAGAGCTGGCAGTGCTTGAAATTCTAGAAGCTCAGGTCTTTGGTGTACTGGAAAATGGTTCGGATAAGCAAAAGGAGTAAAGACGACAACGTATCGGTTCTACAGAACTCTCATCTGGTTAACGATGACTAGGAGGACACAGGAGACAAGAATACCTGTAATTATTTACAGAAGAGTATAGAATAATCATGTAACTGGATATCGTCGAGTGTAAAATTTGTTTTTGGTTTAAATTTGATTTTTGTTTTTAATTTTAATACTTTGAATAATATTAAATATCATTTATAAATGTATAAATATATATCGTTATTTCATAAGTGGAATCGTATTATTCACATGAAATGCGGTACTATTGAACTAACAAACTCAAAATATATGAGTGTATAACAGCTGAGAGAGAGGGCCGGGCATGGGTTCGTGTTGCGACGTGACTCGTTAAGTAATGCGATATGACGCGAAACAAGATCGCGCACGCACTTGAATTTCATCATGCCGAATCTTCCCCATATTCTATTATATGTATTTATATTTTAATGTAATGATTTGCTCGATTATTTTTTCATTTTATCAATTTATCATTGATTGATTATTGATTATTCATTGATGTTCCAGAACGCTCGACATCATGTTCGTGGTGTGGAAGGACTGGTGGCACCTGGGAACCAGTAAGTGCTTGTGAAGGCACCAGCAACCCCGGGTTGACCAATTCCAATAGGTTCTGTAGTGAGGCTTGCTTTGCTGCTGGTAGACGGGCAGCTTTTAAACGGGCGAGAACTTGCGATTGGTGCCGGCATGTTAGACATTCCGTTAGCTATGTGGATTTTCATGTGAGTACTCGATTATTGTTCTCAAAATAATCGAAGCTAATAATTAAACTTTTTTTTTTAAATATTATTGAATACTGTTGAAAAGTTGAAAATTTCCAATTTTTTTTCAATTGATAAAAATTTTTCAATTTTGATCTAAAAATTCAAAAAAAGAATTAAATAAATTATTATTATTGATAGTTCTTTGTTATAAAAATTACCGGTAATTATATATAAGTGTTCCATCTATTTTCAGTTATAAAAAATTCAAAACTTAAAAAAAAAAAAATGAAATTTCATGAAGACTTTTTGGTTCGAAAAATTTTAATTTTTGATTGAAAATTTGGTAATTATTTACAAGTTTTTGAATAAAAATTTCTATCATATCTTTTTTTGATATATTTTTTTTTGAAAAGTACCTAAAAAAACAAACAATTAAAAAAAAAAAAAGTTGAATATCACAATGTTTTTTTAAATTTGTTAAAATTGTGATAATTAACTTTTTTTTTTTAAATTGTTCGTTTTTTTATGTATTTTTCAAAGAAAGATATATCAATAAAATCAAATAAAAATTTCGTTCAAAAAAATACAAATTAAAATGGTTGACCCTAAATATTTACCGAAAATTTGAAGATTATGCATTACCTTTGAGAAAGAAGTAAAATCGTAATTATTCTATATTGTTCAATAGATTTTCCCAAAATTATGAAAAATTTACATAAAAACAAAGTTTTTTTTTAACTGCCGAAGAATAGAATATGATAAAAAAATTTCCACGTTTACATAATTACAAAATTTTCATATCAAAAGTAATGAATCAATATAAAAAAATGATAAATTTTAATCTTGCAGGATGGTGAAAGTCAACTCCAATTCTGCAGTGATAAGTGTTTAAACCAGTATAAAATGAATATATTCTGCCGCGAAACCCAGGCGCACTTGGCGTTGCACGGAATAACAAGCGTATCACCAACCAGCCCCAGTAGTGGTGGATTGATAACACCGGAACTGTGGCTGAGAGACTGCAGATCCGCTCCACCTAGTCCCGACGAGGAAGCACTGATCGTCGACGATGAGCCTAGCGACTGGCCGAGTTCCGACAAACCAGACGACGAATCTCGGGATCTATCCAAGAAGATTACCAATGACTGTTTGCAGTCTGACAATAGCATAAATAATAACATTAACATTAGTAATGATAATAATAGTAATAGTAAACAAAATGTACAGTACCTCGACGACGATGAGGATGAAAACGTTGAAGAAGCTATTAAAGAGTCACTGAAAGAGGAGGAGAATCGTAGATCACAGGAACGTATCACTGCGTCATCTAAATCATTATCAAGTACAGAGTCATCTCACGTTTCAATTACGCCGGGTAGTTTATTGAATATCAACAACAGCGCAGCGATAAAAGCCTGCAGAAGGTCAACGAGTTCCTCGCCTGAAAGTTGTAAAGAATCGCCGCCCACGAACTGCTCGCGCGAGGGAACTATTTTCATAAAAGACGTAAGAAAATTGTTGGTAAGAGATACGGTTAAACGTCATAGCCAGCCGAGCTATCGATCACGCAGGGTCTCCGGGAAATCTATGTGGCTTCCAAAAGCTCATCATCACAATTATACTCACTATCCGATGACATTTCCAGAGAAAGGTTTCCCCAATCCTCCCTCCCATCCAATACCTCTTCAATTTATCAGGAGAAATTACCCAGACAATTCTTCACCGCCTCCGCAAGTTGGATCTCCTCCGTCTCCATTGCATACGGGAGCTTCCAAGGTTTTAAATAATCCCGCGGGACTGTTACCGCCGGTGACTGTTCTAGTTCCTTATCCGATACCCATACCGATACCTCTGCCAATTCCAATCCCCATTCCGCTATTTGCTAAATTCTTCAACTCAACAAACTCTGAGACAAAAAAATCTGAAAAAACAAATCCGTGTAGTAATGGTGAAACAACAGTTCCTCAAGACCTTTCACGACGAAGCCAGCCGATGCAGGCCAAAAGTCCGTGTTTAGCAAATTCGTCGAGTGAAAAGCTTATTAATCTGTCGGATTCATCTACCTCGTCATCGCCGGTGTTGTCCATGACTTCCACGGGTGGGAACTTTTTCGCAGTCGGAAATAAAACGCAGGCGAGAAATAACAGTCCCAGGCCTCTGAGAAAACGGAGACGTCTTACATCTGGGTCTGATCAGGACATCAGACTCAAACGACGAAATAAATTTGTACACGTTTAAATAATTAATTGTTATTTATAGACTTATTTTTTTTTAATGTTACTCGTGCTGTTTTCAATTTAAGCACAAGTTGTTTGTTTTTTTTATTTTTATCTAGTGCTTGGAAATAAATATACGTGATGCTCTGTAAAAATTAGTTATGTTTAATAATTTTATGTTCAACTATTGTAGATGTTTTGATGTGAAAAAGAATAATTTTAATTATAAATAATTAATCAGTAAAAACTAGTAATTATTTTTAAATTATTATACCGTTTTCATTATTTTTTAGTCACCTGTATTGAAATAATATTTTTGACGAAAAAAAAAATTAATAAGTATCCATTGTATTTTTGGTAAGTTGAAAGAAAATATTTTATTAGCAAAGAATTACTTACATCGTTCATGTGCCAGGTACTTGATTAAATAATAAATTATCAAGAATGTCCGGTTTTTTTTTTTTTTTTTTTTTACAAACTAATCTCGAACGATTAGGCTGAGTTTAAATAAATATTTATACGAAACATTGTTAACACAAATCATTTAATTGATTTAGTGTTAAATAATTTTATAAAACGCAAGTTGAGACTGATTGTAGATTTTAGTCGACAGTTTTATTGATTATAGAGATCCCAGAGTGAGACTGTACCGTCTTTGCCAGCTGCAGCCATTAGATTCTTATTGTTAAACGCTTGGACTTTTTCCTTTGAATAAATAATATCAAAAATATTAGATCTATGTTGATTAAGGACAGCAAGGGGCCGAAGCGTTTTCCACGAAAATATGCGGACTCGTCCGTCCCAACCGCCAGCAGCAAAAACTTTCGAGTCTGGTCGAGATGCAATTACAGATGTCCCGCTATTTTTAAGAGTTATCGATGTCTTGTGGACCAGCTGGTTGCTTTTGTTCAGATCAAAAACCTGTCGATTTAAAAATTATTTTTAGTTAACATTGATAATTATAAAAAAATAATAACTATTACCTCTAATTTGTCTGTTGGGTTACCGATAATACCTCGCATCCAATAGTTATCAAAATTAATAGTCATCGGGCAAGAGTCGGTATTCAACCAACTGACAACTACGCGGTCTTTGATGTTCCACGCTGCAATGTCACCACTTTCGTACGCAATAAGTATAATATTATTTTCAAGTGAGCAATTTTTAATCGCCATAACTTCACCAAGAGGTTTGGGCACTTTAGATACCATTGGATCCAATTTATAAACAAATTCTTGAGTAGTCAAAGATAAGGCTCCGACCTGCGAGTTTGGTAGTGGAAGAAGAATTATATCATCAGTCAAAATCTGGTATCTGAAAAATATTTTATAATTTATTATAAATCAACTTTTGCTTCATAATACATTTATATTCATGATACTAAAATTAATAAACATAAATTAATATAATCAAAAAATTTTTATAAAAAAATTCCACATCTAAAAATAGAAAAAAAAATTCAAGTGCAAATTTGTAAAAAATATTTTTTTCTATATTTGACATAATAATAAAAATGAAAAAAAAAAAATTTTAAATGTCTGTTGACTTCAGTATCATTTATACTTATGATTAAAAGCATGTAATAATCAATTAAAAATTGAAGAAATTATCATATTATTCTATTTTTCAACTGTTAAGTTATTAGTCTCAATATTTTTCAAATAATAAAGCTCTCCAAGCGTCACATAAAAAACTGTTGACTTTTTAGTAAATTTTATTTATTTAACAAGAAGTCAAAAATTAATAATTGTCAACTTAAATTCAACAAAATATTACCAAAAAAAATTTTTTTACCGCTTGGGTCAGATCTTAAAATTACTTTAACAAAAAAATGTTTTTACTTATGACAAATATTCAAAGAGAATGTAAGTATTTTCAAATTCAAAATTTGAAAAGCACCATTCGGCCATACCCGAAATAGAATGGTAGATTTCTTAAATGAATATGAAAAAAATTTTTTTTCAAAAACTTTCAAAATCACTAAATATATATTTAAATATCATCAAATGTAGAAGAATAATAATAGTTTAAATAAAAAAAAAAAAAAATTGTGTAAGCTTCAAGATCAATTAAATAGGTTTAAACTATTTTTCACGACTGAAAAATCATTGGTTTAAGGATTCAAGATTTAGGAACAAAAAATACAATTATAGATAAATTTTCAACAATATTCCAAGTCACAAAACTAATTGAAAAAATTATTGAAAGTTAACTTTGAAGTTCGGTATAACTCAATTAACTAAAACATAGAACAAAATTTTCTTTAAATTGTGCTATAAGACCGGCTACAATAATTAGATTTCTAAAAAAATCTATCTAAAAAGAAAAAAATCTGAGAAAGTTCCCGGGCTTTTTTTTTAAACAGTGAGAACTTAGTTAATAAAAATTACGTAAATAAATACCTAGAAAATCCGCAGTAATCGGTATCAATAGTCTTATCAAGTATCCAATTAGATCCATCAGCATTCCAAATGTCAACACAACCGTCTTTTCTTTGAATAATCAAATACTCATCATCCAGTGTATGTAAAGCTAGACACTGTTTTTTAATAGCATTCAATTTACAAATTTCTCGATGTCTCTGAAAAAATAATTTTGCTATCAGTAATAGTTTAAAAATTGTAATTTTAATTATCTGCTTATAATTATAAATAATACTGAAATTAACAGACATCTAACATTTTATTATATTTATGTATTAATTTAAACTATTAATGAAGAAATTTAAAAAAAAATTACAAGAGGAAATTTTATAAAATATTCTTTTTATCATAATTGATTTATTAAAAAAATTTTTTTTAAAAAGCTAACAGATGTCAGCTGATTTCAGTATCATTAATAACAATAGTAATTGTACTGAAGAAATGAATAAATAAATTACTTGAAGATCCCAAATATGAATATTTCCACTTTCAGCACCAGCGTAGAGGTGCTCAACGTAGGGAGAAATTCTAAAATCAAGACAGTGAACAGGACCCATGTCCCCACGTAAAACGTAAATTGGATCAGGTGGTAGTATTGCCATTTTACAATGCCTTATTTATTGTTATTAAAAACAATAAACAATTGGTGTCGGTAAAAATGATGACGTTTAAAATTTTTGTAATTGCAATCACGGAGTAAAGACACTGTTGTGTTGTATTGTAAATTTAAATTTTATCGATAAATTTAATAGAAGACGGGAGGCACACAGCTACGACGTATCGAAAACAATCAGACTAGTTTATTATAGAATGAATTGATGATGTTTAAATCACAGGCTGCACCTCAGTGATAATTGTGATAATTATCGAAAACCACCGACAAATCAGTTGAGACCGTTTACAAATAAAAACGGTTGTTTGTTTCAATTTCACATATTGTCTAAATAATTAATTGTTCAGACGCGCCGATGAACCTCCCGTCTTCCTTACTTTCGGCTTTCGGCCACCAACTACAACGCAAAAATGGATTTGTGTTCTCATTTCTTATTTTCAACATCTCAAAGGGTCGTTCAACCATGGAGGGAGAACCGCTGCGCACACGTCTAGAGGCTTTTGGGTTGTAAATTGACAGATAAATTCTCTAGTAAAAAAACTCTAGACACAAAAAGCGCGAAAATTCAAATTTCATAAATATTATTTTTTTATCATTTCACTATAAAGCTCATATTTTATTCTAAATAAAGTACATTATTTAGTTAATTACCATAAATTTTTATGTCAATAAAGTTAGCTGACATTTAAAAATTAAAAAAATTTTTTTTTAAATTTCATTTGTAAAAAATTTGAAAAACTGTAAGTGCAACTAAAAAAAATTTTTTAGTTCGAATTTAATAAAAATTAAACAAAATCAAAAAATAAAAAATGTCGGCTAACTTTATTATTATTAAATTTTTCATATGTCCCAAACGACACAAAAATTATTTTTGTTTATATTTGCTAATTTCAGTATCATAATTTTACAAAGTTAAAATAGTTGTTAATAATGATTTCTCAAAATCATAAAAATAAAATTTTATGCCATTAAAGTTAACAGTCACTTGACAATTGTTTTATTTTATTTAACAAATAAATTTGTTCTGAAAAAATTATTTAAAAAAAAAAAATGAAAATTCAGTTAGCCGACATTTAAAAATTTTTTAATTTTTTTTTATTGAAAAAATGGCTACAAAAAAAAAAGAAAAAAAATTTTCACTGGTAAAAAACTTTAAAAACTGTAAGTGCAATTATTTATAAATATTATTTTGTTCTAATTTAATTATAAAAAAAAAAAATCAAACCATTTAAAATGTCGGCTAACATTAGTATCATTTAAAAAAATTGGATTTTTAATTTTTTAAAATTTCTGTATGTTAATTTTTTTCTCTAATTTATTTTTCAGTAATTTATTTCTTTAAAAAATTCTAAAAATTATCAAATATCTGCTACTGTAATTTTAATTAAAATTTTCATTTTTTAGAGCCATATAAATTACAAGTAATAACTTTATTAAAAATAATTATAATTTGTATTGTCTAAAAATTAAATTTCTCAAAATTTTCTAACTTGACATAATTTATATTTAAAACTTCAAAAAAATCGACTATCGATTATTTATTTCGATTGTAAATATAAAATTTAAGAGAAAATAAAATTTCATGAACACAAGACTTAAAAGAAAAGATAAGTAAAATTTCTTCATTTCCAACCCAGTCTTGATGTATATATTTTCTCATTGAACCCGCACATATAATACCCCTTACTCATCAATCTAAATACATGTATATATATTTAGTACCTGCATACATTTATATATACCACAAAATCAACGTTGAGTACTGAGTGTAACCTCAAGTTTTAATTTTTTACACAAGCTAGTTATTAAATTTTTCTAGTACTAAATAAATAGTCTATAAACTCCCAACAAAAAAGGCTCTCAACAACAACAATCAACCAAATAACGCTATCAAAAAAAAAAAAAAAAAAAAAAAAAAAAATAATGAGATGCGTAATTGTAATGCAAGTAAGATGAATTAGTAATGCTTCCATCGACTGGTTATTTTAAATCGATTACTTGTCCATTTTATGACAACGGTTCTTGTGATAGACCCTATTGTCACTTTAAGCACCTACGTCGAGGTAATATCAACTATTGCTACTATATTAATAACCAACAAAAAAACTAAATAAAATCCACCCGACTAATCATTTTATTTTACGTCAGAAGATGCCTCATCGATATCAGCATCAGTGGTATCCAGCGTGTCTGTGGATTCACAGTCAGAGAGGAATCAAAAAAGAGGAGCCGCCACCAGCACCACCACCACTGCCACAATAAACTCTAGCACAACCGCTTTACAATTAAGTAGCGCTATTTCCGCAACTGATTCTCAGACAATCCAGCAGCTTGTTACTGAAGCGGTCACTAAAGTTCTAGCAGACCAGAATGTCACCAACAAGGAGCAAGTATCAGAGACAATAGTATCAAAAGTAGTGGAGGGTCTCAAGCCGTCTTTGACGGTAGGAAAACACGTTGGCGTACCGCAGCTGATATCAAAACCGCCGTGTGTTTACAATCCTACTCCGATAGCCGAATTGAAGAAACGTCATATAGCAGTGCCGGTTTATATGCCCACCAGGGAAAGTAAAGTCGCTGTTAAAAGAAAAACCTCCGACGATGGAGTTAAACCTTGGCTAAGTTGTCTACCTGATTCTATAAAAACAAAACCCTCTGAAATAACATACAAACCTACGGCTATTAATACAATAAATGCAATTAATGATAGTAATAAAAATAAATCTTCTGACAATTGTTATGTACCGACAGCTAAAGGCGATTCCTCGACGATTAACTATGAAGATCGTTCCAGTGAGTACATTGTCAGCAGTTCTAAGAGTAAAAAAGAAGCTTACTGTCCGAAGCCGAAGAAACGGAGGGAAGAATATGTCCCCAAGATGGTTAAAGCTCCTCTTAAATCATTGGAACAGCTCGATGATTGCGCGATGGATGACTTCGAGCCGGAATTTAGTATGCTGGATGAGATATTGGTGTCTTCTAGCACCAACGCTCATCAACTAGACTATAATCCTATGAAAAGTTACTATACGGTCGAGCCTAAGTTTTCAGATGACGAAAATGAGGATCTTGGTACGGGTGATGCTGCTAGTGCTAGAGTAGTAGATATTTCAACCAAAGAAGTACAAAAATCATCGAATAAGACTATTTGTAAAGATAAAATAGTTGTTATTGAAAATAATGTAAAAGATAAATTGGACGAGTTAAATAGTAAAGATGATGATAATAATGGAGAATCACGTAAAGATTGTGATGGAAAAAAAATTATTAATAAAAAAGATGATGAAAGAAGCAAAGAGCGTAGTAGTCATAGTAAAAGTAGCAGTAGAAGTAAGAGTAATAGTAGTAGTAGTAGTAGTAGTAAAACTAGTAGTAGTAAGAGTAGTAAGGACAGAAATGATAAGAAAGATGATAAAAAAAGTTCGAGTTCGAGTGACCGGCATAGATCCTCGAGTAAGCGCAGTGACAAATCCAAGGACAGTAAGGAGAAGAGTTCTTCCAGGAGCAAAGATAAGTCAAGATCGCATCGAGATTGTGATCGTGAGAAGAGTTCGAGTTCCAAGGAGAATGACAGGCATCACAAGTCTAGTAGACATAAACACGAGTCTTCCAAGTCTGGAGATAAAAAGTCCAGTAAAAGCAATAGTAAAAATAATGACGCGGATAATCACAAAAAAAAAAATGAAGCTGATAAAAAAATGGACATTGACTCTTATAATGATGTTAATACGGGTGAATTTGAACATGCTGGTTTTATTAATGAAGATGAGTTGATGGAAACAAGCGACTCTGATCATGACGTCGAAGAGGAATGTCTTAAAATTTTTCAGGTAATTTTTATTTTATTTATTGATATTTTTTATTTTTGTTATTAAAAATGTGATTTATTATTTTTAGGAGTATCAGGAAAGTGATCATCCCAAAGGAGTCACAAGTAAAAGTGATCCTAAACCAGATATTGAAGTCGAAGCTGAGGATGTCGGAAAAAAACGTGTCGCTCATGCTCTGGCTGCAAGTACCGTTGCCCGAAGTCACCTACCAAGCCAACCATTAAAACGATTGCCCAATCCTCAGCAACGAATGTATGAGCGCTGGAAACTGACCCGTGAAGCTACGACTGATAAAACTAAACCTCCGGTTACGGGTGACAAGGACGTCTTCAGTTCTGTGGTAGAAAAGCCACATGTTAATGGCACTGGTAAGATGTTTGTTTAATAAATTCTTGTTGTTATTTAAGTATCGGGTATTGATTATTAATAATAATAATTATGTTAATAATAACTTACAGGTCGTGTAAGAATAGCGCCAGTACCTTACGCAAAATCTTTGGAGCAAGCTAAGAAAAAAGTGCTAGAATCTGTAGCTAAAGTACCTGTGGAACCTAAAACAGTAGCTCAGACTCGCAAAGGCACCCGTGTCGCTCATATTCCACAGACAGTAAGTATTACTACACAATAAATATATAAATATAAATTTATTACAAAATTTAATAGCTGTAATGAAATTTTTTTAATATTGTTTTTAATTGAATTATTTAAATCAGCATAAAATATTATTTCATAACTAAACATTGAAAACATTTTTAAATTTCTAGGTGCCTCAACTGATTCGTTCAGAGCCGCTGCAAGTGACGACCCAGAAATTTCCCCTTAATATTCGTCAGTATTACGTGAATCTTATGCATGATATTTGTATACAAATATATACGAGTGGTGAGGACGCAGCACAACGTGCATTACGTGAGGAGCTGAACTGTCACAATCGTTGTAAAGCCTTAACGGTTTACAAAAGTTCTTGTATGGTAGCTGCGCACAGGTTGAGAAAGGAAGTAGAACAAAATACGTGTGCTGGCGACGATGATTCGATGCCATCGGGCAGTGGAACTGTTTCTCATGATGCCGTACTTGCTGGTAAAAGTAAAGGGTCGTGGAGTGTTGTTAAATCCAAAAAAGTAATTACTGATTTTAAGGGATCTGCGCTTTATAATGTCCTTAAAAAGTGGATTATGAATGAGCAACAGCTTAGAGACAATGGCTTTCCACGACCTCATCCTGATAAGATTAAGGTAATTCTAAAGTTCATTTATTTTATTAATAAAATAATAATAATTCACAGTTTGATGGAAATATTTATTCGATGTTTATTTAAATTTTCACAACGTTGAAAAATCATGTTAAATGAATCAAGGCAGGCTAACAACCTGAACTTATTCTCATAATATCAAAAATTAATTTATTTATGTTATTTTATTAGTATCAATTTAAATTATAATTTTTTAGGGAAGAGCTAAAATTTATACAATAAATACACGCAATCAATCGATTGTATCTAAAGTGCCTAATGAAAGATATTGCAGTCGCTGCAATAAGCCTTATATGGTAGACAAATTTGGATTTGCAGTACAAAAACAAAATTGTATTTACCATTGGGGACGTAAGTTTACCATCCGCGGTGAGGGGAAATACAGTTGTTGTCAACAATATGGTTCGGCGACTGGTTGTGCTGATGCTCAAAACCACGTCTGGGATAAAGTTGACTATGAAAATTTACGCGGTTACGTTCAAACTTTACCCAGAGGTAAAAATTTAATATTTTTATTAAAATATTTTTTATGTTTATGTGAATAATTTTTAAATATTTTTCTTTAGATATTTCAGATGAAAATCAGGGAGTTTATGCACTCGATTGTGAAATGTGTTACACGACACAAGGTCTAGAGTTGACTCGGGTAACCGTTATTAACGATGACTGTAAAACTATATACGAAACACTGGTTAAGCCTGATAATCGTATCATTGATTATAATACAAGGTAATTTTATCAAGTTATTAAATTTTATTGTGTGTTAAAAATTAGTGATGATTTTTATTTTTAAAGTTATTACTTTGTTTGTTTAGATTCTCTGGAATAACGGAAGAAAATATGATAGGAGTAACTACAACAATTCTTGACGTACAAGCTACGTTACTATCAATGTTTTCCGAGAAAACAATACTGATAGGCCACAGTTTAGAGAGTGATTTTAAAGCTCTTAAACTTATTCACAATACTGTTGTAGATACTAGTGTCGTATTTCCACACAAAAATGGTTATCCTCAGAAACGTGCTCTGAAGAACTTATGCTCTGAGTATCTTCGTAAAATAATCCAAAATGACGGTAAGTTATTGAGTGAAAAAAAAGATGCATTATTTCGACGGTCTAATTAGCAATTGGTCTAACTCCTTATTTTTTAGAGAGTGATTTTTTAATATTTTGATGTAGTGATAGTTTAATTATAAATTATTTAAACGATCCTAACAAAAATATTATACCTCTATTAAATATTAAATATAGAATAAATTTTGAACTAATTATATTTTCGTACAAATGAAAAATTTTTTAAAATGGAGTTAGACAATTTGCTTATTAGAACGTCGATATATCATTTTTAATCAAGATCAAACTTGATAGTTATTTAATTATTTATTATCACCCTTTTACAGTCGGAGGTCATGACTCCAGTGAAGACGCGATAGCTTGTATGGAACTCATGCAATGGAAAGTTAAAGAAGACGCTAAGTTACTCTAAAAATAAAAAAGTTTACAAGTAAATAAAAATAAAAAGAAAATGGACAAGTGAAAATAAATAATTGAATTTAAAATAAATAACAAAAGATAATATCGTGGATTTGATAAATAAGAGTTTATGTATAATGTATTATTTAAACTGCCGCACGTATTATAATTACCTGTATAAATATGTAATATACGCATTGAATCATCATTCATCTCGTGAACGAAACCGACATAACAACAAAAATAGACTATTTACGGGATAGACAGCACGTAATATTTAAATTTTATATTATGTAAGTTTTAATATAATCATTATTATTACTTTTAATAATACGATTTTTTTTTTTATTAATTTATCAGTGTTAATACACAATATTTATCAAGTAAATTAATTCGAAAGGTTGATATAATTATTAATTGATATTAATAACCATAACTCCTCTGATAATTCAATTAATATTTTTGTACTTCGTTGCTTATTTATATTCTAAAAATTATTAAAATTACCTCATAAGTTAATACGATGCATTGATTAACTCCTATCCATTTATTTATTTATATTTAAATTAACTTGCTATCATTCATACAATTAATAAAAGTAATTAAATGGTGAAATAATATTTTTTTTTTTTATTTACTTTGTTTTTGTACAATTTCACAATTTTTTATTTAAATTACACTTATCAAAATTAAAGTTTGATTTTTATATTTATATATATATGGTTTTTTTTTTTTTTTTTTATAGAAATAAATTTCTTTGGGTTTTGTAATTCTTTGGATTTGTGTTCAAATTGAGTACCCGGTTATTTTAAAATCTAAAATTAATAATTCTCATGTAAATTGAAATGTTAATTAATACAGTTATTGAATAATACTGCAATTATGTTTAAAAAAAATATTTTAAATATCTAACCGGGAAAACTCGTGTATAAATATGTATATAGTTTATATATTCACTTATGATGACTTCCGTATTGTCAAGGACTAAATATTAGTCCTTAAATAAAAATTGACTTATATATCATTGAATATTTATAATATGTACATTGCATTTATAACAATTTTATTAATTAACTTAACAAATTAATCAATTAATAACAATATTTAATTAAAAACTTTAAAATATTATTTATACAATTTATCATTTCGAACTCGTTTTGTTTTCTGATTCCGAGATTCGTTTTTTAATTAAAAAAAAAATAATATTTATAATAAATTTTACTTGCATAATTAAAAGCAATTAAATGTTAATAATTTTCTTAATATTAAATAGCCTGAGTAACTGCATTTGATAACGATATAAATCCAATTCCACATTTACAATTTTTTGATATCAATTTAAGCTAATTAATTGTCTAAATTTCATAATTATTTTCATTTAAATTCCATTAACAATTGTCTAGTGAAATTTTTCTAATTTTCATTTAAAATTTACCTAGAAGCATTTCAATAATTTCCGTACTTTAATTATTTATTAATTTATTAGTAATTAATTCTAGTTAACATTCATTCTAAAAAAACATACAATCTATGCTTTTAAATTAACGGAAGGCCTTTTCATTATTTATTTTTATTATTCAAGTTCTTTTATTTATGAAGGCATACTTTTATTGTATCAACTTCGAATTAATGTACTTTTTTAGTGTTAGCATCAGATTAAAGGTTGTTTTTTTTTAATGTTTGTTGTTATTAATCATTTTAATGACATCATTTTTATGTTTATCTATTAATATTATTATTATCATTCTAAGAGTTTATTTGCAAATTTTTATTTTTAATAAAAGCCGAACTAAAATTCACATAGCAGAAATTTGACTCCAAAAATTTAATTCCAAATATTAAAAATATTTTTAAGAATTTAATGTGCGTATTTTCAAAAATTTCCAGATAAAAATTACCACAATATTGTAATTATTAAAAAAAATTTGCAAATAGACTCTTAAAAAAAAAAAAGTCAGTCATCAAAAGAATTAATATCAGATCATTAATATCAAAAATATAAAAAATAAAAATCTTTAATCTACTTCTCTATCAAAACATTTCGGAAGGCCATTGCGTCTTACTTTTATCTTTAATAATTCATCATCAAGCATGGAAGATCTTCCTTGATAACAAAATACTCATACATAAAAAAACTAACTGTTAATAAAAAATATCTATTGTCTGAACCAGCGCGTTAATTAAAAAATAAAAAAAATCGAATCATTCATTCATTAAATCTTTTATAATTGACTGAATATTTTGATTTAAAAAAATAAATATTGAAAGATGTTGAGGCTCTAAATGGCACCGTCGTAGTCTTGATCTCCAACGAGATACAAAAATTGAAAAGCTATAGCTAGTAAGCTGATACCTAGAAGATCTCCCATGGCCGTCAGATAAGGAATCGCTGAGTTGTCTGGATCTATTTTCCGCTTCCACATCCAGTGGATCATGATATACGCGATGTAGAGCAACGCCGCGACTTGTAGCATCGCCGCGCAGAGGTAAACAAATACAAAGAGTGGTGTCAGTGCAGTATCACCGTCTTTCATGTATTTAATCATGTAAATAAATATAATATGACCGGGAATGACCATCGCCATCAACACCCGTGTCGTTCTTGAGTGATGTCCTTTGCCAAAAAAATTAGCAATTGGCGTTATGAATATCACTGGATGAGTGTGTCCAGGTGGTATCAATAGCGTGCCAAGATCAGCTTGCTTGTGCAAAGCTGTCGATATTCTCGAGGCCTGGACCGCAACCAGATTACCACCTACACCATTGATCACCGGCTGAAACACAGTCAGTGTCTCGAATCTTGATACCATAAAATCTAGGATCAAGCCTCCGCAACTGCTGATCAGCATTGCCACCATCACCGGGGTCCACCCGGAGTACAGCACGTCGTTGGTGTATTTATTCCGCTTAGCTATCCACACCCAGAGCGGCGTTACCAGGATGTAGCAGGCGATTATCAGAGGCGCTAACCAGTCCTGCTTACCGATAGCCTCGTACAGAATCGTGGAAATCCAGGATAGCAGTGCTAACGACGTTATGTCGCCTAGACTGGCTGCTATCGGCGTGGCTACGTTGTCAGGATTTATGTTGCAGTGACGAGAGAAGACAATTACTCCAGCTGTTATTAATCCGAGGACAAATGATGCCAGGGATGCGGTCACTAAACTGCTCGCACATAAAAGATACACGTGGTCTAATGATACTGTTCCATTCTTCACTGCTCCCATTAGAATTGCTACGACTGATCCCAGAAAACCGACTACGATTGCTTGACACTGAAAAGTATAATTGTTATGTTGATTAATCAGTTTTTATGTAGGTGAATAAATTATTGTTATGAATTAATTATTTAAGAAAATAAGAAAATTGGTTATTCAATCATCATGCAATGTTTTTACATCATTTATGGAAAGAAACTGTCAACATGCATAAGTTAATTTATTTTTATCATTAAAAGTTTACAATATCTAATTATTTTTTAGAAATTTTTTAAAAAAATTTTTAGAAGTTTTTTATTTTGAAGTTGAATTTTTTTAGAAATTGGCCTGTTGCAGAGGTACTCATGTTGGAATTTACAGTAAATTTTGAAATATGTTTTGTTTTGAGTTATGCCGAAAAAATAACAGCTCAAGAATTTATATAGGTATGCATTTAGCAACAAATTTGAATAAACTTCACAAATTTATTATATAAACTTCTAGGTCAAGTTCAAAAATGGACCAAATTGGTCAATTAGTTAAAAAATTATTTTTTTTTATTTTTATTTTTATAAAAATCAAAATTTTGCAAATTTTTTCCAAATGACTCTGATAAAACTATTAATGATAACTGAATTTCATCAATTTTATCTTAAATTTCATAAAATTGGCTTCAATTTACATGATTTTAATTTCATATCAAATCATTTTTTCTATTTTTCCTACAGCTTACAAAATAAGCTAGAATTTTAACTAATAAATGCATAATTTTATGAATTTTATAATTGCTCTGAAGGTAGTATCAAAAATTTTTTTCAATTTTAACTTTTACTATATGCAAAAATTAAAAATCTACCATTTCATATCAAGTGTGGCCGAATGGTGTTTTTTAAATTAGTAAAAGTTCATTGAATATCTTTATAAGTCTTTAACAAATTTCATATCCTAAAGTTCATTTTAAAAATAGAGTTAGACTTCATTCCAAAACTTTGTAGTTTTCATTTATTATTTAAACCATCAATGCATTAAAAACTTTTATAAAATTCAAGAAATGTCAGGCATTTTCTATTTTTAGTAAGTCAGAAACTGCTATAAACTGTAATTATTGATTTATGATTAAGTATTTTTTTAACTTTCATTCATGAATAAGTTCTATTTTTACTCTAACAAAAAAAAATGCGATAAATGAAGTTAAAAGATATTTTATAATTTTTTTAACGTATAAATTTTAACAACAAAAAAATTCTACATGTAGAAATTATAATAAACTAAAAAATTTCAATTTTTTCAAATAATTTTCAAACTTAACTTTTAAATTGTCTCAAAAAATTTTTTAAATTAATATAAAAAGCGTCTGTGATAAAAAAAAAAAACTTTTAATAACTAATATCAATGCAAATTAACAATTATTTACTTTGGTACCTATGAAATAATTATATTGAATTTATAATTTCAGCACAATCAGTTTTTTTCTTTATATATAATTCCATATTCATGAAGCCGTAAAAGCGCGTGAAAGAGTTAATTGACTTGGCTTCTTTGACAACATTTGGATCATAACAAAGATTTATATTCAAAACAATTAAATTAAAAAAAAAAAAAAAAGATTTATTTATTTTGCTATGCAAATAACACGCTTGTCAGTCTAACGTTAATACTGATAGATTTTACGACTTTTTATATAATTTACTATCCAAAAAGTAATTAAATGAATATATATTTTAAAGATTATTTATTGTGAAATATATAATTAAAGAGGAAATTAAAAAAATTATCAGATGTATGTTAACTTTAGTATTACTAATTTTTACGTAATTTGAAAATATACACGGTAGTATAATGTTAACTGGTAGGATTTTAAAGATTGATTGTCTAGAATTTAACAAGATTGTCTTCTAAAAAATATTATTTAATTTAAAAAAAAAAAAAAAAAAACAAAAAAAAGTTGGTAAATATACATAAATGTCATATAGGCCATGAATACATAGTAAAACAGCGGCGCCGGTGATAAGGATATTTTTAGAATGATTACGGAAATTTACATAAACGTGAATTTTTATTAACAAGCTAAGTAGAAAAATTAACAAATAAAATTAAATTGCTTCAAAATTACCTGAATTAAGACTAAGTTCCCGACTATCATGTACCACTGCTGCTTAGGCGCGTCCATGTGACCAAGATTGGCTTGAGTTGAAAGTCGTGATGCGAGAGTCATCTCCAAATTTCCTTTAAGCCCCAGCAGCGCAGGTACCAGGATCATGAGTTCGTTTACTTTTTCAAACACTATCCAATGCTAAAATTTTATTTTACAAATTAATTATTTTTACAGGTAAATTAATTGTGAAATATATAATAAAAATATTTATTGGCATTCACCTGAACAAGGTCAAGAACAAGACCAGCTCCGACCATACCAAGACCCGCGACAAGGAAAGGAATAAAAACTTGAATTGTAATGGCAAGATAAGACTCAAGTTGTTCTTCACCGCTATCATCACGAAATCTGCTTTCAGCGACGACGTCCGGCAAACGTCCACCTTCCGTGGCTTCGTCCAAGATTGTTATTTCATGACATTCATCAGCTGATTCTGTCAAGGGTATTGATACCGCGGTCGCGTTTGTCTCCGAAACTGTACGGGATCTTCCACCGGTGGGCGTCATCCTGTATGAATTTCTTTTACTTGATGGCAAGAGTGGCTCTTTACATGGTCCACTGTTGAAAAAAATTTATGATTAGAAAATAAAAATTGCAGAGTATCATTTTTTATTAAATTTTAATCATTAAAAAAAAAAAAACAATGAATTTTTTTAGAAAAACAAAAATATCCATTTAATTCTTATGGAAATCAAATGAATTAATGTTTAATTATTCATTAAAAAAATATTTTATCTTAATAGATTTATTGTTTAAAAATTAAATTTATTATTTTTAATTAAAAAAAAAAATTGCATAGTTTTAAAAAGATTGAAATTTATTAAAAAAATTTCAACTTATTTTTTTTTTTTTTTATATTTTGCAATTATTTTAAAAAAGTTCAAGAAATTTCATGAAAAAATTTTTCTCATGATTAAAAACTTTTCACAAAAAATGACCACTAATATTTCACTCTTAAGTCTATAAAACAGAAAAAAAAACTCTATACTCTTCAACATCGAATTTAACAGAGTTATAAATAACAGGCTGCACAGGTTGCTTATCAAAATATTGCCGTGTTAATTGTTGATCTTCCTGACTCGACTCAAACATTTTACAAACAGAGAGCTCCCGATTCACGCATCTCAATTATATAGCAATTGAGAATTCTTGAGAAGTTGATAAGATACTCGATGACAATAACGATACAATTCGTAAGCCGTCATTATACATTTAACATTTATATATTTGATAATAATATTAAATACAAACGTTACATAATTATTTCTACTATATTTTACGTTTTTCTCGCATCAGTAAAACTTTTGCGGAAATAACATTAATTACTCTAATAAAACGTATTTGTCTAGTGTAAACGTTAACATTAATTAATGTCATATTAGTAATTACAAGTCAGTTAAATTAGATGAGAATTAGAATTAGAAAAATAGCAAAATATAAAAATCAATGGAACGCTAAATGTTGATGTTGATAAATGTCAAGGTACAACTCAAGGATAAATTCCGTCTTATTGTCAATGCCAGCATAGTTTATAGTTAGCTGTTAGACTAGATAGACCAGTGCATCTTACATTACTTTAGCGTAACATACTTGCTTTATATATCATTTAATATATATATATATATATATAGATAATAATAACAATAACTTTGCTACTAAAGTTTAGTTTGTGTGCACTGGCATGAGACTCGAGACTTTAAATTGACCATGCCATGCGGTAAGCTTAGACACGTGCTATACGATATACAATTGGACTCTTTTTTGTAATCACTATTTATTTGTAGCGCTCCTAATTTTATGAGTGCAAATAATTTATATTACTCTTTAAAAAAAAAAAAAAATATTTTTAAATCATGTTTATTTTATAATAAATTACTTTTGAGCGAAGTAAAAAATCTTACTAATTAATGAAGCTAAAAATAAATTTTATAACTTAATTATGTGTTTACTTTTAAAAAATATTCTTATTAAAATTTTTTGTTAAAGTTGTCATTGGGAATTTTTTATATTTATAAATTTTACAGAAATTTTAAAAATATATTTTTAAAAAAAATTATATCGTAGTTAAAACTAAAAATAAACTAAAATATTTATGAAAATGAAGTTAGCTGACATTTAAAAATTTTTAGAAATTTTTTATTAAAGGAATTTGAATTAAACAATTAAAAAAAAATTTCACATCTAAAAAACTTGATTAACTACAAGTGCATTTTTTTAGAAATATTTTTTTAGTTGTAATTTAATAAAAAAAAAAAATCAAAAATTTTTAGACGTCTGCTAACTTCAGTGTCATAAATATTTTTATTATTTATAAATCAAATTAGAATATAGTGCAGTTTTAATGAATAAATTTTCAAACATTTTAATTAAAAATTAAAAAATTTTTTGAACACTTTGATTTTTTAATTTATTGCTTCAAACAATTTTAACGACACAAACTCACAAATTACTGTAACTTTAATAAAATTTTGTACAATTATAAATTAAACTTTCCACAAATATTTGATAATTTTTCTGATAAAAAATTAATTTTTCCTTTATTCATTTTAACTAAAAAAAAAAAAAAAAAAGAGTCAATTCAATATAAGGGCCTTTACATTCACGCGGTGTGAATTTATTAAAATTTTTTACTTATGAATAGACATGTCCAAAAATAAAATATTCTAATCAACAATTAAAAAAATTTATGAAAATAAAGCTAGCCGACATTTCAAAATTAAAAAAAATTTTTTATTTAAAAAATTTCAATTAAAACATTTAAAAAAAAATTTCACATGTAAAAAATTTGAAAAGCTACAAGTGCAATTTTTTAAAAATATCTTTTTAGTTATAATTTAATTAATAATAAAAATAAAAAATTTTTAGGCGTCTGCTAACTTCAGTGTCATAAAAATTTCTAATATCAAAAAAAAAAATTTATAATCAAAAGCTTAATAATTACTAAAAATTTTTTCAGAAATTTTAAATAACTATAAAAAAAAAAATCATAAAAGCTCACCTCAGTCAGACAAAGTTTATTTTTTTATGTAGCAATATCAAACATCAAAATTTAGTGGCAAAAACTGAGGAAGGGCCAATTGAATATATTATTTGTTAATGTTATTAAGTACTGAAAAATGAACGTTTACAAACGCTTTATAGTAATTTATAAACATTGGTAAAACTTCCCCGTAGGCCTCTCGCGGGGCCACTTCATGATACGGTTACATCGCGACTGACGGCGAATTGTCGGAAGCATCCACAAGTCATATAAAATCCTCTCTATATATACGGAACGAGTAATGTAAGTAATGTAAATGCTATTGGGCAGGCGCACTCTTATCGATTCATTTTACTCATTGTCATTTTATATATATTTATATTCTAGATATAACATCCCTTAAAACTCTTCCGTTTTATTTATTTAATCCCCCCCTGAAATGTCAAACTACTAAACATTGTCTCGCCAAAGAAAACAATTTCTATACCTAAGTAATTGCATTTTTTATAAATCATTTTTCAGATCAGATTTTAATAAAAATTGATAGTTGCTATTAGTCTGAAAATACTTGACCTTGTTACCAGAAGCAATGTAAATAAAGGTCTGCGAGCCGGTTTAATTAGTAAAGTAATCATTAGTTATGATTATTACTTGTAAGTATAACTTTAGAGTTTTATTGGGTAATTTTAAAAAGGTAATAACTTAACTAAACTGGTTGGTTATAACGTTGAGAAGAATAGTACCACGTTTCAGTTGTGAGTTATGGGACTTTAAATGTCTAACTTGTAACTTTAAATAAAATAAAAGGTCGACTCAAGTTCATCCGTTTTTATTTATTTTTCTTCTGTTATTGTTTAGGGTCACGATAGAGCTAAATTTACGTGTTATATATATATAATTCGTTATTGAATTACGCAAACTGTCACATGGTGAATAACGATGCCCTTAATACCTACTCACGTTTCAATTATAATGAAAATAATTTATCGTTTTTAGGTTTCATTTATAAAATATCGCTTTAAATTTCTGATTTTCACATAACGATCTTCCGATTTCAAATTGTAATTTTGTTTAAGCGTTTTATTGATAATTATTTACTACTGCTAAGTAGTATTTTATATTTTACATTTACATTCATATTAGCATTAAAAATCATGACGTTTTTTTACGGTTGAATTGGTGATTCATTATTTATCATTTTTTTGCTATTGTACATTTTTTTTTCACGTTCATTAGTTTGAAATTTTTTTGGGAGACTTACTTGGAAAAAGGAATATTAAATTCAGACTTTATATTGAAAGTCTATTACAATTGTTATTTATTAATGTTTTAGTAATTTTTTAATTTTTAACAAAAAAAAATTGTCAGGAAGCAAATTTTAAAAATTTTTTAAATTTTATTGAATTCATAAATTTTAACTAAAAAAAAATTTTTTTGAAAAAATGACCAACTAATTTTTATTTTAATTAAATTATTGATGCAAAATATAAAAAAATTTTCGCAAATTTTACGCAAAATGTTGATTAAGTGTAAAAATTTATAAATTTTCCAAAAACTTATTAAAAAAGTTTCATATTAAAGTTTTTTTTTTAATTTGTAGTTTTTCACACCCTTTAAGGAATAAAAATAATATGGAATTCTAAAAACTGATGTCTAAAAATTTTTATGAAAAAACAGTAAGCATTTTTTTGACTTTTGAAATTGAAAAATTTAGTCAAAAAAATTTTTTTATTCTTAAACCAAATTACTCAAATTGATCGACTATTTACTCGATTGAAAAATTTTTTAATTTCGTGGGGAAACCCCAAACATTCCCGCATAATTACGAGCTACCATCAGAATGTTGTTTTAACTTTCGAATTGACGATCTCATTAATGTATAGGAATTCCCACATTATTTGATTATTGTTTCGCGCCGAACAGTCAAAAGTCCATCGAGGACAACCTTGGCAAAAATAACACCCAGTCAAAAGTTCATTCAATTTTTAAATTTTGACATTAACTACTGACGTTTAACCTATTAGACATGATTCGGCGGGTCAATTTTATAACTAGTAAGAACCACTTAGTCCTTGTACTTAGTTCTAAATTTGTCTTATTCTTATTATAAAAAAAAAAAGTCAACATCATTTTTTAAACATTTTTTTTCTCAATAAAATCTCAAGAAAAAAAATTTATAATAGTATATTTAAGTGCGAATTCTAAAAAAAATAGTATATTAAACACCTAGGAAAGTAAAGTAAGAAATGTCTCAGATCACACGTAATTGTGGGACGAGGCGAAGCCGAGGATTTCTTACTTTACTTTCCTAGGTGTTTAATATACTATTTTTTTTAGAATTCGCACTCAAATATACTATTATAAATTTTTTTTCTTGAGATTTTATTGAGAAAAAAAATGTTTTTTTGTTGAACTTTTTTTTTTTATAATAAGAATAAGACATATTTAGAACAATAAAAGTCACAAGTGATGTGATATGATTTGATATATCATTGCAATGCAGCTCCGTACATTCGCATTTGTAGCACTTGTGTATATTATCTACGTATAACAACGACAAGTAAAGTACAGATGTGGCCAGTTAATATTATAATAATATGCAATGTGTATAATATATATGTACATATTCATAACTCTCATCTCCGATCTCTCAACAGTGGTGATACGGGCAATTTGTATTCTGGTAACTTCTGGACTAGGTCACATCTATGGAGGCCCACTTTTCTGATTACTCGGTTTAGTTGACTATAACAATCGTTTACATTTCGCTCTCATCGTCAACGACCCGCGAATAATATATAGACACGTGTTCTAAATATATATATATATTGTTAAATATACATAAATGTAGAATTACTACAATTGGAACGATCAAATCCGACAGAAGGTTGTGGCCCTTACATTGTGACCCACTATCGTTTGTCTTTGACCTGGGAACTTGATCGATTTTTTTTTTCTGTCTTTCGAATTATTCTGTTATATTATAATTTTAAATAATATAATAAATTAATTATCTAAAGGGAATTATCTTTAAAATGTATTATTGAGCTGACTCTGGCTGTACTGCAATGCCAGGCAACTCGTGGCGGAACCGGAGCAAGCCCCGGATTTC